CTCAAGGGTGCCAAATATTTTACGAAACTAGACATCCGCTGGGGATACAACAATATCCGTATGAAAGAAGGAGACGAAGAGAAAGCTGCATTCATCACGAATAGAGGACTATACGAACCAACCGTCATGTTCTTTGGATTGACGAATAGTCCTGCTACGTTCCAGATGATGATGAATGACATTTTCCGTAATCTCATTCTCAAAGGAAAAGTAATCATATATCTTGACGATATACTCATATTTTCCGAATCCCTGGAGGAACATCGCCGTATTGTGAAAGAAGTCCTTAAAATATTACGAGAAAATAAATTAACCTGCAAACCAGAAAAATGCGAGTTTGAAACTCAAGAAACAGAATATCTCGGACATATCATTTCGCAAGGAACTGTAAAGATGGATCCTGCCAAAGTCGACGGAGTTACGCAATGGCCAGTACCAAAAGCCAAAAAGGAATTACAGTCATTCCTTGGATTTGCTAATTTCTACCGACGATTCATCAAAAACTTTTCTAAAATTGCCACTCCTTTGAATAAATTAACCGGACAAGTAGAATGGACCTGGGGTCCAGAACAGCAGGAAGCTTTTGAACTTCTAAAGAAAACCATTACCACGGCACCGGTATTGGGTATCCCGAACAATGAAGATCAGTTCAAAGTAGAATGCGACACATCGAAATATGCTATTGGAGCAGAACTTGCACAAAAGCAAGATGGACAATGGCAAACTATTGCTTTCTTATCAAAAAGCCTTTCACCGGCTGAAAGAAATTATGAGATCTACGATCGAGAGATGCTAGCCATCATGATCTCATTAGAAGAACGGCGTCACTTCTTGATGGAAGCCGCGTAGAAATTTGAAATTCATTCTGATCACAAAAATCTTGGCTATTTCAAAAAACCTCAGAAGTTGAATCATCGCCAGGCACGATGGATCCAAGAATTACAACAATATGATTTCAATTTGACCCACAAACCTAGAAACACAATGACGAAGGGAGATCCTTTATCGCGACAGACCCATCACGATATTGGAGATAGTCATAATGAAAACATTACGTTGTTGAAACCAGAATGGTTCCGAGCTAATAAAATCCTCGGATCATCAGCTTTACAGGAGAAAATCATAAAAAACACTGATAAATATGAAAACAATGTACGATTAAAACTATTGACAAAAGATGCCGACTTCAATGAGACCGAGGACGGTCTTATCTGGAGAAGGGTGAAGATTGTTATCCCTTTTGACAAGGAACTCAGAGGAGAAATTATTCATTCGCATCATGACTCGATTAGTGCCGGTCACCCTGGACAAGCAAAAACACAAGAACTAATCTATCGATCGTACTGGTGGCCTTCGATCAAAAAAGATGTAAAAACATATGTAAAAGACTGCGAGACTTGTCAAAAAACTAAGATTAACCACCAACCAAAGAATGCTCCATTGCACCCAAATGCAATTCCGGAACACAACTGGGAATATCAATCTGTAGACATGATTACACATTTACCAGAATCGCAAGGGCATAATGCGATTATAGTAGTTGTGGACATGAAATCAAAAGATTACATTGAAATACCAACTACGGAGCAATTGACATCAGAAGGATGGGCTAATCTCTATATCAAAAATGTATATCCGTTGCATGGATTACCAAAAAAGATGACATCAGACTGTGGACCACAATTTGTATCCAGCTTCATAAAAGACTTATATAAAAAACTAGGAATTCAGGGAAATCCTAGTATGGCATATCATCCACAGATAGATGGACAAACTGAACGAATCAATCAGGAAATTGAAAACTATTTACGAATATTCATCAATCACCGACAAACTGATTGGCCAGAATGGTTGCCACTGGCAACATTTGCATATCGAAATAGAGTCCACTCTGCGACTGGATTTTCACCATTCTACATGAATCACGGATGAGAAGCCTACACTGGTGTAGAAACCAAAAAGGAAATTTGTAATGAAACTGCAGAGCAGTTTGTAGCACGAATGAAGAAAATCCAAGAGGAAGCATCGGCATCATTGACACTTGCACAAGATGTTATGAAAAGACAATACGACAAACATAAAGGTGAAGCCATAAATTATAAAGATGGAGATTTAGTGTGGCTTGAAGCTACACATATACGAACGGACAGGTCAAATCGAAAATTAGATGATAAAAGATATGGACCATTTCCGATTATTAAGAAAATTGGAGCTAGTGCATACAAGCTCAAACTACCAAAATCATGGAAAGGCGTACATCCCGTATTCAATGAAACATTATTATTGCCATATCATGCACCGGAATTCCCAAATCAGAAAATACACAAAAACATTCCAATAATTATCGATATCTTAGAAGACAAAGCTGAATCCATATTAGACTCCAAGATGGCACATGGAGGCCTTCAATATCTAATCAAGTGGGCTGGAAAACCACATTCTGAAAACACATGGGAACCTCGTCATAAAATTATTAAGAATATAGACAAAAAGATTATCGACAAATTCCATAAAGATCATCCCGATGCGCCGAAAGCACCCACAAGAATATTGCTAAAGGCACAAATTATGGAACAGTCGTTTCCTAGAGAAGCGACACAAGAAGAATGGGATTATTGGGATCAGAAAGTACAGAGATGGGCAGAATGTAGAAAGAAAGAAAAAGCAATGATATCCGTAGACCCAGATTCAATTAAACTATTCAAAAATCGAAGAAAAGCACAAATCATATCTAATCAGCACTACCCGAATGCCGGCGAGTTATGGATCATCAATGAGCAGACGCTCAAACTGACACACGTGGCAATCACATCTGCGCCTACGAAAGTCAAACTCGAATGGCAATACCCCATTCTTTCCTTCTATCAACTCGTCGAACCAACATCAATCCCAAGTATGGATTCCCCTATCTTAGAACACTCATTCACTCAACCAATGAAAGCTCTTTGGTAGAAATGGACAAAGACGGAACCATCATCCTTAGCATCTTTGGCGGCATAATCCTATGCACTGTTGGAGTAATACTCTGGGTTGTATGGTATAGAGAACGGGAGAGAGAAAACTCGGAAGAATGGATCATCATGGTATGATTGAACAATTCCATATCTATCATAAATTAATCATGAGGACACGATTCTAGAGGAGGGGGTAATGTTACGATCACATTCATTTCGGATCTACGGACACACCTTTCCCTCACATTATTCATTTGTAACCACTTATTAAAACCTACCCAAACACATTCATTGATCCATGCTCGAACCTGACCGATACCATAAGGATATATGAACACATTGATACCGCATGTATTTAGATAATAGTTGTATATATACACCAGACGAACTTCGGATTAACTCCAAGTTTCGAATGGTTTTACCTGCTCATTTCTAAATTGATTTGAGTCCTATCAACAACGACGGTTGACTTGGGGGTGGTCGACTTAGGGAGAACTGTAGTGACACTTACAGGCCTCGACGGTGAAAGCGACAGCAGTGAAAATATATTCTGTTTATTCTCTCGCCGACCGTGACTCCCCAACCTAGGGCCCGGAGAACGCGACAGCTACACTATATCCATGCGGTCGAAGCCGGTGTCCTACTGAGAAGCGCGTGCCGTCCTCATGCAAGAGAAGGAGAAATCGAGACGCTGATGAAGCCATACGCAAGCCGATCGGATCCCTGCGTAGAAGATGGGGTCATATCCTGTACAAGAGAACTCCAGTACAAGTACTCAATGATTATTCCTAAGACAGGACTTGAAAAGGTGAGGCGGTGAGGGTGAGAATGACAGCGAATCGACGCACCAGTAGTCTAGGATCCTCCATCTGCGGTCACAGCTGAGCAGTGAGTCCACTCCTTCACCCTCGTCTGTCTAGCCCTACAACACATGGCTCTATCGCCGGTCACTCGTGTTGTCTGTAAACAGGTGTGTTGGCTCTGGTGTGGCGAATGAGATGGGTGGAGATGAAGGCGTGGACGACAGGCACGAAGGGAAGAATGATGGAATGGTAGTAGGAAGAATAGAATACGGAAACGAGGCAAAAGACGCGTTTGGGAGAGACGCGAATAAGCCTGGAGATGTGAAGTGTTGCCGACAACTGCTGGAGACCCTAGAGAGCCGCCATTCCAGAGGTACTGTCGATAGAGGATCAGGCCGAAGCAGTGATCCACGGCTCTTGAGAGGCGAAGTCCTGAAATGCATTGACCCCCCCCCTCTGGGTGTGTTGCTACGAGAACAAACGGGAAAGCGTGATAGACAGGCCTGTTGCAACTGTAAACAAAGAGAAATAGGAGGCCTCACGGGGGACATCTAGCATGACTTGAAAAGCGGTAGAGTCAGCGACAACGGTCGGATGCTCGGCGTGGAAAAGGGAATACCTACCTGGTCACGCCTAAAGGACACTCGCTAGACGTGCCCTCGAACGCGAGACTCGTATCGTCCTTAGCTAATCCAACCCTTTTCGACTGTGCCCAGGAACCAGAAGGATGACATACCTTCGATTCGTAGCATCCAATCGTAGTCGTGGCTGCCAGGGAAGACGGTACAGGTCGCGAAGCTCCAAAGGGACAAATGTATATGGCAGCAGTAATAGAGTCAGGGATGCGTGAGAGCAGAGGTCAGAATAGGTGCCAGTTGCCAGCCAACGGGGATCCAGCAAACAACCGACTGATCACAGATCACTTGTCGCCAGTGTATGCTGTAGCCAATAGGCTTGAGCCCAAGAGACCTAAACATACACTGACAGCAATTCTCGGTCTCTCGCGGTGAATACAAGCCTCGACGTAGCCGGTTTGGCAGCTGTCATACAATTGCGTGTTGAGACTGTCAAGGCAACGAACACTATCCTTGATATACAGAGTCTCGGGGAACGACCCGGCAAGATGTGTTCGCCACGAATTCTTGAAGCTATAATCAACTTACAGTCATATCCTATAAGCAGCATGGACTCGACATCGCCTTTCTTGTCAGAGGCATAGATGATGTCGTATCCTTCGGTTCGATCAGCCGAATGCTGGCCATTGGACTGATTTAAGTACAAGGATTTCCTTGTGTCGGACTCCGTAATTACCGGTTCGACCTAGAGGAACAGATACGTTAGATGATCCTGCGCGACTACATCCAAAGTCCAACGAATATCTGTTGGAAGAGAACAGCTGGTAAATAGAGTCAAGGTAGGTTAGTGAACAAAAACGACTGGATTGAGCTTATCAACTTACAAGAGGTTGGTGACGTTGAAATGCAAAGGCCAATTTCAATGGATTGAAGTCAAAGCTATTGCTATGACGTTTAGCAGACTTGGACTTCGAGTTCTGATGCCCGGCCTGATAGCTTTCTTGTCGTCGAATCGTACGTGCGCGCCACACCGCTGTGATCATATGTTGTAATGGTATGCTCCTTGAAAGTCTCAGATATGCTGAAGAATGAAAGGTGTTACCATGACGAGACCAGAGACAAATAATCATGCAGCTCTTCGACAGACAGCGGTGACGCGAATAAAAGCTTCACGGAGAGTGTCGAATGGCGGTGTCTACTGACATTTCCAGAATCCTCCGATGGTGTAGAGATCGAGTAGCCCAACGATTGGCCCTCATCTGCTTTCACAGACGTTGACCCCATACACGCCCCGGGAGGGGCATTCGTTGACGAATGGTTGATGATCGCGGAGTGACGCTTCTTGTACGCATACACAACAGTCTCCGTAAACACAAAAAAGGAGGGTCTGTAGAGACATTATCTCAGTGAGTAGAATGTCAATGTGCACAATGATAATGACGCACCTAGACCTTGGAGTCGACGACATCGTCGTCGTGGTGAATTCATCTACCCTCAGCACATCCCGCATTTCCGTCTCCGTTTCTTTACTTGACGGTGTGACTACAGCCTATAGAACATCTGGAAAGTCGGCCAATGGTAAAGACAAGGGAAACAGATTGAATATGTCTACGTACCTGTAGCAGAAGCCCTATGTGCGAGTCCCATCAGGATAAACAAGTGTAGATGCCGCGATCGAGCTAAACTGGAAGCCAGCGTGATTGCTGATCGACAACCAAACACCATGAGGATAAGACGGTCACAAGACACCGTCGTCTATGGACACGCTAGTCGGGTGGCCGACGACACGAAGCCCTGCAGATGTTTGATATTTGAAAAATTTCAAAAAATAGATCAGAGGATGAAGCCACGTACCTACAATAGAACACTGAGACCTTCCGTGTCAGACACAGAGAACAGATGACGACGACAAAAAAAGATCTTCGTCGTCACCTATGGACATCCCTGGAAACTGCCTCCCATGCTTGACAACTCAATCCTAGTGATCAGCACTTGATTGAATAGCTGTCAGAGGGATGCCAAGATGCATACTCGTCTGACGAGAAAACCATTACTAAGGGTGCTGTAAATTAACAAGAACAATGTACTCATGCGCAGGTTCCATGTGTAAGTGGGTGGGGGAAAAAATGCCGACGGCGGCGTCGACCTCAGAGTTGCGACACAGGTCATGGGGATCTGAAGACGGGCCGGGGGAGGGGGGGAGAGATGGTCTGTACACACTGATCAGTAGAAGGTCTCAGGAGACAGTAAGACCGACGCACCTGGACCACCCTCTATCTCGTCAACGATGCTCCAGTCCTCCATACAATCTGCTCTGTTATTCGCAGTCGAATGGCAACAAGAGCAGAAGACGAAATTGGACGGATTTTTGTTGAGGAACCGAGTCCAGTCTCGTGAGATAATTGAAAGTGTCGTATTCAGCCCGCGAAAAGCAGAGATGTGACCGGTAACTACTAACGAAGGGGACCAGAATGATGTCGAAGGAATAACAATGCGAAAGAATTTCGAAAAGCAAACATACCCAAATGAACCGGTGTCTACCTGGGACTTGATTATGCTATTCGCACAACCGTGAGGAAACGACGTTGGTTTTTTTTTTTTTTTTTTTTTGCAATGTCGGTGGTATCTATGGATGAGGAAGACGGCGCAAAAGAAGATATTCATGACGGGAGACACGTTTACTAGAATGGTAAGCAAGGTGTCAAAACATAACAAACACGTTATGTAGATTCACTAGATCGAACGAGGATGGCGAATGGCGCCAATTAAAAAGACGATGCATCCGATCGGGAGGTGAACACCTCGAAAACCTTGACTTGACGACCTTGCGTACATACAGCACCTACCCTAGATGGGTAGCTGTGATGTGACAATAGAGAAAAAGACAAAGGAAAGGTCATATACAGGAATACGAATGGCGAAAGGCAAGGCGTACAGGAATGTTGAAAACGAAGGAAGATGCAGCGTGGATCCGCCGAACTGAGCAATAAATGTCTCTGCCGCCGCGACAGACTTGGACTTCCTGTAGAGTCCATGGAATGCTCGTTCTACTTGGGCCCCTAATTCATCTCTATCGAGACTTTACAAGAAGAAACCGAGCAGAAGATTGTGGACTGCACATACCAGTGACAGCATAGTACTACTTCAAGTTCGATGTTTTCGGTTTCGGCATATCAGTCCCAGTCGGAGGCCCCTGATATACTGCCTTATATGGATAGGGATAGCGTGCACAATTCCTTATCTTGCAGACAATTCGCGATGCGACCTGAGTCCCTGAGCCAGGTTGTTGCTGCCTCCAAGACACTGGTGAGGATCCTGAAGAAACGGTAAATGATCGACTATGATCGAGACACGTTCAAAGTTCACGTGGCGGTTAACTGCAGTAGATTCTGACTTTCGACCACCAACTTGTGCCACGAGAAGTTGGCTACATGGTCCATCTAGCTCACTTTGCAGTACGTAGTAGTAGCGAATACTGGGCGCCGAGGATAATTCTGGTATGTATCCGCTTTGCTGTTTGCCGATCACTCGTATTTTGACTTTCAGGCTTGTCTTCCATCTTATCTCGTCTTCTGCGCTTTCTGCTCTGTCGTTCCCTCTGTTCAACGTATCTTGTTCTCACCTTCTTTACCAGCAGCAAGTGCGTGAAATAACGCATACCTTTGTCGACTGGGACTCTCGTACGTTTCTCGTATGCCAGAGGTCTCAGCTGACTTGCTAAGTAATTCAACCTTGTTGCTGGCGTCGTCTGAACGAACTATATTTACAAGCAACAAATACACATCCTTTGCGATTCACATGATCCCTCAGAACTGTGGACATCAGACTCCCTTTCCTCTGCTCTCACACCTGCCGACCTTGTCGCGATATCCGTTACATCTCTGTTAGTAGCTCAGTCTCAAAGAACAGCAATCAATTGCATCTCGGGCACTGTACATGACCTCCCTTGACATCTCAACATGCCGCCTTACTATTCCCGGTCTACCAGTTCTCTTCCTCGATCTAACTCTCCTCACCCTTCCATTCGTGTATCCAATGTTCCCTCGATCAACGTCTTCCACCTCCTTCATTCCCCCCTCTGCACTCCGACCGTCTCAATGCATCCATTATCGAACGCGTGCCTTTCGATGTCATTGCAATCATAGGAAGTGTGGTTGGTTGGGTACCGAGTGGCAGCAGCTAAGCAGGCTATCAAGATAGACCTTGGTATGTGATCGATTTTCTATTCTCTTACTGATTTCTCCCTCCCATCCCCAGGGCCCCATCTCTTTGTTTCACCTCATCCTCACACATTCAGAGACGCCCCTCGTTCGTACTCCCCGCCTTCTAATGTGACTTTCAACAACCCGGGAAGTCTGATCCGACTATCTCTGTCGAATCAAGCATATTTCACAGGAGCCACACCTGATCCACCGATTCAACACTGTCGCTCCCGTTTCCTGTACAATCCATCTTTACAAGTAATGAACATGTGCACTGCGTGATTTGCACGCAGATCCCTCATTGTCCTCACACAAGGACTCGATGCTTCATCTTTACGTTACCTTTTAAGCTCCAGAAAGCCAAGTCCTGGATGATAGGATACTCTCTAACCTGCGAGTACATTTGCCATGAATAAATTTAGAGTGACTAAACAGCCAGTGACCACGCGTATTCTTTCGTCAGAATGTGATCGCGTTTATCTGTCATCTGTCGAGATACTATCAAGGGATCAAGATGTATCTCTTTAAATGTTCGTAACATGCACTGCTTCTCATCTTTCAAATTGACGACAAAGCTGTTCACGATTGACGGAAAAGCACAAGGCTCGAAGTGAAGTACATATCCCTTCGCTCATGTTGTGGATCCGCAGATGTATTGCCAGCATGTTTCTCCCTTTAGCTATCTCGTTTATACCATTATTCTGTCTCTCTGTGGCACAGGACTTCTCTGTCCCAAGTGAGTGGGTGGTGAGTCCTTTTTACAACGGTTCTGAGCCTTCTCAAAACCCCACTGCAACAGAATACGACGTCAACACATTCCTGGGATGATCGTGTCCAGCTTGCTCAGTCAGTCATCGATTCAGTCATTCCGCATTATGACGCTAGCAAGGGTCAACTAAATGGTGTGTGCATCTTACCCGTATGAGCGACGGTTGCTAATGTGTTCTTGAGCAGAACTGTTTTTCGGCCAAAATGCGAACTTGATGTCGGCCATCGTGATTCACGACTCTCTCGTTCCAAACAGGACGAACTACAATACAACGACCGACAATTTTCTCCGAGTTGTTCCGAGTCTTGTACCCACCATGTGAGTCATTTCACCAAGCTATGGTAAGCAAAGAGGGGGAAATAACCAGGTTTATCTAGCAATGGAGTGAGTTGTTCCTTGGAGGCATGGTAACTTCGCTCAAGAGGCAATGTCTATCATCAGACTACGATCGGTGTCACGAATGATCCTCTGTATGTCACAATGAAGTTCAAATGCATCTAAGAATCTCATCTCATATTATTTTGGTAGGATGTGGGGGCTTACTGGAATATATGCATATCGTGCCTATAATGAACGACCTTTCCTCGATAATGCTATCTCAATCTGGGAACAGATCAGTGTATATATGATCACCCGGCAAGATGCCGCAAGCAATTCTCATCCGCTCAAGAACATCACCTTTCCGTTAGAGTGTAATGGCAGTCAGTGACTCCGCGTATCCTGTCTTGAGACCGAGATGCTCACATAACGGCTGCAGTATCACTTGCTGGCGGAGTATTTTGGGTGAGCAACTCTGAAATTCTCTCGCAGTCAACTCGTCAATAAACAGCCTCCCAGAACTCGAATAGTCCACAGAATACCGGTATTAATGCTGGAACTAGTGGGTATGTATTATTCTTATCTTCTCGCACCAGAATACTATAATTTTGCATCATTTATAGGGCGTACATGGCGTACGTATAAGATTCAGTCACATCGTGTACGACTTACTGCTGATAATGCTCATAGGCTGTCCGCATATTTATATGAGATGACGAACAACAATACTTCCGGTGATGCAGCTGAACTGTCACGCCAGTTCATTCAGTCACATCTGTACAACGAGAGTGCAGGATACGTCATGGATTTTCTCGATCCGCCTACATGCTCAATTGCCAATAATTTCCAGTGGACGTACAACATGGGACTTTACCTCGAAGCGATTAGTGTATACGCAAACAAAACAAATAACGTAACATTGACTGACTTGTGCGTATTCTCATCCCGGGCCCGAGATATCCTTTTAGTTGAAAGCGGGCTCTCATAGTATTTTCATACAGTGCAAACGAGTTAACCGTACATGCAGTAAAGTCCACTGCATGGAATGGTGTAGATGGTATCAATACAGAAGGTGAAGCCCAGTAATTCAACGCTTCCTTCTGGCAAGAATTAACTCGTCCTGGAAATCGACAGAACTCCCAGTGGAAAATGTAACGACTAACGCCTTCTCCATGGCGTATAAAGGTATGTCCCCATTCATGTCTCGAATAGTTTATTCGTCCTCATTGAGCGCAGGAATGCTCATCCGGGCACTGTACGAACATTGGTCTCGAAGCCCTGAAGGCTCCGACGTTGCGAAGTTGATCGAGAGTTATATCATGATTTAGGTAACAGGAGTGCACCAAGTCCTAGTTTTCGGAGTGTCGTTTGCTTACAAATTATTCATCAGCACAACGCCTTAATTTTGCACGGACACCAGATACCAACAACTATTCTCCTAGATGGGATGGTCCCCCTGTCGCATCAATGCTTCCTTGGGGACAACTAGCGGCACTTGATGTCCTGAACTCCGCCATCGGTATGGCTGAACAACCTTCCCCAATGTCAGTGATTCATATCGGCGATCATAAAATGTTCGATTTGTCTGACATATTCAATAAGACCAATCCCTACCCTTTTGCCTACATCCTCCATTTCACTATTTAACGGTCCTACAGGAATAACACCAGGATCACAGAATCAACATTCTGACTTAGGATTGATCATTGGTACAACGATCGGTGGGGTTGTGTTCGTCATTCTAGTAGTGACCGCCTGTCTCGTCATTTGGTTGCGTCGTCGAAACAATCGGAAACGCAGTCAACCTCTGTCTGGCACTCGGAGATACTCATTACCAAATGAAGTCCCAAGGACCGTACACCAGCACGAAGTCATGCCCTTCCGTCCCCCATTCTCGATGCAAGGTAAGTAACTTACTCATTCACCATCGTCCATCTCATTTACGTAATTGAAACACTAATATATACTCTTTCACAGAACCAGAAATTCCTGCTAAAGTCAGAAGCGACATCCAACGAGACCAACCGATTGCGAATGCAGGTGAAGAGACTCCGGCTCAGGTTCTAGGACCTGTGTCGGAACAGAGCAGCTCTCGAGATTCCATTCAAGACTTGATTCAAAGATTGAATCGGGCGATGGCACAGTTACCTCCTCCACCTAGCATCGAGGACAGTTCGTCGGTAGGCCCGCCTCAGTATACAAGTGTAGCCTGAGTTTCGTCGCACCCTTCTCTTCGACGCTGGTTTCATGTTAGTACGAGGCGCGTTAGCATTCTTCCTGGGATGCGCACAATTCTCACCTTCCCCCTTCACTCTTTGCATGTACTGTCCATAACTTGTCTTCGTTCAGATTCTACCTGAATGAACACAAGCACTTCGTATTTCGTCCATCATCATGAAGATGGCAATGCGCGGCGCACACTGCAGACGATGACAGACTTTGGGTAATTCATTGAGAATATGCGTGCGAGACTATGAAACAGACTAGTATAATACAAGGTTAGCGTGATACATACAGATATTGCGAAAACATGAATGAGCCATCACAAAGTCATCGAAACCTATCTCCATAAGTCTCCGCGACCAACTCAAGGTTTGACCTTTGTCTGATCCACCTTTGCGTAATGAATGCCATGGCAAAACCGAAGATGGAGAGCGACACCTTGACAATTCGTCCTAGGAAGAAGGCAAACAGGAACTGCACGAGAAAAATTCCAGCATTCCAGACGATACAGCTCAGTCACACGCCAGTGATCTGAATGAGGGAACTTGGCGGGTGTCGGCGATCTCAATAAGAGAAGGAATTTTGACGACCATGTAGGTGAGCGTGAACGGGACAGCCATGACACTCGGAAGGACAATCGCTGAGCAGATGATCAAATGGGAGCGGGCACGAGGAACGTCTCCAGACAGCCTTCTGAGGGGTGACCGAGATTCGTCTCCTTGTATCCAGAGATCATCATCCTAGATAGATGACACTGGCCGATCCATGAGTTCTTGTGCGTACGCAAGTTGCCACGATTCATCCATCCGACGAGCTCCGTGTATTTCTTTGGGTCCGACATCAGCACCGTACAACAGACAGTACGCCACGTACTTGTCCTCCATAGGGTCGCACTCACCATCTGGTGGACTTACTCAAAGGGAAAGAAGGTCATTTTTGAACGGAACTCTGCTCGTGCGTGGCCTTTTTAGTGGAGAGATGAGGTGCGAAGGTGGCGAGAGGGAAGTGGATACAGGGAAAGGCACCAAGTTGGTTGGAATTCATTCAAGCCAACGTTCAGGTTGTAGACAACTTGAGCAATCAGTTGGTTAAGACTGGTGAAGCTGGGAATCGGTACGTCTCAGCTCTTCCTGCGAATGTCGTGAATAGCCCCGTTATCAGCTTGAACAGTTGAATCAATATGCAGTCGTAGCAGACAGACCACAAAATCACGTACCATGAATGAACAGTCAGAGTGCTCGAGTGTCGTGTGGGTGTGGATGGTAAGGGTGGATATGTAGGACTCGACGACTAAGTTCGACAGCTGAGACGCGGGGTACACGTAGAACTCCGGCTTGGACTCCTTGCCCGCTCCAAGAGGAGAGCACCGAAAACCGAACCGGTTCCATCATCGAACGAGTGGAAGATGGGGAATCCTTGCAGACCCATGTAGTTGTTCACCAGGCAAGGGACCTTGTTTATGACCGGGTCAATCAATCCCTTGCCAATCGTGTAGTGTCTGCGAGGATCTAAATTGACGGCGCGACAGATGACGCCGTTGCTCAATGTCATGATCACGATGGATTACCATTGTGAGCAGCGTCCCCATTTCCGGACCGCAGCGTTTTGCGTCGAAAGAGAGACCTATGTGTGCCAGTCTTCACGTGGTCAATCGCGTCAGGCCCACGATCGACGTAAAAAGAACGCGAGACAGTTGGCCATGTTCAGTCTCAAGAAAGAAAGTTAAAAAAATCAGCTATCATGACGACGATAGAGTCGGACATTGATGAGTGAAAGGCAAAGAGGTCAGAGGAAAGCAAAAATCGAACCTTATGGCCGAGCTTCGCCCATTCATTGAGCAACGCATCGATGTATTTGACGACGCCTAGAGAGCTCACGTCGTCTTATTTAGACATCTTGATTTTTTTTCCATGCCATCTTGGGAGCGAGTCTTTGAAACCTACGAGAAGACCATCCGAGCTGAAAATGTTAGGAGTGAGCTAGCAATGTACCCACATCGCATGCTATACTTCGAGTCTGTTTCGATGAGAAGGGGATGTTTCGTCTTCAGCGTTGTCTGCAGTACTTAATCGATTACCTACAAAATAATTCAGCGCAGCGGCATGTCAAGACTGCGCTTTATTTACGATCGATTGTTACTTCATCCTCCCGGACAGCATTCTACAATATTCCTGTCGCCCCGTCAGTCAATAGTAAAACAAATTGTTAAAAATGTTGACGCACCTTGGATCCCCTTGGCCCCACCACACGCCAACTCCTGCGATAGATCCTGGCTTCCCATGGCCCGTACAGGCACCATCAGAGCAGACAGTAAGCCACCCAGCGCGGTCAACGAGAACTCTCGAGTCTGTCCCTCCTTTCCTTTCACAGACGAAGCTTGCAGAGCTTTGGGTTTTCGCTTCAGCCTTAATGAAGCACTGGGTCCAGTAATAGCCGTAACAAATAACGTTAAAGAGCCGGATCCGCCGAATTGAGCAATCAACGACTCCGCCCGATTGCGTCGAGGGGGTGCTCCTCTCACTTGTCTGTATTGAAACTGCATAACAAGAAACCAAGAAGCCCGTAACTACGTACCACGGTTAACACATACCAGGAATCCGATATAAATAGTACAGCATACCTGTCTCAGTCGGAGGCCCACAGTATGCTGCGTTATATCTTTGATAGGGACAGATGTAAACGACGCCTTACCGTGCAGACAATTCGTGATGCAGCGTGAGCGTCGTGAGCCAGGTTTGTGGTGAGGAAACAGGAAATGATCGACAATGATCGAGGACCACGCCACGTCGTGAGCAACACTCATCGGTGAATTGTGACTTGCGTCCACCAATTTCTGCGACAAGTCCTACATTAATTCAACAAGTCCGAGCCCGTCTAGCTCACTTAAAAGGCCACCTCAGCTATGCAGCAGCTAATCAGGTGCAGGGGGCAAGCTCCCGGTATGTGGTCACTTCTCTGTTTGCTTGCTGATTTCCCTCTTTCTCCGAGTCTTTCTCCCTTCGCCCGATCATACATATTTTGACTTTCTGGCCCATCTCCCTGCACGTCTCATCTCCCCCTCTGTTTCCCCTTCCTCCAACACATCTGGTTCCCACCATCTCCTCCAGCAGCGATCGCGTCAAACAACACATGTCTGCCTCCACTGGTTCTCTCGTACGCCGCTGATCTCAGCCAAATTACCCATTCATTGTTGTCCCTCGCTCTCCTGGTAATTCGTATCCACGGGCAACGAATGCACATTCTTTTCGACTCACACAATCCCCTAGAACTGTCAACATCAACTCTTTTGATCGAACATACACTTCTGACCTCTTGCGCGTCGTTCCCTCATGTTCCTTTGCCCCCGCAACTCCCGACCCCATCGTGATATCTGTTGCATATCTTTCTAGTGACACCGCAAATGGCGTTGCTCACGGCCTCCCGTTGACATCTCAACGTTCAATGCCATCCGACTTCTTTTCCGATCTCTCTCCGCACTGCACTCCCTTTTCAAACCGATTTCACGCATCACGCCCGTGGTACGACTCCACCTTAACAAGTCTTCTCATCCTCCTTTTATCCTCCCTCTTAACTGAATTACCCTACACGCCATATCATGATTGACGGTCTCACCGTGTGCTTCTCCAGTCAAGATACAACGAGACGAGACATACTATTTACCTCAATTGATCTACTGATATTCGTTTACTTTCAAGGTTTCACGATGAACTGCATTCGCTATCCTATGACCACTCCCCCCTTATCGTCTCGAATCGGATTGCTCATCGAAGTCGACACTGGTTGGCTTCACAGGCTTCCAGTCGATCCGATCTTGTCGATGCTCACCGCTCGTTTCACTTTTGTGACTTGTGGACATAGTGTGGATGGGATCGAGGCTTCTGCCTACGGACGACTTCTCAGCACTGGCCACTTCACCTGCAAGATCACTGGACTTGCAGACTTGACGGCACTGAGGTACCTCTGTGGTTATCTTGGTGCGTTTCCACTTGTGTCTTTCTACCTACCTCTCGGACACTCGACTGAGCCTGAAGCTCAATGGATCGAGACCTCGACTGCTTGGTGAGTCGGCGTGTTCGGGGATGGCGATAACAACACCTGAGACCGTCATGAATGAATCTGAAGGAGGCTTGTTGTTGCAGGACGCGGATGGGTGATCTCAGAATGTGCATCTACAATGCTTTGACAATCAACATTGGCGCGTTTCAACAACTCATACATATCCACTTGTGATTGTGTGCATCATGTCGTTGGGCTCATTGGTGATGCAACCTGGCTGCACACGTTTGGAAGATAATCAGACTACATCACACCTTCTTGCCTCCTTTCGCTATGTACTCCCACTCTTCCTTCTCTCACTTTGCCTCGACTTGTGTCACTGTGTACATCCACTGAATAAAGTCTGTCATTTTCGTAGGCTCCGCTGTCTCCATTGTAAATTGCATGAGCCTTCTCGTGCCGAAAGCCCGCGTGAGGTCATCGGGGTGAGTTTATGGTCTGGATGGGTGTTGGTCGCTATGAGATGGGTTTGTGAGTTGAGGAAGAAAGCTTTATGGTTATTGACGTTGACCGACCTCAAGTGAGATCACTGTCAAGGTGAGGTGACCTGAGCATCAGTTGCAAAGATGGTAGGATAGATTTTGAACTTTGAGTATGATCCTTAGCAACTGAGTGGAGGAGAAAGTTCCTCAACTTATCAGATGTTATCAGAAGTGGCCTTATGTATATACAAGCACTTTGCTTGGATGGTGAGCACTCAGCATCTCTGAACTTTCTTCTCCTTCTGTTTCAACAGTCTCAAATCTTCAGCCAATCCACATTCTACTCTACCATGTCAGAGCTGGGTCTTACACCAGATAAAATCATCTCACAGGTGTATGTTATGCTTACTAGACTCAATAATACATTCATTGCTAATTGCCATAATTTAGTTCACAGATTTACCTTGCAAACTGTATCTTATTTGTAGCACTAGGTCTTTTTCAATTGACTTCACTATCTATTACATTGCAAATTATTCTTATTCTAGTTCTGCTTGTCTATGATGCTATCTTGGCATGGTCTCAAGAATGGAAGTGCATCTGGAAGAGAAAATTCTCTGCAGTCACTCTCCTCTATGTGTTTATCAGATATGGCACTATTCTGAATATGTTTCTTCAAATCTTTGAGAACTTTGGGATTTTTACAACTGTTGCTGTGAGTCATGCATGATGTATTCATTTATTCAAATTCTAACTATTCTATAGGGGTATTATAATTGTCTTCTAATAACTCACATTGATAATAATCAATATGCTTACTAGCTGTGAAGCTACAGCCATTTTGAACTATATCATTGAAACAGTGTGTGCTTTTGCAGTTGCAGGCAAGTGTCTATTGCTTAATGTAATATGCAACAAGTTTTTAATCTTTATTGGTCTAGCCTTCAACTGCCTGCACATCTGGGCCATCTGCAGACAACAATGGTTTCCAGTGACAGTTGTGTTTCTACTCAGCATGTTTAATCCAAGTATCAATATAGTATAGTATTTTTTTCTTCTAATCTGCAAGCTTTTTATTATGTATGTCTTTGCAGTATAACCTTTCCAGGCCACAAACCTGGATCATTGTATCTTCTGGGCCAATATTGGGTTGTTGGGATGTACATATATTTGAACCAGATCAATAGTAAGTATCTGTATTTTTGATTACTATCTGTTGACTTATTTTATCCCTAGCTGTTTGTGCTTAGCATTATTATTGCTTGATCTCTACTAATATCTCTCTTTAAAGTGTCTGTTATAACTAGAGCCATATCTGTAGCAACAAATCTGATAGTACTTATACTCACTCTTTTTGAGACAGTTCACATCTGGAGAATAGGCCAATCTGCACAGACAAAAACAAAACTAACTACAGTGCTGATTTATAATGGTATATTGTATACTACTCTGTAGTGTATAACATTAATCTCAAGCACTTGTAGGAACACTCCAATTTCTGTATATCCTTTTAATTCTTTATAAATTTGATATTTCTAAAGTCCTTCTACTCTAGTGTTTTTTTAATACTGAATACTATTTCAGTAATACTGGATACACTCTCATTTGCAATAGCATTCAATGTAAGTATTTTTATTATCTCACTTTTTATAGCACTTATCTCTACATATTTCAATAAAGAATCTTAGCACTGCATCTATCTTTATTACAATTAATGACAGGCAAGTTTTTCAATTATATCTAGCAACTACTTACTGATTCAATATAGTGTAACCTCAATTCTTCTCTGTCACTTTCTTCTGGACTTGCGCTCTGTCAATAAATCAGATAGCACTACCTCCAGCTCTGATCACCAAGATTCCACTGGCAGTGTCCAATTTGCTGGCTCAATTCTTGGCAACATAGGTGCCACAGTTGATGCACCTTGAACAGCTGAAGAAGATGAAGATGAAGAGATAAATGCAGAAGAAGACCAGTCTTTCATTCACTCTGACACTTCTCAAGCCATTGAATTGGTGGAGACTATGAGCAGATAGGTGAATAAACAAGAGAATGCAGAAGCTGAGTGAGATTGCATTTTTATCTTATTTGTCTTTGCAATACTCAGGATCAGTAATACAGATCCTCTGATACTCAAAACCATGAAGAACCCATTTCTGCTGATATTGCTGAGGTTCCTATGAATATGGTCTATATCTATCACATATTGTTCTGCTCTTTATCTATATTCTTCACTTCACTATTTTCTCTGAAACTTAGTAATCTATATTCTCCAATGGTTCTCACTCTATATATTATTTATTGTATCTGCCACTTGTTCTCTTTCCATCTTTTCACTACTCCCTCTTTGCAGTATTCTACCCTTCGTTATCTGAGACAGTTCATACCTATCCTGGCTGTATGTCTATTGTACTATTTCTCTCATGGATAGCAGAGTGATACTCACATACATAATTACTGAACCTAGTAAGTAGTAGAACATCAACCCATACAGCACATGAGACCATTATTTCATGTCAGAGCCCGCCCCAGGCTCACAATATCCTCAGTTGCCACACCCCACTTCTCCCCCAAGTGTACATCACCGCCTGCCTGATCACTATGCTCCCTCACAAACCGTGCAAGTTTTGCTTTCTGGTCGGCCGGTAACTGACCATGGAGCGAGACCAGATATGTGCTCAGAACACTATCAAATAGACAAGATGATATGAGAGTAAGTTCAAATGTCAGAAACAAGCACCACTTACCTGATGACCTTCTGCTCAAAGTCCAAATCACCCTCTGTCTCGCCGTCAGGCCCATGCGGGACCGGCGAAACAATCCCATCAATTAATGTCTTCAAGATACCTTTCTCCTCTAATGCCTTTCTTGTATCCGCAGAGGTTGAGAAGAAGCCGAGGTCCGCTGACATCGATGCGTGCGAATTCGGATGAACTACGTTCACGGTTTCCGGCGGACGGACATTAGTACTTGTGGAGTCAGGAGATGAGGTTGCCGACGGGTGCAGCATTATTGAGGTTGCGGAGCTAGGGGGTGCATTGGACGTGCTTGGAGCTAGGGTAGGGATAGCTGCTGCTGCTGCTGCCGCTTGTTGTTCGGATTCGTTTGGAATAAGCAGGCTGTTCAGCAAGAACGCCACTTTTCTTCGAACTGTGATGTCGGAGTCTAGATCAATGTATACACACATGATCAGAAAATGAATTCAAAAGAAGTTTTGATACAACATACCTTCGAGTGCGCTTTTTAGAACCTCCCAGCCGTCAGCGTCGTGCAATTGATGCACAGCCGCGGCGTTGTGCTTCAACAGGCCGGACAACGCATATACAGCCTTTGATCGAGTTTTGGATGAAATGATGGATGGTGAAAGGAACGAAAGTAAGGCGGGAATCGGTGATAATGCGAGATACTATACAACATAGATAAGTTTATAGACTATACGAGCTACATTGGTGAAGGCACGTACCGAGGTCTGAGCAGAGGGATTGTTTTGTACCGCTGTCCCCACGATCCACAACACCAGCCTCTTGATCTCGTCGTCCGAAGAATCCGACGTCAAGAGGTTGTGTAGTGGTTCCCACATTTTGAGCTTTTCCAAGTCTATGACGGAAGCGTCAACATGGCCACGCGCCAAAGTCATACACTCGCCTCTCACCGTTTGCATTGTCAATATGTTCAATGAGCTGAAGGCGAGATCAGTATGTATGTACGAACGACGTCGAATCGATCAGAGCTGCTCACCATTTCGAAATTGTCCAATGCCTGAAGTCGATCATCTAGCTCTCGCTTCTCGTCGAGAGCGATCGCAAGATTCTCTTTCAGCAGCTCCGAATCTGGCCTGCCTAATATCTCGTCAATAATAGCAGGATCGAGATCCTTTCGAGTTTCTGCAGGTGGCGTCGGATTGCCATTGGCATCCGTTGAGTGCTCGATACCCCAGCGAAGTAATGACTGCATCTTGTGGGATTCCTGGAACGACAAAGTAGGAAGCAAAGAGGTATTTATTAGCAAACTACGAGTTAGCATACAAAACGGTAAGGAGGAATATACTGGAAGCTTCAAGGGACTGAGCAGATAATACACCAGACGCTCTCGTACTAGTCGCCCGAATCGGTTGCAGCCGCGAAGTTGAGGCGGAGTGTGAACCTTACACATATATTTTACTCGCAGTCTCGCACTTGCACTTACTTCTGTGCATTGTTTTTCACTTCGTTCGCTTGCCAGGGGTCTTTGCTAGCTTAGGATAATCGTAAGTGTTCATTTCTGCTCGGGTTTCGATGATGATACTTCTATTACCATGTCCAACTACCGAAACATCATGTGGATTCCAATAACCATTAAGTTTCAGCCTTGGCTGACTTTCATGTCTTCTGCAATACTTTGCGATGATCAAACGAGCTAATCATCACTTATGGTTACAGGTCATTCTCTTCAGCTACGAACAGACTGGTTATCTGCAGCTGGTGAGTGTCTGACGTCCTTACTATACGCTCGTCGCGACAACGGATGAAATTCCATTCGATGGGCGGACACGAATGCATCCCGGCCTACATCAAAGTCTCTCGTGTACAAAAGTAGAGATTGGGCTGGGATGCTTGTTGAAATGCATCGAGAACTGACTTTTTTTCGCGTTCCGGTCATTTGGCTATTTACTAACTAGCTCTCTCTCTTTCTCAGGTTCGCTTTATTTGTTGGATCATCGCTGTCTGTCGATCCTATCCTTCCGTTATCTTACCCTCTTGTATCATCGTATCGTCATTTTGAAGAATGAAATATCTTTCTACGCCTGCATCTTTCTATTTGTGATGACTGGGTGTTGAACCGTACTGAATACTGATTGACTATTAACAACGTAAGAGTTACGAATATGTGCGAATAGACGCCCTTATAACACTTTCAAGTTCGTTCAAATATGTTGCTTTAGCTTTCGCTCACCCATTATCCATGCCATTCAACTTCTTGCTATGAGAAGTACGACGGCAGCAGCAGCGGCAGCAGTTCCATGGGCTATTCGCAGAAAGAAACCGACTGAAGATATCTCACTTCCCACAGATAATGAACGGGGAGACCGAGATGCCCACAAGCCGCTTCTAAATAGTGGCGTACCTTCTGGACAACCTGCGACATATGGCACTCTCAGTGGATCAAGAGTCAGTCCTGAACGCTTCAGGCGAAGCAGTAGCTCTTTGGGCAGAGTGCCCGAGGAGGAGCTGATACAAGAGGAAGCCGTAGCAGACGAGTCTGCTGAAGAGGTCGAATGGGAGTTAGAGGAGCAAGGTTTCTACAGGGGTACGTATATGCTATTCTTTCATCTACGTGATTCTCATTTTAGTACTTTAGGATCGTATCGAGCAAAAGTACTACTGTATACGTTCGTTCCCTTGGGCTGCCTACTCGTATTCACCATCCTCGCCGTACTCCCGAATCTTATATGGCCCCTGCGGAACGTCGAACCACCGCCGTACGGCCAATACTTTCCCTTTCCCCTCCCAGAGTTCCTAGTTGCATCGGCACTCTGGTCTCTATCTCGTTCAATTCGACTCCCTCTCTACACGGCCTTCTCCGCCCTCCTTCGCAACAAGTCCTCGCTACGGATAACAGTGTCCTTCAACCTAGTCTACGCTTTCACATACAACGTCCTGCGTATGGCTGCTCTCCCCATCCTGCGTATAAGACATGACATGGACTACCCATTACCCAGTTGCCGTGATCTAGCCTTCAGACGCGTTTGGTGGCTTGCATTGGGTTGGACCTTTATCGAAACCGCCATGGGTATTGGCCAGGACTATGCGCAGATCGCGTTGTATAAAAACGTGATGATCTCCGAGGATCAGGTGGCTGAATTGGAAAGCGACGTGTTGAATGGGACAGGGAGGGAATTGGCTTCCCCTTCGATCGAGATACTCCCTCTCAGTCCAAGGGATCCTACCGAGCGCCCTTCGCTTGCCCGCATAGCAAGTGGAAGTAGCGTTGGTCTGAACTCCAAGACACCCTCGCCTGTAACCGAAACTGAGGCATTGGAGCTTGAAGTAGACCGCGACCTTGAACAACTAGTTAACCTCAAAGAACGAGAAGACCTTGAAGAAGTCTATGGTCTGCCCATCATTGTGAGCTGCCTTTCCCAAGTTCTCGTCTCACCATCCTGACAAGCTGCATCCTCAGAAAATACCTGTATTTGTACTCTGCTTGCAACGCATCGATTCCATTCTCATCACCGTCGGCATCACCCTTGTTCTCTCTGCATCCTATCTACGTTCCCATATCTCGCTCTCTTCGTCTGCTTTGTCCAATCCACCGCTATCATCTAACAAACCTATACTCATCACATTCCCGTCGGTATTCCTTCTCAACACTTTTCTCATGATTCTGTATTCGCCGGCTGTGTTGCCGCGCCTTGGTATTCACACCGCTGCTTATATTGCTTTCTTCGTTGGCTTGGGTTCTTTGTTTGCTGGATTGGGACTTTGGGGAGCTCTTGCATAGTTTACGAGTTTCGGCCTCATCTTCACCTCTGAATGCTATCACTAACATTTACTTCGGGTTTCATTTCTATCCTCTCAAGAGTGCATTGCCGCTGCGCATGCGATTCTACGGCGAAGCTTATCGCCAACAACCGAACTCAAAACTCAGCGGCATATCCTGAACTGAATTTGATTTCTGAATTCGGTATGTTTTGTGCACGTTGCGATTGTCAACGGGTTGTTCCTCTTCATTCCCGCTCTACCTCCATACCATCTGCATACTGCTTGAAATCCTACACAGAATCTGGGACTCTCAAACCACCCCTTTCAGCGTATTTCCGCCTCATGATCTACACGGGACGCCACCAGCACTGGTTCACTTTACGGCATGATTTGAATTACGGTCCGGTTCGATGCTAAATTCAGGTTGGAGTGAGATCGAAAGGATCCTTACCAGGCCAAAGCTTTCTGGAACCGCCCCCACCCAGGACCTTGTTCATCGTCCTGAGTGTATCGGCCAAAAGAGGGGAAGTTTCAAAGGATGAATGGCGGCCTTGTACTTGCATAACGCTCTGTTTGCAAACGACCCACCTCAAACTCCTTCTCTAGCGCATAGAGCCTCGAGCAGCCGCACACCTCACGACAGGCATCTTTCTTCGCAATCCCTCGTTACTCTACGGACTACGACTTCCGAGCACTCACATCCCTCAGAACCACTTCTTCATGGTGCTTACTCGGAGTCTTCTGGTGGTCATGAACTGCTCACGAGACACCCAGGTTATCCCAACCCTCCGATACCTGGGCTTGACCCAACTCTTGAATCTGCGGCCCTTGGTCAGAGGGAACGAAGAAGGCAATGGGAGCTCGCGATTAGGAAGCGTTTGCGCTATCTTCGATGGGGAAAGAGAAGCCTTCTTTTGCTGATCGGTGAGGATGCCTTCCTTATTGCCCGACGATCACTGTACGATTAACATCTTCCTTCTGCTTCTCAAAAGGCGCATGGGCTACCTATAACACCGTTCGGTACTTCGTAGCTCTCAGAACGTTCACTTCTCACGACCGACACATTATTCTTCTTACCCTGGGTAGCGTATCCGCTCTTTCGACTGCTTTGGTTCTGATTTCGTTGTCGCTTTCTGCATTTGCTACCTATCTGGGATGGAAGGAATCCAACTACAGACATTTGTACAATATCATTCAGTCCTTTCTGGGCCATTCTGCTGCCTTTTTTCTCCTCGGACCCGCTGTTGTGAACCTTGTTTTCATTGTAATTTGGAGGTCTTCTTCTTCTGAACCGGCCGATACTGTTCAAGGCCGCTGTACTTGGGACATTGATGCTCTTTGGTCTGGGAGTACTTCGCTTTGCGATCCCAATCGAGCTACACCTTGGGGGTTCTGGCTTGTAGGAGCCATTGTTCGGTTAGTTTTGACAGTGGCTGTGACAGTAAGTGCACTCTTGCCGCAGATATGGCACCTTAACTCATATGGGATTAGTTGGCGTACTTGTTGCTTAGCCGCAAGTATTCGATGACCAGGAAACCATCCCGTCGACGACGCCGATATTCGCGTCCTCAGTCAATTTCCGAGTCCACAACAGACACATTGACATCATCTCCCTCGCTGAGCTTTCGACGCATGCTATCAAGTAGCCACTCACCCGTCTCCATCTCTCGTGCCGGTCGCCAACTTTCATATTCCACAGAGGTCAGCGTCGATACGTATGAGAACGGTGGAGCGTCCAGTTCTGGTGATCACCAACGTCTGCGTAGATCGCGTTCTCAAATACGCTCTCAATCATCGTATATACCTTCACCTCCTCTTTCACCTCCCATTTCCAGAGACGGTCATCCAACAACGCTTCGGTTTGCAGACGAGGAGACAAGGGACTCACCTGAATCCTCGGAGGAAGGAGAAACGGGTTCTTCTCAGGCAGACCGCTTATGGTATAGCTCGTCATTTCGGGAGGTTCCTGGACCATACGCTTTCGTTTCAATGCCTTCAAACTATGCTCAGCCACGTGCCTCTGTCGAACCTGCCAATTTTCCTCAAGATGAAGACCTCACCACATTCGCGTATCAATTCCGTAATCTCGTAGACCAAGTCACTCGTGAGACCGAGGCAGGCATAGAGATGGCCGCCAACGATCATCCCGGTGGTTACATGCTTGGGCGCGCAGCTTCCCCACCTACCACCCCTCGACCTCCTGCGCATGAAGACCGTGACTACTTTCCATACATGGGTCACATTATCCAACGCATGCCTACCATAGAGTCCTTAGGCTCACGAGAAGTGACAAGCCTCGCCACGTCCAGTACTCGCGGAGATCGTTCCGTACATAGTCTATCTCGGCCCCCTACTCGTTCAAACACTTTGTCAATGGCCTCAGACAGTAACCCGCCGAGCCGGAGTAACAGTCTCACGGCGAGCGTTATCCTTTCGCCGGCTGAAGGACCTACTAACGTTGGTGTCAGTGAACTCGGAGAAGTGACGAGGCCGCCGGGTTCGGGCGCACAATCAAATGGACGAACAAGGAGCAGGAGTGTAGCGTCTTACTATACCGCCGTCAGCAGTGCGTACTCTGTACCAAATTCCCCAGTGGATAGTCTAGGATTAGATGCGGCTCGATAGAACTGGACTGTGACCCTGGGGCCTAAGAGATTCTATCCTTATCTCTGGGTGGTCATTGATCGTATGGACCCATAGAATGTACTCTACAATACAAGCATCACGCTGGTCATAAGCGTGGCAGTTGGAATTGAATTGAATTCATAGCATTCATACGCTGGACCACATCGCGGTTAGATATTTTTCCGGATAGACTCTTCTGATCACAGTTGAAAGATAGCATGTTCAATCCCACACAACCCGCCACCCGCAGCTGCCATCCCCCAACGAATGTTGCTTATGCTTTATTCTAGACTTCTAGAGTAAAGAAGCAACATTTTCGACAGGACCGTCATGGGCAGCATTTTCATGTCCGCGATTATGGGCGTTAGATGCGACCAAACATGGTTAATGTAGTTTAGCAAAAGCCGACCACCACAAGATGATCTTGTTCAGCCCTGGCAGCGTCTGAAGACATATGTATATCTGTAACATTGGCGGTATTAGAGGCAAATATGCTTATCAAAAAACGCAAATTACCTGATGGTGACTAGAAAGGCTGGAAATCATCAAACGCAAAGGACCGACTCGGACACGTCAATAATCTGGTTTGGCTCTGTCAGTTATCTTGCTCCACTTGTTATGTATAAGCTTCTCATGAAGCAGATTCCATGGTTCTTTATCCTGTTTTCTTCTGGAATACCCTAGCCTTGTCAATAAGACTTCAAGAGCTCCGATTAGACCTTTCCACTTACACACGTTGCAATTGGTTGCTCCATAAGACGAATGTACGATGTGGCGTCGTCCATGGTCGTGCCAAGTAACATCAACCGCTCAGTACACGCACACCCTTCAACGTTTGTGTGGAGCGAGTTACGCTAAAAATATCGTGCCGCTACACCTTCTCGAGTACTCAGCGTATGAGGTATAGGCGTATTCAACAAAATGCCTTGGTGTACATGGCGATACGCTCTTCGCAGCCAATGTCGATCTTGTCCGTGATGATCGGCGTGTTCAACTCTCTTCCGTGATCGTTGTAGAAGTGGGCCTAACTGTGCAGGCCGCCAGTACTGCCATGATAGCGCTCCTATACATTACGGCGCTCGTATCGTTAGTCAAGTATTCGTGCCCGCAGGATGCAGGGTTTTGCGTCCTGCATATGCATGCTTCTAGTCTTATGACGGGATCAGGTGTACACTCTGGCTTTTTTTTCCATGTCCACATACCGACTTCATCCCGCGTATTTGGCAGGTTATAGGCGAAGAACTTTAAAATTCGAGGCACGATTTCCCAGTATCAGAATAAGGAAGAGCCTCACCATGCCCAAGTGAGTGCTGAATGACGTATCACGGAGGAACGAGATCACCGGAAAGCTGATGTGCGATAGATCCATGTCAAGGGAAGCTATAAAATGCTTTTCTCCCTGAATGTGTGCCTGACATGACTGTAAGTTTCAGCTCTTCACAACTGATAAACGACGGACCCGATTGCTATTAACATATCATCGCTCTATTGTCTACAGGCACTCGAATTCTCCGCTGATGGCCTTGTCGATTTGACAAGTAGGACCGAGTTTCACGGTACAAATCAACGCACCCCAAGTGTATCACAGTACAGATGTCGCCACGGATCACATCCTCTGGCTCGTGCGCGGCAGGCAAGAGTTCCCGCAATTGGCATGAAAGAACAGCGAGTACGGTCAAAATGGATTAGAATGTTGGACGTAGGCAGGCGATTACACGAGGCAACAGTATAGTACTGGCAGCATAGAATAGCTTCGTCACGAATGACAGTTTGACTTGCGTCAGGCTAGCCTGGGTGTAACAAAGAAGTTGCTACTTCTGTTGTTCGGAGCTAATGTGATTACGTTGAGCCGTTCTTGCTGTGATCATGAATATATTTCGGCAGCAGAGAGGTACGTACACAGGCACATAGACGCAAGGTATACCCCGGCGTTCGCAGTTGGCACATGTCGAACGGCCGTCGCATTTGAGTTTACGGCCTATAAGTATAGTATACATCGGCACCGCAATATAATATTGGAATAGCACATCTTTACCCACCTCTACAAAAGGTGCACGCCATAGGCGTTCTGCGTGGCGTTGCAGCGGGAGGGTCGTTTTCATTCGTATTTGATTCCTGTGCATTTGACTAAAATGAGAAAAAGTCAGAAAGTAAGTTCACGGGTAACAACGGGATTACACTCGCCGAGCTCATCGTTGAGAAATCCAAAAGATAGCCAGGGAAGATAGTGGAGGGGGAGCAGGTTTGAGGGTGATATGGTGCATGGTTAAGAGTAAGCCCCGTCTTTATACTGTGTTGCATCGATATTCGGCGTCCGAAATATTTTCAAGCTAGCTTACATCGGGATCCGTGGTGACCGAGCTATAGCGCAGCGCACAATTGGGGCTGGGAGCTCATCTATAAGTGATCCCATCGCAAAATCCGAGTTAAACCTGATTTGGGGAGGGAATAGCGGGAACTTGATATCTGCTACTACAGTCGGAATGACATGAGGCTGAGCGCCAGACAAGGAGCCGCGCCATTGTCAAACACATTACCCCAAAGCAAAAGGGTGTAGATATGCCAATGTTCATTGTCCAAACAACGCTACAACTATCAGACGTGACACACCTGGCTGTCACCGAAGATATCCGGCGTTCCGAGAATCGCATCCTAGGATTTGTGGATTGTGACTCGCGAAAGGTGTTATCAGTCGTTGTAGACAGGTCTGGAATCAAAGTATGAATCCATGCACAAAGTCGTACCGAGCTGCTGGATATACGTACCGCCAAGACTTGTTATGTCAGTCGAGCTTGATTTGTGAGCGTAATCCCAGTACTAGCGCGATTAAACTGATGTCATCTCATATTGGGGCCGAATACGATCTCGCTGATTGACCTAGACACCGATCAGAAGTGGTGTTGAATCGCAAGATGAGTGGCATACTGACTAAAATCACATCCATTCACTCATCGATACCACGTTCGTGGTGCGATCAGTGGGATAGTACCTTGTTGCATCTTGTCTAGGCTCCTATCGCAACTATGAATAGGCGTCCTCATTCAAAAAGGTTGCGTCCAATAACTCGCCCGAACTATATAGGTAAAGGTGTAAGATATCAGTGCCATCACAAAACATACGGCACTATCAGCATACTTACCTCGTGACAAGAAACAGTGTGAAACGACATCCTATGTCAGCCTTTGAAAGAACTGCCATTTATCAGGCCAACCTTATTAACCGCCCCTACCCGAAGCCGGATTGAATGAAATCGCCATAAAAGCTTCGGAGGAAGGCTGGGCAACGGTAATTACTCAGCCTAGCGTCTTGATACTCGACGTCCGAAAAATGCTGGATAATGACAATAAAGTCTTGCCTCAGCCGCTACCATTGTTGAGTCGATAGTCGAGACATCGAGAAATAGTAGCCTGGGATTAAGTATAGTGGCCCGAGAATCGTCGGATTTACGAATCACGAACCACCGAGGCAACGGGATCCCATTACCGCCTGCAATTACAAATATGCAGAGGCGACCGAGTGGCTCATCGCGTGAGCGGTCGAAAGACTGACCTATTCTCATGTCCTATATCAGAAAAGAAAGGTGGTGTGTGGCGTATTGGGCTTACTTCGTTGGAGAAAGCAAAGAAAGAGAATCCAACCAACGTCGGGATTATATTTCTCACCTGAATGAAGGGTAGAGTTTCGGCTCTCGCGTGATGTTTGCTGATTATAAGGAAGAGATACCCTTACTTTGTAACACAATTCTAACGGCGAGTACCGTAGTCAACTGATTAAGTTCAACATACCGCAAATGAGATGACTATCATTTCCCTTGCCACGAAGATGTGGTTTACTCAACACTGATCATCCAGTGTCCAATAAGCTTCTCAACTATCTCGCGTAACTGACCCAGCACCAATTGTGGTTAGAGTCGGAGTTGAGAGTGCTGCATGAGGCAAGAGCTATCAGCACGAGAAGAGGCATCAAAGCCGCGGAACTTCTGAAGAAAAGTTCGACCAGACTCAGTGATTGAACGCAGAGGTTCGATGGTAACATGACCTTATGAGAATCTTCAGCGTAACGAAAGCAGACAGTGCCGTGCGAGAACTGTGCAGAAATCTCACCTAGACCATCATATCCAAGATGAAGGGTGGTGAATAGGCTAGCACTCTTTGGTCAGCCGGCAAGACGACATATCGACAGCGTTGACGATAACTGTCTGTAGAGGGCTTGAGTATTAGGATTTGTCGTATCTTCCTTTCTTAGAAGGAAGAAACACTCACACGACGTGGCGCCATTAGGACCAGGCAAAGAAGGCTTGCAACGCCTTGTACCGACAGTACACAGGTCCGTTTCCGACAAGATGCCCTTCCCAATGTACAGCCATAAATTCAAAACTGGATTGATGATATATGCTCGAAGGCAACCTGCAACTCGAGATTGAGCTGCACGAATGTACTACGGATAGTCGGGCCGGATTCTCTAATATAAACCTGAGCAACCAGCCTGAAAAGCACGAGTGTATGTACACATGTATTTGGATCGTTGATACGCTCTCTTGAAAGGTATTTATTTGAGTACTGCATATCTCAAATTCCTTACAACTGATAGTACTCCGCGGGCCTCATGAAGAACGATAGTAACATCAGCTTTCGAGCGAGAGGAACGGGATGTCTAGATACTTGATAACGATTGAATCTCTATCAATATAAAACGCTTCATAGGCATTCATTTGGCTGTAAGGCGGACATCGGCGATAACGAGTTGAAGGCAGGTCAAATATATGGCTTTTCGTTGAAGCCAGGAAGAATCTCTGCAGTCGTATGCTTCACATCGCCTCGAACAACATCTTTCGTACGCTGCCATTTTTGCTTCGCAAACGTCCACTCTGATATATCAGGTCAACAATAGAAGTTCCAGTGCGAAGTCAAGAAACACACCTTCCATGGTAGGCACTGGGTTGCCGGTCTTCTCAAAATTGTTCTGCGTATAACCTTCGCGCTGCAGCACCGGCGATTCTTTGACTGTCACCAGAGGAACATCGTTATTGGGACTATTCAAACCACGTTCACTGGAAGTCCACAATCTATGAAATGATAAGACACACCGGGAGAAATACAACAATCCGAGCCTGTCCACATGTTCCTGATCCTTAGGCGGCGAAGATACTCTGGCGCCGAGGTTCCCATGTTATCCGTGTCCGTGATAGACTGGCTAAACAAGAGAAAGATAACTCACCTATGTATAGTACTCCTGACATATCCAGCCGTAAGAAACGACAATGCATCGCAAGCATTTACTGTCAACGTAGCATCTAGTGGTTTGACCCACTTCCACTCCCCAGTGACATGGTTCTGAATCTGAAGGGCAGCAACAGGCTGACGGAAAAGGAGAGTCCAGGAACCAAGATCTGACAACCCGCATGTCAAACAAATGATCGGCCGCCACATGTGAAGGCGACAAGTTGATACCTGTGTGTCCAGGAACCCAGCTACGGCCGATCTTGATATTCTCTTCTGGTGTAAACTTGCTGTACTTCATGTACCGGAGATGGTCCTGAATATTGATGAGTGCCTGTCGAAAGCCATAGCAATATGACCAAACAGGGAACGTACCTCGCTCTTGACATCATACTTGTGAATGTTTGTAAAGTAATCTTCCGGAAGTTCCAAGGCGATGGCAAGCAAGACGTGCAAAGGATCAAGCACCTCGGAGTGAAGAGACTGACAGTGGCATGAAGATCAATTCCGGTCTGTAGTCGCGCAGATGCAAGGCGCACCCTTGCAAACGCCTCAATTTCCTCCAACCGATCCTGGATGACACCCGGATGTTTGTGTTCGAAGTCGCCATTAAACTCTGTCACCAATATGAACTCAATGGCGTCCGAGATCCAGTCATATGCATGGACGTACTCGGAATATTGTATATCTCCGTACGATCTCTTAAGCCAGATGTTGAGTCGAGGCTGGATTTGCCATGAAAATCCCAGACGCAAGCTTGAAGTACATCGCACTCACACATAGCGACCGGCTGGCACATAACCATTGAACTTGCCAGCGTCTGTAGAGTTACACTGTCAAACGCGACCTTCACACCCTCAAAGCATACCAAGACGTACCTAATCCCCCAGGAACATACTTCAACCTTTCCTCCAAAGGGAGTTCATAAAATTGCTTTCCAATGGAGAACTGGCGATTGACGCGGTCTTGCGGGATATTGAAGTTCTTCACGTAGAAGAAGCCATCTTCGCGGACGGCCTTGATCAGAGTCTGCGCAAGTTGCTTCCTGCCTTCTGCGGTTTCATAGAGGCTGAGGTCGATCGTGATGAGATCGGCCCAATCAAGGTTTTCCTAATGCGGCGTCGTCAGTAAACTTGAGAGTGTCATTCATTAAACACCAGACACAACGGCAAAGTACCTTCGTCTCTGGAGCGAAATTGAATGATCCGAGTTCAAAGACAGGAACTGGCATTTTGCTAGTAGTTATTCAAGTAGTGTCTGTTGTGTGACTACTCAGCTTTTGAAGAGTTGGCCTCCAGCACCTCTTGATCTTCCTCGAGTATTTAATTTACCTTGTTATCTTCCGGATTTGCGGCCTCCATCGTGATGCATCTGCTTTCTAATATTCTTTAAAGCTATGGCAAAAAAATGGGTCACCTCATCAGCTTCTGCGATGACGTTATAGCTAGAGTGTGGCACGTAAGAACCACCACGGGACCTACAAACTGCGTGCAAGTCAGTACAGAAGAAGGATATCAATCATAGCACCTCAGTTTGACGTGCTTTCGCAACATCCATGCAAGAAATAGGAGATAAAGATACGAGTGAAAAGGTCACAAGACTCGAGCGTCTTGGGGCGGATTTATCGGCCCTTCGCAGAAGCCATCTGCGTTTGATCGCAGGGTGTCTCGAAATCATAATTGCAACAGGAGTTCAGAGCTGCCAGAGTGTCATTTTCAAGACAGACAAACATATCAATACAAAGCCAATGTTACAAGAAGTCATCACGTAGATAGAATGATATTGATACACTCAACAGTCACCGGCTAGTTCGAGATGGTATCCTTGTGTCCCTTCTCGCTCTCATCTTCACCAGGGATGTCATCCAACTGTGTCAAAGGCGGGATCAGCAAACTGTTCAACATTCTTTGACAAGAAAAAGTCGTGAGAGCGGTACCTTATCGAGGTCTTCTAAAGCTTGCTGGATAATATGGATGCCCTTGTCCAAATCCTCCTCAGAGATTACCAGTGGAGGGGAGAATCGAATGCTATCGTTAAGTGGTGAGAAGACAAATTTCACTCTCAATCGTAAAAAAAAATAGCTTACATGTTGACATGGGTAGGCTTAGCCAATAAACCTCTGCTCTTGAGCAACAGGCAAAATTGCCAAGCAGTTCGTCGTTTCGAACTCTTCTCTTCATCAATTACAATGGCGTTGAAGAGACCTCGTCCGCGAACGATCTTGACCAGCGGACAGTTGAAGGATCGAATGCCTGCGCGGAACCTTTCGCCAAGAACCTCTGCACGTTTTGCAAGATCTTCATCAATGAGGACGTCGAGCGCTGTCATTGCGACTGCACAACCGAGAGGGTTGCTACAACATTACGTGATGAGCTCATAGACCATATGGAATGTTGGGTGGAACGTACCCTCCGTATGTACTACCATGTTCACCGGGTTTAATGCAAAGCATTACATCACGATCCGCGAGGACCGCTGATACAGGATATACTGGAAGAAAGCATGTTAAATGAGCGACAACGATGTTACATAAATGTCGCAGAACCTACCTCCGCCGGAAAGCGCCTTTCCAAGACAAACAATGTCAGGTCGGATGTTATCATGCTCATAGCACATCATCTTCCCTGTTCGGCATAGGCCCTGAAAAGAAGTGAGCATGACAGATCAACACATGTTGACAATCTTACCGTTTGGATTTCATCAAGAATAAGCAGAACGTTGTGCTTCGTGCATAGCTCGCGAACCTTCTTCAAATAGCCCTCCGGTGGTACAACAATTCTATAGCGTCCACATTAGAACGTGTCAGAGATAGTCCACGTGAAAATCAACAACGTACCCTGCTTCACCCTGGATGGGCTCTACAAGAAAGGCAGCAACGTTCTTGCCATATAGTTCCAGGGCCCGCTCAATGTCGGAAATATCGCCATACCGTATCGTCCTCGATTTGCCGTTGTCGTCGAAAATGGGCCCAACCAGCGGGAGGTATGGGCCGAAACCAGTACGACTTTCCGGGTCGGTACTCATACTAGGAAGTGCTATTTTAGTCGTAGGGCCTCAGGGCGGGGTAGAACACCTACCTGATGACACCAATTGTTCGGCCATGGAAATTGCCTTCCGCACTGAAGACAATGGCCTTCCCTTCAGGAACACCCTTCTTCTGGTACGCCCACTTACGTGCCAACTTTACGGAGGTTTCTACTGCTTCAGCCCCCGTGTTCATAGGAAGGACCATGTCGAAGCCAAAGATCTGAGTAATCTTCTTGGCATATTGCCCGAAGACTGAATTGTAGAATGCTCGCGAGGACAAAGTAAGCTTCTGTGCCTGCTCGACGAGTGTGGCTACAATGCGGGGATGACAATGACCCTAAACGTTGGTAAAACTATGATCAGTCATACGTCACACGCGAAGCTCGGAATATATTTGTGTCGGTCCCAGCCAGAACATGCCCGGAAGTAGTTGCAAGAGACCAATCAGCGGCATCCACAGGAGTGGAAGCGGGTGAGCTGAACTCCATTTTACCCATTCAACCCATCTTCGACCTGTCAAGGCCTACGATGTTTGATGAGAACCCCTAACGGCCTCTCATATGACGTCCGTGTGCCTGTTCCAATTTGGTGAATAGAACCATAGCGGCATTTGAACGTGAGGTGCTCCTCGAGAGTAGTAAGACCGAGGCCCCACATTGAGAGCATTGAATGGTGGCCTCCACAAACTCTGAACCGGCTCGGAGGATACTGTACAAAAACCGAACGCCGGGACGGCGTTCTGTGGCGTGCAAAGGAACTCGAAGTGCCGTAAACGCTAGTCCCGGGGCACAGATCTGGAGCCATTGGAGATACCACCGGCTGCACACGAAACTAAGAAGGAAACCATGACTAACCTGATTAACAGCCCTGCACATATATATCATCAGATGAGTGAACATCGAGAAGTGGACTAAAAGCAGACTTACGAATACGCGGAGAGCATATCAATATACTCTCTGCCTTCAGGGTCCCATACTCTGCGTAACAGATTGAGATTGAGTATCTATCATTTCTGAGTGTGCACGGCAAAAATAACGCACTTGGCACCCTTGCCGGATTCAAATACGACAGGGAGTGGATGGTAACTGTACAGAGAGAATTGTGCGTAAGTTTCAAGCCATATAAAAGACACAACAGGAGACGCGAAGTACGATGGTTCTCCTTCCTCGGCGCTCGCATTCTATGCTGCTTCCAAAGCCTCCGCGCTAACTTGGACTGTGACATCAAGGAAGCCTTGGTGATGGGGAGCCTGACTGCATGTAACGATGTCCGAGTACTCACTTATGGGCTCCGAACTCCTGCTCGAGCTGAATCACATCCGCTGAAGTCAGTGTCACTTCGTCCTTCCGCCCTGTAGTGTTCCGTTGGTCTTTCAATGATAGGCCGCTTGTCGCGGTCTGTTGCTTCTGAGCGAGAGCTGATGGTGCCATATTCACAGGGTGTGCTGTATGTACTTCAAGTCAAGAGTTGCAGAGTTGTTATCGTTGGAATGTCGTGGTTAGAGAGTAAGCTAAGGTCACTCTCACTCCAGCCACACTCTGGAGGGGCGGATCATCATCTAGGCGCTTACTTCGTTCGTTTGGCGCTAAACGCTACATCTCCTAACTTGTCCAATGAAATTCCACGAATTGCGAGCTCAAGCCGATCTCGAAGATGAAATAACAAGTGCTACATATGTGGATATATACAAGACATAATTACGACGAGGTATAGGTGTAAAGGTATGAGGGTCTGTAGTCTGAGAGAGTAGGTCAAAAATATAGTACACTCGACTGCAGGCCGGATCCAGAAAGTCCGCAAATATGGAGGTCGTCATCGGTCTGTCACAGTAAGCGTCCTCGGAGCATGTACCGTAAAGAGGTAGATGGATTCTAACAAGCCGGGCTTATTGCAACTCTTTCGGCCATTCTCGCCTTGGTCTCCATCGACCGTCTTTGTCGAATCGGGGGTTAAGTGGGAAGTTTACGCCATCACCTTCGCTACGGCCAATAGGCACTGCGAGGATAGAGAGAGACAATCAATTTGTGAGCTCTCCTCAAGATGAGGGCGGTCACGCACGGAACCACTCCCACACACTATGTCCCATAACATACTCCCAATTTCGCCGGTAGCTTCCAAGCCACCACATATTTCCTTCTTTACTGATTCGACCCCATTCTTTATCCCATTGTTTCTTCGTTCGACGTTTAGCACTGAGAGAAAGGCTGATCAGAACCTGAGTCGCAATGTTTTAGGGAACATGCTTACCCAAACTCATACCATTCGTGAAGGCGAGCCAAGACTGTCTTCTCCCGCTCCTCCGTTCGTTGAAAACCCATGGATTCAACAGTGGTATAGTTCATGATGATGAGACGCATCTGCGTCGCTAAGAGGGCCAGAGTAAAGACGCTGAATAGACCTGACCTGTTTCGCCGTAAGGACGAATGCTCAAAACGTAGTATGCAGAACGTACAAGGCTGTGACGACAACTTCTTGAGGATCGATATTTTCATTTGGACCTTGTGAGGCCTTCACATTTTGAGCGACCAAGGTACTGAAAGTCCAAAGGCAAAATAGACAAGCCCACTGTAAGAAATTGACGAAAAACTGTGTTGCGTTGATTAGTGTTCCAATTTCGTAAGAATGCAGCCAGCCACTTACCTTGTGATTACGGGCCCCAACACATTGCCCGATCCCTAGAAAATCGCATCAGACGGAGAATGCAGGGAATGACAAGTGCAAATTCATACAAGGACAATGATGATCATATTTCAATATGCACTATCTCTCTGTCAGAACTATCCCAAGATCGACACCGGGTGTGAGCGTCGACACTTACTGTTCCGCATGCACGACAATGATGCGCTCGTGTAGGTTTGACAAACCCGTCTTTATAGCAATATCGGTATTCGGGTAATAATGCTGGTGTGGGAGGCGGTTTCCTGGTGAACATCATCGGTTGTTGATTTGGTAGAGGTCCCGTCCCCGTATTCGCGCCGGTGGGGTTAGAGTAAGCGCTGCCGTTTTGTTCGGCATGCACACGAGCATTCTGAACTGGAGGCAGAGTGCCCATAACACCAACGTTAGTGTCCTCTAATGAGAAGAGAAGCACCCAGTAAGGACAGCGATGCTGAAAACCTGAGAAGACAAAGCACACCTTGCTGAACGGGTTTCTCAGAACCATTCGTAACTCGAGCTTGCGCAGAATGACTCTTGGGTTGTGAGGCTGAGCCATTCCCGTGCTGCTCTTGAGTTGGTGGTACATAAGGGCCGTGCCCGATCTCGCTTTCAGAATCGAACCAAGCGGGTACATAGTTTTGGATCACAGGTTCTGGAGAAGGATCCACATGCTACTCAACTTGAATGACTATTCCATTATATGAAAGTGGGCAAAACGTACATCTCGAGCTTTTCCTGGACTCGTCAAGGTGACCTAGATGAAGATGAGTATATTCATGCTCCCGATCTCTTCAGCCTCACCTTTGCATACGCCCAGAGCATCGTCAAGCCTAACAGGCAGAATATAACGAGGAAAGGAACTATCCACGATGGAGATTTCATCAATTGAATACCTCTACAATGTACATAGTACCTAACTGAGTACTCACTACCTATTCGCCTTCCGCCCAAGTCTCCAGTATTATCCCTGAGCATGGGTACGCAGAAGCGTCCGATGTATACGTAGAACGCGTAGCCAATGATACCCAGCGTCATCCCAATGGTCATTTTGAGGACGATCCATGGCTGTGGTTTGTTTCTCCTCTTTTCACGATTCTTCATAGATTTATTGGCAGCATCTTGTACGACTCCGCAGCATTTGTGCTCGGAATCGGTTAATTGACCATCTTTGCCCATCACCAGCGTTCAGTCTCCAGAAGAGCCAGATATCGGCAAAGATGCACTCCCAGTAGACTCCAAGGATCCCAGAAACCAGTGAAATGAAGAGAATGGACGAAGCAGCGCAGTACGCCGTTCCGAAAGGTGGACAATCGAGATGGACTAAAGATGTTGCGGCTGGATTTCGGATGACCAGATCACAATTTCATGATCTAAATTAAATAATAATTATAAATAACGCTGTCGTGGCGTAATGGTAGCGCGTCGCCCTCCTACGGTGATGATCCGTAATCCATTGCGAGGCGAAGGCTGTGGGTTCGAGTCCCACCGATAGTAGTGGTTATTACTTTTGTCTACACTTATCGATCGTCCCGTACTGCACGATCAGAACGGAAGTCTACCACTGTCCACCATTCCTTAGCTACACTCCTTCTCAACTTACGGTCTTACTATCATGTCCAAAACGCTCAGCAACGGAACGCTCAGTTTGCGTTTTATGCAAAATGCTCGACGAGCGAAGCAACAGGCACAAGTAGAAGCGGAACAAGCGAAAATCAAAGACGAGGCTGAATGGGAAGTTTCTCAAGTGGTAAAGGAGGCATGGGGGATAGGGTCGAGTTCACAAATACGGTATGTTCCGTCCTTGAATTGGTTCTTTGTCAATATTCCACTCTTTTTAACGAGTTTGCTCAGGACAAGTGCCATTACACACGAGGCGTCCTACCTGCCTTTCCTATTCTCACCTACGGCAGATGACCAAGGCGATTCGTCTACTCAGGCTGCTTCAGTTAGTGTACCCAAACTCAAAGGTCGCCGTACATTTAATGCCCGTGGCCAAGAGGTCATATCGGAAGCTGTAAGTCCATCAGTATGGTTATCTTTGTTCCAATTGACAATTATTCTGTCCATGTGAACCGTCATAGAAAGCGGAGGTGAAGGAGGAAGGCCAGGAACGTGATCAAGACCCGAAAGATGCTTCCAAACCTACCAAGCGACCTAGGACTATCTCCGGATTCCAAGCTCCCATCTCGATCACGAAAACCAAAGACTCGAAACGAACTAAAACGGCACAAATGCTCATTCGGGAAGATACAGGCAAAGGGCTACGAGCACCTCCACCTCTACAGATGTTCGGAGGCTCTTCCAGGCCACAATCTACGTCTTCTGAGACTGGGTTCTTGAAACCATCCGGCGTTGACTCGCCTTCGGCATCTCGTCAGAATGGGTTCTCAAACCCATCTAGCTCGATGCAAAAACGAAGCAGGGAGACCGAAGATCCTACCGTAAAGGAGGAGAAGCGGCGCAACAAAAAGAAGAAAGAAGCGTCTTCTTAGACTGCTTTGCGGTTTGTTGAACGCTCTTATCATGGGTGCCTTTATGTTATGCCCGCGGACTGTCCGCAAGGCCAATACCCCTTTGAGGCATTTGTCTGGATAGCCGCGTCCATTGGGAATCAGGTACGTTATGTTTTATATGCGTCTATCGCATTGAAGACGTTGATTGGCCACCAAATCCTTTACTTACCTCATTATCAAAGTGTCAGCCTACACGCTGTGTTCTCCCGCTCCCTAGGCAGACAGTCTCCTGACCGTTCAGGCGTCCGGTCTCATCCGCATTGATTCGATTTCCCAGGCGCTCCGTCGTTGTGTACAGTACCACACACCCATGGAAGATTGTATACCAGGTGTATTGGCTTGCAGGTATTGTATTGTATCATCCATACTCTGGATTGGGTACCAGTGTGTAGCGCGTGACCATAGTTTTGAACTTATGAAGAGCTTCTAGGGTGGGCATCGAGGGCCTTGAGGAAACCTTGGTCACTTCTTTTTTCACATGGCTATCCCCCCTCAAAGTCCACAATATTAACCCTTTGAAATGAAGCAGAGAAAACTGGGTGAATAGCTGGGTGACGTATTTCAGTTCTGCAATACTATTGGCCGCTTCTTTGATGAGGCAGCTATTGAATTCTTTCAGCCGCATGAGTCTGGATCGTCGTCGTTCGAACGCCTGTTCATTGAACGTTCCAGAAAACATAATAGGGCAGTCGCACATAGGAACGCATGTAAAATGTACGACATCGAAGTGCAACATCCAGATAATGAGTTTGTGGATCCCGCCTCACTTGACGTGATTTTCCATATAGAACTTGACATTACCTGGCCAACTGTATAGGTATGCTGCCTCGTGACGTCAGACTGCTGCAAGAGGACTGAATTACCAGAGTCACGAAACATGTTTGGGCGTAATTGAGATCCAACCGAGCGACGTTCTGACCGGGGAAAGACAATCGGAATCTCCATAAACTAAGCACCTTGGCGATCCCACTGAAACGTCGATCAGGCCATAGCGGAGACATCACCAATAGGATACCTGATACCAAATAAAGTCCGAAAATTCCGCCTATGTACATCAGTTCGGTTGGAATGGTACATAGATCCCTCGCACGATGGGCCACCTCTGCCAAGGCATGAAAATAATCATCCTTAGGAAGGATATTCCCAATTCTACTAAAAGAAGCGAGAAAAATTGGGGGTTAAGGTGGCTTGTGAAAATGTTGCCCTGTTCAGGACGTAAATTGTGCGTTCCCTGTCTTGCGCGTACAGAAAAAATTTGGCAAGCGACCCCGGCGGACGGTGGATTATAGGAATATGAGGGTCTGGTAAGCTTGAGAGAAAAACGATGATAGAGTTCATGTGTGAGTCCGAGTCGCATCGGACGAGAACCACCAATTGGCGGTCTCCTAAGCATAAGGCCGGGCGTGTCCTCGATTTGTTACTATTGGGATGGTCAGCACGGACTTGGCATGGGCTGCTCTATAGGCGTGAAGTCAAGGTTCTCCTGCATGTTTGTAAGAGAGACATCATCGACAGAAACAATTCTTACCAGTTGTTTTAAGATAAGAGACCCATAAGTGCTTGTCTCATCTGCACAGTAAGCAGGAAACAAATATAGACCCTGTGTGGAGATTGGAGTTAACCCGGTGCGTACCCAAAGGTGATAACACTTCTTTGATCAACGCCAGAAAGAAAGACTCGGATCATACTATCGGATCGAAAGACAAACAACTTCTTCTTCGTCTACAGGATTGAATAGTATTGTAACAAAGTTCGCGCAGCGGACTTCATTGCATCAGCACTTTGCGCCAGAATCCGGTTGGTGGCGGCCGACGCGCTGCAAAGGATGTCTTGCTGACATAGGCCATCAAGCATCAAGCATTCAAAATTTCAAGTCTCAGCCGGAGGAGTGATTTCTCTTCCGACGTGACAGACTGACAGAGACGTGTCAGAGAAGTTGTTCACGTCAGAAAGAGACCGAAGGGTCGGCCAGTAACGTAACGGCTAAGCTTCAAGTTGAAGAAACGCCAAGTGTGCGGGTATGGAGGGGTATGGTCGTTGCCTTCCGAGATGTAGACCTGAAGCTTCGAGGTGAGTTAACTTCAATCATGATGCAGCGAAGCCACGAATGAGAAGCGGCACCAGGGGTTCTGAGCAAGAACAATAGTAGTGGCGCTTAAGCACTAAGAGGGTATGTTAGCTCGCAGATAAGACTTGTTAGAATTTCGAAGTCCTAACAGCGCCGCTTTATATTGGTCATGACAGAGATGTCAATTGAATGAAGAAGCTTGGACATAGACAGATCGTCGTGACGCCTGTTATGGATGAGCGACATCAAGAGTCCCTGTGATAAGTTAGTAGAACAGGCGATCGTCCCACATCCTGAACTTTGTGATGCCCCTGCATAGAAATGGACCAACGAGTACTCACGTACAGGTTTTCGACCGAACGTTCAAGGGCGACTCTGCTATCAAGGATGTATTTGACAGGTGACAACACTTCCTGTCATTCATATACAGTTCATCCATGACGTGTGCTATATAGTCCACAATACGATCGAACTCACACGAAGGCGAGCTAAGCGTGTCGCTATGACCAAGATATGACTCTAGAGGCACCTCCTGCGAATGCTCGCACAGAGAAAGGAGAGCTAGAAGGCCCTGGATGCTGAACACTGCGAACCTGCTAGTAACGTCCGATTGCCGAGGATTCCGACCGATTAAAACCCAATCGGCACCGACAATACAATACCACATGTCCCAGTTCAGGAATAGACAGGAGAAACGCCACCAGATGAGAAGTGCAGCGTTTCGTCCTGAGAAGATTAAGATCCAACACGTTCATTTCTCTTGAGATGCCGGACACGAGGAGACCGATGTAACCGGCGTCCTTTCCTACGAACTTCATTGGCGTTCCTCGCTCATTACAGAGAGCGACCTTCTCTCCATGTTTTCATTCTTGTTCTTCGCATGAGAGTCAGGCCCCAGACCCTGGACAACTTACTCCAACGTTGAACGTGACCCAGAACAATTAGTATTGCCATCGAGAGCGTTACAGGCACAATGAGAAAATGGGGCTGCTTCTCAGCGTTCCATCCCGGGATGAATCCGAGACCAGCGAAGACAAGTGGATAGTGGAAGACCTTATATGTCCACACGAGAGTCGTGGCGGAGTTGGCGCGTTGACGCTTCGGAAAGATACGATGGCGAGCAATATTTTGCCAGATTCGCTGCAACGTACTGCAACGAGGCATCGTCTCTCGATCCGACAGAGCAAAGACAAGTACATACGCCCCATGCCCTTGGATGCAGGCTGTGATCGTTCCGGTCGGTGTCCTCCGAAGGTATCGAGCCTAACCGTAGTAGGACTGAACAACCGGACAATGGAGGGATTTCCATCGATACATGAACAAAGAAGTGGAGAAGCCATTCGAGGAATCAATGACGCTCGGTCTTTTTTTATTGAGAAATGACAGCGACAACTCGCCGACATCTGTTGGCGTGCATCAAGGTCCGCGGGCCGGATGCAGGATGATGATATTCAGGTGGAATGTCAGTGGAGATGGAAAGTTAACAGACGTGGGATCGGATGAGAGTGTTCAAAACGTTAGGTTCGATCTTTGTATAGAGGAGTGACTGGTTCCTACTCACGCATGGGCCTTTAAGACGTCAACGCCGGTCAGGGTCCGTGGTTCTAGGATCGAGTCGAATAACGTTTACGGAGCATTTGGTGTAACTCGCGCACTAGAAGCTGGAATAGTGTACGGCATGTGGGTCATGTTCACTGTAGAATTGCGTGCGGCTCATGTATCTTCTGATCGAGTGGACATTCGGGACGGCCGGCGAGGGGAGGGAAATGTTATCCCATGAGAGGCGTGGATAAGATTCGCCTGTGGACAGACCGAACGTTAGGTACTCCCTGTAAAGCTAATCCTGGTGGATACGAGTTGGGATACCGTAGATCAGAACGCTTCGAAACCCTGCGAGGATCAATATGGAAAGATATGCACAGGCAATGACCGGAGCTAAGCTGCCTGTTGAAGCAGAAACTGTCAGCGATGCTGCGAAAGAGGAGATGGAGTTGATATATGGCAGCTACATACCGCATGAATCCCTTGTCTGCGTCAAAATACGTCAAGCCAGCGTCAGGAGTAATCATAGCGTCGCATTCACTTTGACCTTGATCTGATGTGGCGAACGGGAGCATTCTCACAGCGATCTGTCAATCCGGATGAAGGCCTTCGAATGGAGAGTGATTGGACAAATCTCCATGCATGCCTTCGCTTGTCGCTCGGTCACGTAACAAACGTTATCTGGCAGCGGACCGGAATACAGAACCGTGCTTCTCATTTCCATGAATTCGCACCGCCTTGGCGACCTACAATCGTCGAATCTGCGACAGTATCTTGCCCTCTTTGGGGCCGCCGGGAACCTCGCAGAATTCATATAAAAGGGCGCGTTTCCTCCTTCATATTCTCTATTCGCCCCCGCGCACTCCCATGGCTTCTTCCTTCGGTCGTCTCCGTCCCGTATCGGACTCGCCTTCTCCAAGCACCAGTACCACCACCAGCAGCGACCACACCCCTCCTCCTCGCCATGGTCAGTCCCAGCATGTTAACTTGCTTCCGCCAGCATCCGCAAACCGTCGCCCCATGTCCCCGACGTCTATCCGCGGTAAGTGCTCTACATCACACCAGTCATGCGCCTCTAATTTAACGTGAATATTTATTCCACATAGACGTTGACTTGAGTGGTCAGGACAGAGATATGCCCGCTCGTAAATGGCCCACTCCACCAACCGGGCATGAGCTAATGGCACTCTTCCCTCCTGCACCACCCCTTAACATCCTTCCAGGGCCAACTAGTGGTTACTTTCAGCGCGAGGAGCGCGCATTCTTTGCTCAGGCCGGTAAGGAGATTGTCCGAGTGAAGATTGAAGTCGACATGCCACAGAACGGCGAAGGTGATTTCGAATCAAATAAATCTCACCTATCACGTCAAAGCTCCGCTTCGTCGCATCGGCAACACTGGTCGCCGTCGAGCCAACAGCATCCAAACAGCTTCGCTCATGCGTCGCCACGAAGTGTTCCTCCTTCCTCGTATCCTCACAACGAGTCTGCTCGTCCTGCGCGACAAGGACCAGTGCCGTTGACAGTGCAACCAGTCTATCCGGCTTCTTCGCATATGTCGTCACATACTTCGAATGCACCTATGCCGCCACCACCCATGCCTCATCGACCTGGATACCCTGTTCGGTCTCCAAGTGAGGATCATCCAAGCGGACCACTACATCCAATGAGAGAGCCTATGGCTGAGGAATATCGAGACGAATCAGATGAATCGTGGCGTACACCTATGCCCCATAACCAGCGACGACGTGCGGGAAAGCACACGAAGCGCGTCGTCGTCAAGTAATGGTCCGTACTAGCACCGGTGAGAAAGTTTCCATGCTTTGGTGGGTCCCATCGTCGATCTGACACATGTGTGAGCGCAGTCTCATATCATCTTCGTTATTGTTCAGCCGCCGTCGAATTGCTGTCTGTGTTGTGTCTAACGTCTTCTGGCTCGCCTGTCCTCCCTTTTTGTTCTTGATGATCACACGTCCCTTCCATTTTGATGACATATGTACCATAGACAATCCAGCCTCCATGTCCGCCTTTAGCAATATTATCCAGCGCCTTGATGCTTCCTGTAGTTGATAACACGATCATAGACATAGTACCATAGTGTATCAGAAATATACCACTATACCTCGCTAAGAAAGCCTCCGCTGTGAGCCCCTGTCTTTGGGATCGAGGAACAGAAGCCACAAACGGCAGGTGAGAAAGGATCGTTTCACTTTTGGGATTGATCAACTACCGGGTTTGATCATGATCGACTATGTCGCAAAACGGGCACCGCCGAGAAATAATCAAGATCCAGCAAGAGAGATGCTTCCGCGCTTTTTTCTCAGTCGTCGTTCTACCGTACCTGTCCCGGTCATCCCCTCCAAGCACATGCACTGGGCATCAAGCTCGTGAAAACTCGCAACCATTATCGCATACATGATATATTTCATTTGGGGAATCAGGAAAAATCTCTTCATTTATCGGAGCTACGAGGTTCCGTGAAAGAGTCAAGTGGCCATTGGTGAGACCGTGATAACTACCCTGTGTGCTTCGCTTTATTCCACTTACGTCCACGAGAATTCAGTTCGCCGTTTATTTCGTGGTTAAAGGCGCCACTTACGGCTGTCAAAATGCTGTCACCAGATACGTATTACCGTATGTGTCGATAGCGCATGGAGAAGGAGGAGTCATTATGGCCAAGTCAGGGGACCCCGATCGTGTACATGTGTCCAAGCGGAATGACTTGTACTTCTTTCCCACAGCTACGATATTGAGCATTATAACAGAGCCCGCAGTAAAGCAACCCCGCCCGCACGGATCTGCTCTCCGAACAATGACATCCTAACTGAATCCGATCGTCCACAGAGTCCACAGATGATGGTGCGATAGGAAGGCAGCGGCCTGTTTGGTGTACACGTAAAAAGAAGGGGGGAGGAGTTATTTCGGCGTCGTTTCGTTATTCTTCCAATCGCCCAGGAAAAGAAGGACAGAAGATGAAGATCCGCAGACAAAGGGCCGAATTCGTTCGTGATGTCGTAACTGAATTAGGTATATGTCCACACCGCCTGTGTTAACTTCGGGATTGCAATGTGTTCGTGAAAGGATAGTTGGATAGTCCGGACATAGCACCATGCCACTCTGGGCGTGTTCTCTCGTAGTAGCGGGAACAGCACCCTGGGTCGAAAACGCGTGTGCAAAACGTTCCAGTATATTCATTCGCTTGCTTTAGGTCTGTGGCTGACTATCTTACGAAGATATGACATCAATCAGACGACCGCTTTCACTGGTACATAAGTGCGCGATCATTTTCTTCTTTGCCCAGCCCGTTCGCCATTAGTTCATTCAATATGTCACTCACGCTCAGGAACTCCATATTCTCTTCTTGATCTACCGCGAGAAGTGTATAAAGTGAATGATGTCAGATCAATGAACGAAGTGAAGACTCACAAGCTTTGGAAGTGTAGTGTTGATCATCGACTACGAAATCAGTGACAAAGGTAAGCAAGTCCTCTTGATTGCCTGTTGAGAGCGGATTTTCAAAGCTGATGCAAATCCCGGAGAGATTGGACCGCACCTGGCGCGTAAGTTAAATTGCATTCAATACACCTTCACAGAATGTGATTCTAAAAACAGGTGAGAAGCACGTCTGAGGAATGTTTATTCACACCTGGATACCAGAAGAAGCGCGTTGCTTGTTGCTTCGTTCTCAAGCGGGTAAGTCCAACGAACCAGTCCATGGTAGTCCACGATCCACCATATGACCTGTTGACGGTAGATCCTTTCCAAACGCAACGTAGGCCGAGGTCCCGGACGATCGCTCTAGCCTTGGCGCCGCCGTCGACCTCAAAAGCAAAGTATCAATTATGGCCTCGACCAACAATATTGGCCGCGATTCATTGAGTCTTAGACCAGTACCCCATTATGCTCTGTACCTTGCATCTGCAATATCTTTCATCCGATCATGAAATCAAGTGTCCGGTTTATTGAGGGTTCAAAGAGGGTATGCTTACTTTCCTGATAGGGGTACAATGAATGCGTTCTGGACCATGTTGATCGCTTGCCGAGGTGTGAGCACAATGAAGAAGACCTTGTTTGGAAGCTTCACGGGTGGCCAACCTTCGGTCAGCACGAACTGTGCCTTTGTCCCCGAGTATCGGAATGAAGGCGGTACCCGCGAAGGAATGCAGACGAGGGGGACAAACTAGAGGAACAATGAGTTCATTGAAAGCTCGCTCGATCTGTGTTTTGACGAAGCCCTGAAATAATTCCTGCACATTGCGTTTTGATATTGGAATAAATTCATGCTGCGCCGCACGATCGACCCAAGAGCGCGCGTCGTGGTCAATGACTCCTATAGCAATTACTTTCCAGTACTAGTATGTGAGTGAAGGAGGAGCCATGAGCGAACCAATCGGACGAGAGAGTACTCACATCAGGAGCTCAATTGAGACTTAGCCTATCTGGGTTGAATTTATATTGGGGCCGTATGTCTTTAGAGGCAATTTCGCTCCAAGCATCGAAGCTGTCCTAATGACATGGTGTGTGAGTCAATCTGCGTGTATCTATATCCAGTACAATGATGAGATCGAGTAGGTGCTTCTGGGAAAAGGCGGGAAGACATACGGGCAGTCGGGGAGCATCACCGTAGCATTCAAACAATACGGGTGATGTCAAGTAAATAGTACCGCACCAGACAGCATTCTCATGATGTTATGGCATCCAAGAGATGCTTCCAAGGAATTTCGAGGTTGTGCAATGTGTATCCAAATTGGACTCAAGTAGGTCACAAGTTCAAGTTGTAGGTCTCGACGAGAAAAACAGGGTACCTTAGCAGTTAGGGAGAGAGAAGGCCGTTTCACTACCTTGCGTCAGTGGCCATGCTTCAATAACCTAGGGCTTGGAATCATGAATGAACGAACTTGAGAGGGTCTCGAAAACGAAGCGAACAAAGCAAGACTCAATAGATAACATAATACATTTGAAACCCAGCGACATTGCCGATTATCATTTCACATCCGATTACTATGACCTCAGTTACAGCTTACTAGTATTACTAGCATAGATCATTTGTACAATCGTTCTTTACAAGCCAAGCTGTCTATCTATTCTGTTCTACAAACACTTTGCCTGGGAGCTTTCATTGCCCTTATAGTTGGCTTTGTATTGAACAGGTTTGTGGTGGGTAACCGGACAGATACATCCTCATTAGACATGCACTGATCGTAGGTTGTATCTACCTCGGCGAATCGCCTACGCCCATCCATATTGGGATTCACTGTCTCGTCTTCAACGTTCAACCCTTATTTTCAATTCTTGTGGCTTTCAAGGCAAGATCTTCTAGCGAGATGGACCGACAATTGGAAGAGAAGATCGCACAGTTCGTCGGGGTTACTGGGGCATCGTGAGTGCCTTCATTCGATCGCTTAGCTTGCCCCAGCTTTGATCATGAATCTTGATCGTGCTAATTATTGTGTCTCCGATGCAGAACCAGGGATGCGAAACGGTTCTTGGACAAGTACAAACGTGTCGACATTGCCATTGATGCATTCTATAACGAGCCTGTTGCACTACCAACACGAGCCCCTGCTCCCTCGACGAGCAAGTTGAGCACGTTGTTTGACAAATACAAAGGTGAACTTGACCTTCGGTTTCCTTCTTAATTTCAACTTATCGGCTTGCGTAGACCCGGACGGAGATGATATCTCGGTGGATGGCACGATCAGGTTCTGTGAAGACCTCAGCGTAGACCCTGAGGACGTCGTCTTGCTTGCTGTAGCATATGAGTTGAAGTCACCACGCATGGGTGAATGGAGTCGAAAGGGGTGGGTCGATGGTTGGAAAAACGTTGGGTGAGTCCACTGCTTGCTGTCGCCTGTTCACAGTACTCAGATAGAGTGACACATAGTGTCGACTCCATACCAGCGATGAAGACAGCTTTGCTTCGACTACGAGACAAACTCGGTTCTGATCCGGAATACTTCAAACAAATATACAACTACACTTTCGAATTCGCACGGCCGCCGGGCCAGCGTAGTCTAGGTTCGTAGTCCATCTTTGCTTTAGTCTCTCTTACCCCGCTCAATGAAATCCTATAATCAAATAATTATTTGAATAGGTCTAGATATGGCTCAGGGTTTTTGGCAAATCCTTCTTCCACATGGGCTACAAGGCGGCGCGCTTGCACACACTCAACATCGTTCGTCTGATGAAGAGGACGAGGACGTCATGATGGTAACCGATGAGGAAGGCTGGAAGCCAGAATATACTCAATGGTGGTTGGACTTTCTCAACGAGAAAGGAGGCAAGGGAATCAGTAGAGACACTTGGCAGATGGTGCGTACCCTAGGCCCTCGCCTTTCATTTTAATCCACATCCCTCCGATCACCTGGCCTGTTCCTGTCCCTGGTTAAACAAATGGCGGTCTGACTGACTGAATTGTGATTTCTCCTTCATCGCTCCGTGAAAACCGGTGACATGATGCAGTTCCTGGACTTTCTGCGCACTATCGATGCAAAGTTTGAGAAGTACGATGTAGAAGGTACGTCCGAATATACCCTCAGTTTCTTCACACCCCATGGGGAAACAATGAGCTGACGGAGTTCTCGGACCCCTTATGTCCATTCTGTTTTGTTTGCAGCTGCGTGGCCTTCCTTGATAGACGACTTCGTCCAGTATGCAAGGGATCGCCTCAAGGTTGAAGCTACATGACCGATAGTAGCCATAGACATAAAACTTGCATGAAGCCTAGGATGACTTCCAACAGCACGCGGCTTTGACGGACATGTAGCAATGTTGTATCATAAAACCTTCTTGCCTGGTCTTTTGGCAGTTGTACGGAGACGAATAGCAGCGGCAAAGCAAATGAATGTATTTGATGCCTCGGTGGTCACAACGTCCCTCTCCGGTGCGCGTGGGTTCCACGTTACAGTCCCATATTCATACAGCATCTCAATTTCAACTCATATTGCAAGCTGTCATATACGGGTCAGGAGCCAGCATGCAGCATAGTGCGGGAAAGCCTGCCGAATCTGTAACAAGTCGGATTATCGGAGCACGATAGCAGCTTCCATGCAAGTATTGCGGTGCTTGCTGCGTGTTTACATCGGTTCTCTAAGGGAGGGCCTCGATTTGTCGTAAATTGGTGGATAACGTACAATAATAATGCTAACCGTTCCTTGGCATAACTAAGGATATGGTTTGGAGGAAAGGAGCGAAGGCAAAAACGACGACTCCTTGACCACCGATAGAGCAGGAGATCCAGTGAAGGTTGCAACGGCGGCCATAACTTTGCGTGCCTCGCTATTCCAAGTTGGGATGAAGAAAAAGGGTAGAAAACGTAAGGAAGTGCGGATATGACATGAAACTTTGTACAGACCTATTGCTCACTCGAACGACCATTTGCGACCCGTCGTCCGAAAGCCACAAGACGTCAATGTACGTGTTTGCGGAAATTAGTCCGAATGATTGGGATAGGGCATCTTGCATGGCTTTCCGGAGACTCAGAGCCTCCGTACTTGGTGGATTTACTGATAATCGGATATAATGATAGTCGTTGGCCAATGACTGCGGCGGCATCGTGTCTGCCTGAGGGGGAGCTGGCGAAGCTTTGAACATGACATTCACGACATAATCGATCGAGCGGTGGCGGATCATCCCGCCGATCCTATTTACAGAACCAATGTCATCAACCACAGCTTAGCTTCAGCGGTGATAGCAGGCTCCTTTACTTACTCCTCTACTTATGTCTCAATTCCTGTCCCGATACATATTTGGGGGTTAGAAAAATACTTGATAGGTATGTCTGAGTATCCAACCGTGAAGGCAATGCTCTATGGTTAACAACACATGTCTATCAAATGTAGTCTAAGAATCAATCATTCAAACCAAGAAGCCAGCAGTCTAGCAATTCGTTACCGTCTAGCCCGAAAGCAGTTCTTTCGCAACCAAAGTTCGATTGGCCAGTGTACTCAAGTTGGCGTCCGCAATGATAACCTCTTGAGTCAGCTCTACACCGAATGTCTGTTGAATCGCCACAGAGATGCGTTTGGCCTGCTTCTCCGACCAGAAGCGGAAGTCATCAGGGTCACGCTGTTCATCATCGGTGACGTTAGGATCAAGACCCAAAGCCGTCTTGCAGGAATCCGGAATAAGGGAAGGGTCGGAGTCCAGACAGAGAGGGACTATCCTCGAGAGGGCTTGCCTAACAGAGTCGAACTCCATTGAGGCGGGTTTTTCGACTAGGGTACAGTAAGTAAATGACAAGAGGGATTACCTTTCGGTGTTGACTCACCATAAATCTCAACGGGGCCGGCCAAGCTCAGGACGTTATACTTTCCGTCATGATGATAACGAATCTGCAGAAAATGATCGGTCAGGACGGACGTTGGAACTGCCCGAAGGGAGCTGCTTACCTCGTAGCGGCCAGCTTGCCATGACAAAGCGTCACCTTTGAACACAACCTCTCCGTCTTCGGGCTCGCAATCAACCTGATCGGAACGCTGGTTGTTCAATGGAATATCTCCATCCCACTCATCGTCATGAACGGGAACCCATTTTCCAAGTGAAGACGTCTTCGTCACAAGGTTAGACTTATTAGCACCAATCTGCATGTGCAAAAGGTCAAATGACAGTCAGGGTGGTGAGGAAAATGAATCATTACATACCCGATATATGCCTATCCAGTCTCTGCGTGAATGGTGAGAAGGAGCGCGCCATTTAACCTTGATAGGTTCGCCGAGATGGAATCGCAAAGATCCAGCCGTTGCACTCGGCACAATTGTAATCCCGTACTTGGAAGTGTCGTACTGCGACATGTCATTGGAGACTCGGCTACCGCCATCGTCCGTGATCAGGACTGGTACAGTGGTGCGAGAAACACTGGCCAACTCACGAAATGACGAGCTTCTCCCTTGACTGTTGGAGCAAGACTTTCGTGTCCTGGACCACCTCGGAAATTTTGGGCCGTGCTGTGATAAGCCAGCCGCGGTTAGACGCACATTTCAGTAAAATTGTATTCATATTGAACTTACACTTGGCAAGGAAATCCTCTAAGACCTCGGCGGTTTCCTCATACACTTTGTCGAAAGTACCTTTCACCTCCTTAGCGACTCTCCTAATCTCCGGAGCGTGACGCCCTGCCCGGGATTCCAGAATATGCGCGTTTTTCTGTGCGACTGTCTTGATGACCTTCACAAAGCCTGCGTCACTGCGAAGTGAATCCCCGTATAATTTCCGCATGTGAGGGCTTTAAAAGGAGGGACGTTTGGCATAAGTGGGATGCATTGACCCTGACTGGCGTGGAGTATAACATACTTCTCAACGTTGCTCAGGAACCACCACTGCGACAGATAGCGTAAGACTGCAAGTGCAAACACGAGTTTACTACCGCTGATCATTGCCAGTCCGAAGAAGGCTGCTCCGCTCATAATCTCTGGATTGTTCAGATACCTACCGGCGAAAACCCACACGTGGTTAGCACTTTATTATAAGGAAGAATTAGGGCATACCGATAGATCCCAGTGTATTCCAGATGAGCGGGGAAGTCATCAACGAAGAAGTCTCCAAAGAACCAACCTGCCGATTAGCGTCATCAATTTCGTGCGCTCCGATACGAGTTTTTGTAAGGGCGCGTACCGAATAGACCCAGGACTTCGTAGGATTCCAATGTCGCCCACACATGAATGATGATCAAAATCTGGTACACGAGTTAGCGTCTTGATAGTAATAGGATGGGCTTAAACGTACGACACCCATCGTATGCCTGAGCAGCTCGTTGCCAACTGTCCAGTTATTTGGAATGGAGTAGGACTTCCACGTCAGACCAATGAAAGAAGCTATTAATGGCACTCCACTCAACAATAAAATTTCGGGAATGGAAGAAAATTGAACGAACCGTAAGTCATACACATGCTCATGTTATATATAGATTTCCAGTTCGAGAAAGCTTCAAGCACGGCTCCTTTGCGGCCATCGTTCCGAGGGTAATGATAATGTTTCAGGAAATGTCGAACCATATACTTGCTCTCGGACTGGGCACGGAGGAGGAGCCCCAACCCGAATGAATGGAATAGACACCAGATGAAGGCGTGTGCAAAATGCAGCATGAGGGATCCACGAGTGGACAATGTCGGGAAGAACGTTCCCAGAAGAACATAGAATACGATCATGACAAGCTGCAAGTCGTTGGCGCTGCACAGGAGTGAGCTAATAGAGCGGAATAACGAAAGGCAAGGGAACTCACCGAAGAAGGTCTATATTGTGTAACAGAACGGCATCTTTGCGGAAGTAGGTGTTGAAGAGGTCATGCATAGATAGAGCAGGTGACCTGGGGCGCTGTACTGCGGGGTTGGAAGACTTCGTGCTAGGCTGCGACTTCCGGCGAGGTGGTTGGGGAACATCGCAGTCCAATTCAGTCTCTGTATCGGTCTCGAGTTCATCCGTCTCTGAGGCAGTTTCTCCTTCCGTTACCGGCGGCGTAGACACGTCTGTCCCTGCACAAGATACCACCGACAGTTGCCGAGGTCGTGTTTTGGGTGTAGTTGTCGTTCCTTCTTCTGGCTTTCTGCCCGTACTTGGGTGCATTGGCGTCCGCAGTGCTAGCAGCTTGCGCTGCCCATACGTCATCTCAATATCTGATACAGACAATTAACGGATGAGTCGTGACATTAGTGATGTCGGCTTACGAGGGTTTTCGAAAAACACCAGGAAGCCGAATTGTGCAGCGTGAGCAGCTAAGCTGACGAACAGAACGGCGTAGCTACCAGATATGAGCGACAAACCATAGTACCCAGCATAGCCTGTGGAAGAAAAATAATGAGTCTCGCGCGGCTTGCTAATTAGTACCACGTACCGACGGAATACATTGGGTGCGGCGCCAACTCAAAGACGCCGTCGAACACTAAAGCACCACGTTGGAAGAAGCAGTCACCCCAGTACCAGCCGTAGTCCTTCACAACACCATGCGCTTCAGTTTTCACCCACAGATTGAAGGCGATCAATGCAATGCCGCCGACCCATCTAAGAATGGAATGCATGTCAAAAAACTCTGGTGGAAAAATGGACGACTACACTGACCTCATAACGTGCATCATGGTCGAGAGTCCATCGGGAACCCGGAAACAGGCAAATGCGAACATACAATATGCCAGAAAGTCACTGATACATATTGTCAGCGGCGACTCGGACAGAAGATAGATTAATAGTGAAACAAACTTTAACAGAATGATGTCCACCAGCTGACGGAATAGTAACCAGGTATTGTATTCTACAGGAAGTTCCTGGACATTGTGTCAGACGGAGTCGCGTGACAGTACCGAAAAACGTACGTCGAAAGAATAATCCTTGCCCATCTTGCCTGCAAGTTGTTTTCCAATCCATCCGCGTATGGCAGGTTGGCGCTTCTCGTCCAGCCATCCTAATCTTTGAACCTCCCTAACGATCCATTTCTTTTTACTTTGTTTGGTCAATACCCAACCTAGACCGACATCGTACGCGGCTCTCCAGAAGGCGAAGTACAAGAAGAAGAATAGTCTGGAAGCACTGCGAGGGAAGAAAGCGAACAATACAAGTTGGAAACCAAGCAAACCAAGATTCAGCAGATCGAGGTGTGACTTTGGATATCCAGGGTGGAATAGAGTGAGCACATCATGCGTAGTGGGAACTCGGAAGACTGTGGACATAAATCAGTAGAAAACACACAGGTCAAAACCTCTATATTAGTTGCAGTACCTTCGCCACTAGGCGTCTTTCCCCAGACAATCTCCTCCTGCTTCCGTGGCGTGCCTTCAGCGGCGTCGGAAGGTCCCGCGGAACTGCTATCCTCCTTGGATTTTCGTCTTCTAAGCCGCAAGGAGCTCTGAGCCGCCACAGACATGTCCTACGTGGTCAGACAAGCAAAACCCGCAGGTTACACGTAAAGACACGTTCGGGTTCAAGAGCTCGTTAATTGACTTTCTAAACAGAGAAATTCACGCGCTAGCGATCCACGTGGATTGCGACATCTGAGCTGGAAAGTTGTTGCTTTGGCCATTCCACTATGTCAAAATGCATCATAAGTACAGAGTGCTCTAGCTAAAGTGAGAGAACCACGGGATTCACATTCTAAAAGTCTAAAGTGAGGAGATAAACCTTCACGAAGGATGTATACATAGAACTCGTGCATTGCATGTGATTTTGCAGTGCCCAAAGGGCCTGCCCTAAACTATCAGTATTTCTGTGTCAATGTCACCGTTTCACCTTTCGCTTCCAACAACTTTGACGAATTTCTTGTGTCTCCATCCGAATGCTCCATATGTTAGTAGACGAAGTCCAGCACAATTTTCTGTTTCTATACGTACGCGGATTGTCAGAGGTGTTTACTCTGTACTCGTTCCCTTGTAATTCACTCTTCACTCGACTTTCCCATCGTTTGAGGAGTTGCTAATGAAGGGTATATGGAATCATACTCGAAAGGCATTTATTTCGGCCGCTTGGTGCTTTTGCATACTGAGTCGACCTTACGAGGTGCCATACATTCCTTTGTACTGTACGAAGATCTGATAAATGTAATTTACTAGACCATGACGACGTTTGCATTCGCTACTTCCATCCAACAACAATCTCTCAAGGTTCATCTTCTGTCGTTCACATTAGCTCCGATATCGCAGCGGTTAGAATGAGTCTGTCGCCATTTTCCGAAGTAGACGGCCCGAAAGCGACATTTCTGAGCTTACCGTGGTGATGAACTGACACTTCTGGAGCAGGTATCCTCATCCAGGAAGTCAATGATTTGCCAAGCCCTTCCCAGGACATATTCTCAGCGTTGAAAGCGGCAGTAGATGTCGAAGAGCTGGTGTCGTGATGTGCCAAGAGTTCATCTTGAACCTTCCAGATAACACCCCGTACAGGTTACTGCATGTATATCAACAGTATCACTGCAAACACGGAGTGACATTGCAACGCACATCAATGCCTTGGTGTGTCTTGGACGTCAGTTCTCACCGTGTTCATCCGATTGCCCGGGTTTACGAGATTCTATCCTGTCTGTCGGGACTCATCTATCAACGAGACTCGGCCTTGTACATGAAGGCTTGTGCTGTCCAGCTGACAGGTACTGCGGGTATATGAAGGTGTCGTGTCGGCATTTCGAAGGTACAGCCTTCTACATTTTGAGCTTCGCCGAAAGCTAAGGGCCATCTTACCAGCGGACAGCGATGCTTCCTTTACTCACTACTATGGTCTAACGCCGGAGATACTGACTGCCAATCCAGTACCTGATGCGTCACGATCCCGCGAAGCAGAGCCAGGAACACTCCAGACATCGGTAAAGTGCCGAAGATCTGTGAATCCGACCTACTGTTATTAACAAGTGGTTCATTCAGGTACCAGGTTACAACGGGAAAATTAATCAACAGTACGGATACTAGAAGTTCTATGACAATGGTATAATCGAACCGTCCTGGTTGCATCGTCCAAATTATTCCCCACGCGGGAACATATACTCGGACATCGGTGGAGTCATCTATTATCTTCCGCCCTGAGAAAGCATTCGTCAACACGAACAAGCTAGAAGGATGGATTGGAACGTACACGGGAACGTAGGAACATGGAATTCCTCTGCGTTCGCAATTCGCACATGACGTCTTTCGGCCATCGCATTTCAGCTTTCGTTCTGGAGCACTCGACACCGCATCAGTGATTGGCTCACAAGATATCGCTTGGTTCTCACTTCTACAGAATGTGCAAGCCATCGGCACTCTGCGAGGGGTTTTCGACGAATTGGGATCGCTCTCTAGAAGCTGTGCGCCGGAGTCCCATTCGTAGTAGAAAGCATTCTGGTCCTGGAGCGGTGTTAGACCGGAGCGATGGTAGTAGTACGACGAGAGGATTCACCTGGTTCGAGGAACTCATGGTACGCGTTTTTGGTGAAGGTAAGATGCAATAGCGAACAATCCAATCGAGTTACTTATACTGTGCTTGGCGTCTTCGGTTGACTTATGCCCAGGAAGGTTGTTCAAATTGGTCCGGATTGACCGGCTAGCATTGTTGTGTCCAGGTGTTGACAGTGGCGCCATGATATAGAAAGCGAGAGCCAGAACATCAAGCACAAGAGAGTCCGTGGGCATGATCATTGATATGGGCGTGGTCTCCGTCGTGGAGGATTAAAACAGCGCAGGCCTAATAAGAGAAGAAAATAAGCCCCGGAAATTGAGTAGCTCCTTTCCAGATATTGGGGTTGACATCAGGCATGAGAAAGTCAGACGTCGTTGGAGGGCAATGCGGGTTCTTTATATGAATGGCTATGGGACCATCGCGATAGGATAAGTCGCCAAGCAAAATTCGAATTTGCGAACTCTGACTTGGCAGATCGAAGCTCGGTCATGCCTCTTACGATGATCACCTTGTAGTCTGGGCCGCAGGACTTTCCTTCGGAAGCTCAGAAAAGGGACTGTATCATTCAAGCGTCTGGACGGCCTCCAAGCAAAAGTGCCGGCTGTCTTCACAAGTCATGTTGGCATCCTGTATTCACATCGCGGAGCTTCAACCCTCCCGTTGAGGTTATCCCATTGCGCCGATTTATCAGCTTGACGTGTAGTTATTAACTCAACACGGTGATGAACCACATACGCCATTCCAGTATTAACTCTACTCGAGTATATTACCATATTGCACCCTCAAATTGGCTCTCATTTGAGGATTAGAGCCGTGGATATGTTGCAAATGAATAAGCGCGCAGGGCACAAACTACGCTGTTCGATTGAATCGCGATATTGAGCTCCCCATTGTTGACGTTGTTAACCATAGCAATGGCATATATTCGGCTCGCCCCATTCTTGCTGAGAAACCTGCAAGAAAGCACGGAAACATCTACCACGCTGTCTCACCTTAGATCAGCATTGGACAACATGTATACACTGCGGTAGACTTGGAACAACACTACGTCTGCCCTGTGGGATGGGTCTATAAGAGATGTAGTGGGGATGGTGGAGGTCATGGATACGGACGCGGAAAGACGTACCTTGGACTCCCAGTATGGAAATTATCTGGTTGTACGAACTTACCAAATTAGTGACCAGTGGCTTGGCAGGCGCCGGTATTGCGATTTGATCAGTGAATCGTATATCATCCATGGCCTCCGCGCAAGTGAATGTGTCTCCCCCAGAAAATGAACTGAAAGATGTTCTCACCGCGCTCAGAACAGAAAATCCGACCCTGGGTGTCCCCAAACTACACGCACTTCTGCTGGCCGCCCATCCTGAATGGGCGGTAAGCGAGAAGAGAACGAGGAAAATACTTCAAAGCCAAGGGCTGATTTTGAACGCGCAGGCAGGACAACAACTTGGCGATGCAAAAGTTGAAAGGGTGCCATACCCAAAATCGAAGTTGATTGAGGGTTTAGACGTATCAAAGTTCACCACCAAAATCGAGGTGAAATACTTTGGGAAACCAAAAGGCAAGGGGCTGGTTGCCGTAGAAAAACTGTCCGAAGGCGACACAATATGGAAAGAAGATCATTTCATACTCGCTCCAGAATGGTGGGTTACATCCTATGGTCTCCTGTGTGATGATTAATTCAGTCTCTTCATATTCTGCGCAGGGATATTTATGATTTGCAAATGTCCTCGTTGTCATGCATGCACTGCTCGACGCCGTTGAGCGGCTCCTCATTGGTGACCAGTTGCTCTGGTTCGTCGTCATTTCCGTCCTGCCCAGCAAAGTTCTGCAGTCGACTTTGTTTGACACGATCCGCCCGTACCCATCCTCTTCTCTGTCGAGCGCGAAACCCTGCGTCTTTTCCACTACTCGACTTCGCTAGAAAAAATGAATGGATGACATTGCACGCACTTGCACAGTGTGCAGCGCGACTGTTGCTCGATTCTCAGCAAGATGAAGCGGCGTTTGAGGCGGAATTGGATATTATCCGCTCATTCGCACAGCTCGGCATGGAGGAACGCGCAAAGCATGCGTCGTAAGTAATCTTCACGACCAATGTTTGGAGGTTTGAAATTCAATCTCCCATAGGCTTCCGGGGTCTGAGCCCGACAGGGCCACCTGGAGAAAGGCATTTCAGCTTTTTGTACAGGCATTTCGTGAGCCAACAAATGATACGAATAGGAAGAAACTGTCAAAGCTGTTGAAGAGACCGGTACCGAAGGAAGCCCTTGAGGACTTTTTCGAGTACGATGCGTTCCTTTGGGGCCTTGGTCGCATGAATCTTAGTAAGTACAATACAATTGTAACGGCGACATTGATATCTTCATTCAGCTATGTCAATAATAGATCTGGAAGCTCACGGCGGCCTGTACGTTTTGCATTCTCACCTTAATCACTCGTGTTCGCCCAATGTGTCTGTGCGGCATCTCGATCAACGAACCGCATTGTCAAAAATTACGCTGATTGCCAGGCGAGATATTCAACCGGGTGAGGAATTATTCATCACCTACGTTAATCCCGTTCTTTCACTGCAAGAACGCCGCAGTCAATTATTGGAGTGGGGTTTTGGGGTATGCAATTGTGAGCGCTGTAGCATGGAGGAACAAGACCCTTCTTTGGCAAGACCCGATAAAGCGGAACTGGATGACTTGGAGAAGGAACTGAAGGCCGGCCTTGGAGTCATGTAATGTGTCCTTAGGCTTCTTTTCCGGTACGGTAGCATATTCGGCCATTCACCCGTGTCCATTGCTACTGCTTGGCTGATTCATACTCGTAGCGGATTATGACAAGCGTGGATGCTCTCCCGAATTGTCGGGTATCGGACATGAGTGGATACTGCAGCGTGCATACTTCACCATCGTAAACCTGTAGTCATTATTCACGCAGTACCTCCACGAGTCTATCAACTATTTCCAAGAAGAACGAACAGGCTCTATACCATCTGTCATGCCCGCCGAACCCTTTTTCGCCCTTAGGGTATCTACAAGTATCACAGCATGCCTCATGTGCGACTAGTGGCGGTCAACGTTTGCAAACGGTAGGCGTGCGGCTACGCGCTCGACATCACGACAGGTCAGACTATACCGCAATCCTCTTCTTAATCTCCCATTATTCAGCACCGCCTCTTTATACTTGATGTTCGAGAGAATATCGATATTTGCAATATTGATTCTCGAAGGAGGGTCCTCAGCGGCGGCCGTCGAGACGAAGACGTCATCCTCTACGTGGTCAATACCATGCAAATGTGACGTGTAGAGTGAAGACTTGGTGATGACGAGACTACGCGGCTCAAGCAGCAAGGAAAGGGCGGGCACTTTATCGATCGATCGTCCTTTCCCTGTTATGGGACTTTCTAGGCCACTCTGTTCCCTGTAACGATAATAATGGAAGACAGCATGCGATCCGAGCGACAGGGTGGCGACAACAGGGTGATACGCAGGGCCGTCTTCATGTGGCTGAAGCGGAAATGTCAAGCGAGAGAAGATTGTGGCGCAGATAGCCTACCATGATCCCTTGACCTGGATAATACTGGATCAAAATTGACAATTTAGAATCAGTCGCTGCCGGCAATACAAGCACGTACCTCGTTTAGAATAATGTGGTTAGGCTGTCCGTGTGCCGATGACTGGAACGCGCCCATTGTGCGGATGCGGCCTATAACATCGGGGCTGGACCGATTTTAAAGATCGCATGTGGGCAGGATCGAGGCCGATGACAACGCACTATATGTTCATGAAGGGCGGTAACGACTGTGGTATGAGAAGGCCCTTGACAGTGAGCTCACCGCCTGTATATCAGACGATGGTGAACCTTAAATAAATGAAGTATTAAGTCTCTCTAACCCCATATCTGAAGCCTATCGTAGAGAGTTAAAGTTAAGGGGAGACCACATAAACATTCAAGCTCACCGCCTGTTGGGTAAGGTTTTCCACCTTTGTCGTGGCGACTCCCGGATCTGATGTGCAAGGTTGTGGTGAGATTGAGTCAAAACGCGGCTTTGAAACGTTTGACAGGAAGCTTACTTTACGTATGAGGTAATCTTCCTCATTGGTTGTTACGAACTCGGGAATATAGTACGCCTCATCTGTCCCGGGAACGAGGTATTTAGACAACTTGTCGACGGTCATCTCAGCAGGAGATGGTGGCGGCTGGGAAACTTATGAGGTGTCCTCTTTGGGACAAAGGTGATGGCGATCACTATGATCGACAACTTGATGGCCGAGAAGCAAATGCAGACAAATGCATATCCACCTCGAGAACACAAGGACATCCAGCTAAACAACATCAAGACTTTAGGATGCAACCACCTATCGTTTTTATTGTCGTCTCTTACAGGCCGTTTATATGAGTTTTCTTGAAGCCAAACATTAGACGAGTAAGCCGGATTATGGCGGAGATGAACTTTCCAGAACACATCAATACTTGTACAGTCATTGCAGAATTCCAACCTCCATAGTATCCATAGTACGCTATTGAACGTAGGGTTCTTAACTTGCCAGGATGTCTCATACCCGACAGGATGCAAGCTCGAGGTCGCAAGGTGTGACCTGCTGTGACAGGGATGATTCAAATCGTGACCAGTGACTATGTGACATCCCGTTGGTTAACGGCATTTGCAGGTTGCTTTCATCTTCGACACCGATTCACTAAACCTACAATACTTCTCCGTCCCCCAAACGTTTAGCTATCAGTAACATGAATAAGTCTCAGTATTATCTATCTCAGTGTGCCGATGCTGCTTCCAAGAGCTCTATGTGCTTCACTTTGGGTGCAGTGATGGTCAAAGGAGGCAAGGTTATCTCGACCGGGCACAATCATCATCGCACCCATTATGATGGTGCTGAGGTATCCAAGCATGGCCATCGAAAGGTATGTGTTTTTCCTGTCTCCTCAAGACTCGATCGGTGTCTGATCAGTGAATCAGCCTGTATCAATGCATGCTGAGATGCATGCGATCTACAACCTCACTGGCATGTCTCCATCGTTTAAGACGCAGGTTCAAGGCATGGAGAGACGGGTTTTACGAACTTCAGTCATATTACCATCCAAACACGGAACCAAAGGGCCAAAAGGGTTTGTGCAATCAGCGTGGTGAATTGCAGAAGCCGAAAGTACCACGGCATCCGGTGGGCAAGCGGCGCGGGCGCAGAGGTAGTCGGCTCAAAACTGTCTCCAGCCAGAGCTCCAGCAGCAGCGAGAGTGACAGCGAAATTGGCGCGATGTCTTCCACGTCGGAAGAATCTTCGCTTTATTGCGCTTCGCGAGACTCGGACAGGGGTTGGAGTGTACGCAGGAGAGATCCTCGAGTGAATGGATCTGATATTTACGTCGCTCGATTCACTAAGAATGGGATGGGTACTGCGAAGCCTTGCTGGCGATGCCTGGAGTGGTCGCGATGGGCGGGGGTAAAGCGCATCTTTCATTGGAACGCTGAGGATAATCGTTTCGAGGTGGTGAAGGTGAATAGTGCGCAGCGGGAGCAGTATGAGACGCACTCCGATGTTCGATTATTTGCTGGCTCAGTGAGTTGCTTTATCTTATTCTTTCCATGATATTCTGTTAACTTATTCGAACTGCAGAATTACTAGTACTGAATACGTGTCCCAACATACAAGCCTATTGTTCGTACCCCGTCGCTTGCCGGAGTTTCTGGCTCTTTGATATCGTCCTAGCCCCGTCAACTGCTCCACGCCTTATTAACCATGGGCGACCGGAGTTACTAATGCGGGGAAGAGCAACATGCTGCTATCAAAGTACGTAGCTGGGCATTAATTCAGCTAATTGACCATATGTGCGTCCTTTGGCTTTACTAGATGTCTCACATTTTTCATGTATATACTCAACGCCAACCAGCATTCTCAAAAGTGTCCTTGTTTGTTGATCAACCGGACAGACTTGCGATCTTGCAGTACTCTATGTACGAGGTTTTCATCCGACCAGTAAGCGCTGATTCCAAATCGGGTTGTGGTTGTCGCGTTCTGGAAGTTTCTCCAGGGTTCTCGAAATATCCTCAAGGAACTGCGATTCACGAGCGTACGACGACCGACGCGTACGCGTCGGCATTGCTGAGCAATGCAACATACGCTTTAGTATAAAAGCTTCGCAGTCTGAGTCCTCTTCCATCTCATCTTCCTCATCAACCACCATCATCATGCTCGTCTTCACAACGTCTCTTCCCACCATCCAGTCGCAATACGCGGATTACCATCGTCCTGCTTCATCAGTACCACCCGACTACTATGCCGATGCAGTCGCTGAAGCTGAATACCAACTTACCGTCGCTCGTGCTCGCGCTGAGGCTGCTCGACGTGAAATGGAATATCAGGCGCAGTTGAGGCAACAAACTGAAGTTCTATTCGATAGGGAAGCTGCGGTGCTTTCGAGCTACCCTCACGCATGTTTTCAAGAAGTTGTCTGGCCTGCTTCGTCCTCCATTCGTGCTCAGAGAGAAGAGAAGCGTAGGCAGACCTTGCTTACTCAGCAGCGCCAGAGAGAACAAATGAGGGCTCAAGCACTCGCTCGTCAGCGTGCTGAGCGCGAACGGCGAGTCCAGGTTCAACGCGAAGCACGTCGCGTTCCACAGCACACGGAACAGCTTTTAGCTCTGGTTAAGTTCCTCGCGAAGTTCGGCGGACAAGGTCAACAGCCATCTGTCAATGTATGTGTTCCTGCCGTGCACATTCAATTCGCAATCCTGCTGACTTGGCTGTTGATCCAGACCCTGTCGCACCCTGGTACATCCCAGGTTCCCCGCGTTTACAAGCAGAATACCTCTAGACCCGCTGGCGCCCGATTCCTTGTAAATCCTTCAGCCACTACACCGATAGTGAACGCCCACAAGGTACCACCAGTCGACGAGAAAGGCAAAGCTCGTGAGACGCCTGCGATCCCTCTCCCTAAGTCTGTTCCAGTTGTATCTTCGAAGTCCGTCCAGCCATTTCAACCCACAGTCGCGGACATTCTCAAGGAACGGAAAGATTCTGAAGCCGACAGCGAGATCCGGGAAGCTCTCGATGGTCTTCTCAAGGCGCTTTACGGTCTCGGTGCTTCTGCAGATTCAAACGTAAACGTGAAAACTCCATCATCCCCACAGGTACACTCTTCATTAGACCCACTTTGTCGCTCCGATACTGAGTCGCGATTGTTCCAGAACGATGAGGTTGTCAAGTCTGCTGCCGCCGATGTCAAGGAAGATGTACCCGTGACGGAGCCTGCTTCGATCAAGCGCACCCCAGCTATTTCTGCAGCCACAGCTGAGAAGATTCGGGAAGTCTTCTATTCCCGACGCGCACGTAAACTATCACTTGGTGCTATCAAGGAGATCGAAGAGACTCTCCGTTCTCTTGAGTCGTCGTTTGTCTTCCCGTCCCAACTCGACTTCACTCCTTCTTCAAACGGCTCCGAATCCGCCTCCGACTCTGAAGGGAAATCTCCACTTTTGTATACGTCTAACAATCGGCCTATCCATACGTTCCAGCATGCATTGAATACACTCTTGGAGAAGTTGGATGCTGTGGATAGTCATGGCGACTTGGAGGTGAGGGGAAGACGTAAGGAGGTTGTGATTGAGGTCGAACGAGCCTTAAAGGAGGTTGATAGGAAGGTTGAGGAGAGTCGTGAGAGGGCTTCGTTGGCGGAGACACCGGTCTCGCAGGAGTCTCTTTCCTCTTCTGAAGAACGAATTCCTGAGCCTGTGGAAGCTTCCTCAACATCAGCGCCTGATACCCAAGTAGATGTCGCTGTTCAAGAAGCTCTTCATACCAGCAACGCCGATATCGTTACTGAGGCTACTCCTACTTCGTCACAAATACCCGAGAATTCCATACCCACCTCCACTGAGGATCTGCTTCCCCAACCCTCTCTAGAATCCGATACCCGAGCGCGGAAGACTCAAGCGGGTATACCTAGAGAGATCCCTTCGCCACTTGAGACAACGCCAGGGGTCGAGGATGTCTCAGCAGTTGTTAAATCTTCAACAGTCGCACCCATCCAGCCCGAACTCACTCTTAAGGCTGAAGATGTTGTCCCTTCCTCTCCTGCAGGCAACGACAACAACTCTCTCGATGACGCTGTTCCTACTGCCACCTCTCCGCGAGAAGTCGAGAAAGTTCTTCCGGTAACTGAGGAATCACAATTAGGAGTGACATCGTCTTCTAGTGACCTTGTTATCCTTGTCTCTGATACTAAAGACGATACATCTTTACCCCCTCAAAGTACGAATGCCGATACCCCATCAGAACCGATTACTTCGTCGACGCCTTCTTCACCTTCATCACCGTCTTCCCTTTCCGAGTCCGACTCTCCCAACAGTTCTGACAACGAGACTGCGTATCTCCTTCAATCCTCTCCCATAGCTGACCCAGAACCCCGTAAATCTACTGCAAAGAAGGATACAGATGATGATGATATTGATATCGTTCAGGTTGAAGAGGTCTCACAGGGCGTTGTGGACGTGGAGGGTAAGGAGGGTAAGGAGGAGGAGGGTAATGATAAGGACTCGGATGGGTGGTCGGAAGTCGAGGCATAATCGGACATGGACTTGATTGGACGATTGGTTTCTGTGTTTGTTTTCGGGCTGTACTTATATACCTATTATATATCCCTATAATATGACTTTCGTTCATCTGATGTGATTGTGGTTCTTTGAGTTGTCAGTCCGAACATATATGGTGAAAGAGGCGTAATGCCAGACTACGCGATGGTTTTCGTGATCAACCAATGTCACAATCTCGCGAGATTTCGGCGGATGAGACTCCCTTCCAGGGGGTATGTTAACAGTCAAGATGAGATTTGACCCTACTCTGGGGGTCTGATCATTGAGCGGTTTGTTCGCAGCGTCCACTATCACCTGGCTTCGTCTATATCAATAAAAGGATTCATTACATGCAGATCCGTATAAAAATACGTATTACACTTGCACGAATGGAATCCTACAAACCGGCCGACAAGCGTGAGTATTTCCGCCCTAGTATACTGACGTGTAGACGTTAAACATCAACTGACCATTCGGGGTAAGATGGAAAATCAAGCAGCACGTTCCACACTTTCTCTACAGGTGTGTCAATAGTGGCAGACGCAGTCATTGTGAATACACCATCCTCTGCTCGAGGAGGCGTAGGTCCTGACATGACGGAGGAGGTGGGATTTGAACTTGCAACGTCCGGATTTGGTATACATAAATCTAGTAAATGTTTAGTGATGTACAGCCTGAGCGCGCTTGCAGTAATTGAGCAACGAGCTCGATCGACAGATTGCTCAAGGATTGATTTTGCTTGATGTCTGGATGGCAGGACAGCTGGAGTGAGGTGCGAGGATGTAGGTAGCAAAGAGGTGCGTGTTCTTTATGGATACCAGTGACTGCCTCATTTCTAAACATGACAACGTGTGCAAACACATTGCCAGGCAGCATCTGGCAGTATCCCTGGGATGGTCATAAAATGACCTCGACGGAGTTCGCGCTAATCCTCCAAGCACGTACTAGGTGTTTTCGATGTATGTGTACAAATTGGTGGAGTTCTCAAGGTTGACCGTCATAGCCGAAGTCCTCACTGGAGTTTGCGCTGGTGCTATGCTATTGACAGTCCTCTATCAGAAACATTGATGGACGCTGGGATCAGTTACATACAGTAGGGCCCCCTTTTGCATAGAGGATGTCTCAAAGGAGACATGATCCTCGAACTATACCAACATTGGTGCCAGGTAATAACGGGTCTTCTCACGAGAATCATCACCGTGACTAGTCTTGTACCGTTGTCTAGAGCAGGAGACGCCAACCTTGACAGATCGTAACCAAAACGCCTGACGTTGATATCCGGAATTTGAGTCCTCGTTTTATATACCCCACGGTCTCGGGCCCTGGTCCTAACACGTTCAGTATGTTCACCCTCATCCTCTCTTTGCTGATTTGGAATGTTTTCGTCCTCGGGCAGGACCTGTCGATACCCACAGGATGGCGGGTGCGTAAAAACATCCACGGGGATTTCAATGACATGAAAAATAGCCCGTAACAGTCGCCAAATTCCTCTCGCTCCTGGAATGAGCGAGCTCAAATCTCCCAGGCCTTACTCGACACCATGATTCCTCTATATGATGCGACTAGCGGGCGACTTAATAGTGAGTAAAACATTTGCCCATTCGAAAACAGGAAACTTAAGCTACGACAGATCTTACCTATGGCCAAAATGGGCACATGCTCTCTTCCATTGCATTGCATGATTTAATCGCCGGAAATCAAGACAACAATGTTATCGTATCGAATTGGCTTGGTGCAAACGCAGCTGGTCTCTCGCAAGGATCTGGGTGAGTACTACTCCGATACGTCTGGATTCTTAGTACCTTAGCTCGACTTCGGATGTATTAGGGTGAGTGATTATCTATCGTAGTTGTTGTTGTTCCTCCTCTGAGTGTTCGCAGTGTCCTGATGTCGCCAGCGAAACACTGTACGTCTCAATTATCGCCTCTTTGCCAAATTCATTACTCATGCCAGCTTCACACAGGTCGTGGGCTCTTGCGGCGATAAATGCATATCGTGCATACGGGAGAGACTTATTCCTGAGTACCGCGACTGCCGTGTGGAACCAGATCAATGACGGGTGTGTCATTACAGCAGATGACGCGACAAAGGGATCGCATCCTATCAAGAATGTCACATTGCCGGCGCGATGCAATGGAAGTGAGTTGGAATTCAGGTCCTGTAGATCGAGGTTAACGGACAACACGACGTATGATAGCATCAGTTGTAGGCGGCGTTTTCCTGGTCAGTCAATATCTGAACTGCGGTCCTCTCGCGCAGTGTGTTGACTCAAATATAGTATGGAACGAACCCGATGAACTTGTGGGTTAATGTCGACACGATTGGGTGAGAACCATGCGAACACTATGCGTTCATGAACTGACGTCGTATTTCTGTTCCTAGGGCTTTCATGACGTGAGTACCTACGTGGAAGGAATTTCACTCGTAACTGAACATGTGCCAGCCTATCATCACTCCTTTTCGAAGCAACAAGCAATGGCACTTACTCGAACAGTGCCGGACAATCATTTCAATTCATTCGTTCACATCTTTACGATGGCAACATAATACGCGATCGCATTGACCTCGCTACATGCACGCAGATCGACTTGCAGTCGTCCAACTCTGGCTTTGTTATTGAGGGGCTTAGTGTGTACGTGAATACGACCAGCAACGGCCCCGCGTCTGACCTGTATGTCGCAACTGTGTTCCTTGTTCTACGTGACTTGCTAATGGGAATTCTAAGCCTGAAGAACCTGATACCTTCGGCGATGAAGTTCGCACAGTGGACCGGGTCGGATGGTATTGTTTTTGAAAGTAATTCATATTGTTCTTTTGACGAAGCCTTACTGAAAGATGTTCCAGCCAATGGTGCAACCGAGACGGCGAATAAAGGTAATTCGTGAGGTGTTATCCCGATGACGCATACTCACATCATTACCCGTTGAAATCACAGGCACTTATATTCGCGGGTTACATGAAGCCTGGTCACGATTGGATAAGAATTCCGACCCAGCCAAACTCATTCAAAGCTACATTCTCGTTCAGGTGATTACATTACTTTCTCAGATTCTTGCGTCTTGCCTCATACTTTGCGACAGTACAATGCATTGCTTGATCTTGCGAAATCACCAAATGACAACTTTTATTCACCGGGTTGGGAAGGTCCACAAGCGACTCAATTGCTTCCATCGGGTCAATATTTTGCCGCAAGTGTCCTGAACTCTGCGCTTGCCATGACAGACAATGACACGGCGACAGGCAGCAGCACAGACAGGTACGTAAACTGCATTCCTTTACGTTATTCATGTCACTCCGATGTCCTCTGACTCTTCTGAATTCTTCAGCACATCCTCAACTAATTCTGCGCCGCCTTCGGAGACCTCCGCATTACAATCTCACCATGTCAGTACTGGTGTAATCGTGGGCGCAACAATTGGCGGTGTCGCATTCCTCGCTATAGTGACGGCGCTCCTCGTGTTTCTGTTCTTACATCGGCGAGACCGGAGAGATCGTGGTGTGTTCATCATTGATGAAGCGAAATCCTCCTTGGATGGACATTATGATACTCTTGTGCCGTGGGAGCCAGTCGCTATGCAGGCAACTCCTTACCCTTTGACATCAACTACGCTAGGTGAGTAGTATTTGAGCTTCCCAATGGCAGCATCGTAGCAACTGATGTTCTCTCATCTGCTCCAGTGTCAAGTTCCCTGTCGCTGATCAAGGACAGTACAAACTCTATACCTACCCCATCGGCAAGTTTCTTTTCTCATGTCCAAGAAGATGTCAATCAGAAGTCCATACCGGAACTCTTGCAGCGGTTGAATCATGCAATGGCTCAAGGTCAGCCTGTGCCTAGAATTGCTAATGATACCAATGCAGACATCATTGCACCACCTCAATATGAATCAGTCGCTAGTGATAGCCCTGTTAATGTACCTTATAAGAAGTTTCGTCCTGTGGGACATTAGCTGTATGACATATTTATATAACATACTTGGTATATATCCATTCTTTGGAAAGTCTTCAGAATCTTCAATAACACTGTTTGACTTGAGCGGAGTTTGTAGCATTCATTACAGATGCATCTCACTCTATTTCACTATATTCTTGTTATTTTCTGTATATATAAAAGATATTGATTACAATTATTTTATAAATTCATCTTGATAGCACTACTATAATATATATATTAAAACATTATAGAAGATAGTTCTGCTGTTATAGTGTGACCTTCCTACTTCTTTCTTTGCACTAATGTTTTTCATATTATTGTATTCTTACAGTATCATTAGGATATATAAAATGTGGTAAATATTGATAGTAATATATTTTCTATAGACACACTTCTAGATATCCTAGAATTGTATCAGAAGTCTTGCTTTTCTTGAAACATGCATTTTTACAAAAGGGCAATTCAGGTTTACACTTTTATGTAGACTAAAAGTAGAGTTACCATTACAATATATCTTGCAAAGATAGATACTTTATTAATTATGCTATTGCAGATTTACCTTATTTTATGCACTCTCTCTCTTTTCTCTAATTATTACATTTAAGTTCAAATCTCACTTATTGTAGAGCAACATAAAGTGTAGTGAAAGTGAAAGTGATTACTTTAAACAATGATCATTCTATCAACAAATATATAGAGATTCATAGTATAGTTATTGCAAATAAAGTTTAGCAATATAACATTTTAATTTATTTATAACAAATTAGCCTGATAATTAATTTAGAAGACTCTAGTTAATCTAGTTTAATTCAGTTGTAGATAAGAGCTTTCAGTTGAACAGCCAGTAAGTTGAACAGTCAGATAGTTATCAGATAAAATTCTCATAGATTAGATTGCAGTATCTGAGAACAAGTGTAGAAGTTTATATATATGTATGATAGAAAATAAGAAAAGCTAAATAAAAGAGAAAAGAAAAATTGCAAATTATAAGAGCTGTTAAAAGTCACATGGTACAGGATTCAAGCTAATGGTACAGAGTTATACATGTAAATAAGAGAATGCAGAAGAAAGCTAGAGCAAAAAAGAAAGAAAAAAAGAAGTCTCTATTACAACAGTCTACAAATAGCCAACACCATATAAAGAAAATATTTTATATCATCTTATAGTAAGTCATTTAATAACTATATGAAGACTAATGACTAGACTATATATGTCATATTTGTGAAGTTTAGTCTAAACTTTACCATATTGATCTATGCTACATATATTATGATACTTATCTCCAATATGTAAAATGCCTTTCTCTGCTAGCCTAGAAAATAGCTCAAATCAGTCAATATTATTGTCTGCTGAAGACAAGCTAACAAGTTTGAGACTAGATGCATTTATAGCCAATAAGTGTGATTCAAGCTGTTGACAGTCTTCTTTATCCTGAGATGGCTAAAAAAGATCTATACTTATTAGGCATCTTTGAATGCACAGATGAAAGTGATGCTAATGCAAATGGAAGGCTTTCTTTTCTTGCAGCTAGACTCAGGTATTGCAAGCATAAATTATGCTAAAAATTAATAGCTATCAGAACTATCGTAATGCCACCAACGCAGTCAACGTAACAAGATGAACGTTATATTGATAACCTGGTATAACAAACACGGCTAGGAGTCACTATGACTCCTAGCACAACAAAAGTACACGCAAATGAAGAATGAAGAAATAGAGGCTCATATTTCATTTCTGGGTCGACGCATTCACGAATAAGCCATCCACCAGCAGACCCGCTTACTTCTTCCCCCTCTTCTTCGTTTCCGCTGCCTGACGTTTTCTCTCCTCCGTCTCCCTACGTTTCCTCTCCTCCTCCGCCTCCCGACGTTTCTTCTCCTCCGCCTCCTGACGTTTCTTCTCCTCATCCGCCTTGATCCTAGCGGAGCGTCGAGATTCAGAAGTGCTGTGTTCCGAGTCAAGATTCGCTTCGGTGCTGCCTGCGCCTCTGTCACCCCCTCCAAATTGTGCCTGAGCTCGCCCCCTTCCGCGTGCACGCCCTCGACCTCGACCTCGACCTCGGACTGGTGTCTCCGTATCTGCACCATTAGGTAATTGAGGAATATTCGTGAGGTAGTCATCGGGAAAGGGAATATTCAATGGTCCAAAGGGCGGCTCCCTTATGAAATCGTGAATGTAGTGGAGTAGCTCGACATACTCCTGCACTGGGGTTTTTTCCTCTTGCAAGAAGCGATTGCCTTCAAGCTGTATCCTGCGCTGAAAGTCCCTATGGATGCGGTACATCAGATTTCGCACAAGCGGCCAAAACGCCATCCATTGCGACGGGATACGGCGGTCTTCTTCCAGGCCAGTCATGCACGCGAAAAAGTCGGTCTTCTTTTCTCGACACTGCCGGTAGTTTCCTGTCTGCCACGACCTGATCGGGTCCTTAGGATCCTTTCGTTGGCAATCTTCATAACATAACACCGCCCAGGGAAGCATCCAAATAAACGATTCCAGATCATGGCGATACTCTCGTCGAATGTGACCAAGCCAAAATTTACGGTTGAGCAGGTCCAAAGCCATGAATGGAACAGTACCAGTGCGCTCCAGTCCCTTATGATCATTTAGACCGTCAACTGAGCTCAAATCCCAGTCATTCAGTACCCCATGATTCATGTTGCCCTTCTCGCGGTATAACATATTGCCTTCGCTAGGATCGCAGTGTTTGACACCAGCAATCCACATCGCAAAGTGGCCTGTCAGAGAAATCAGTCCCAGCATTTGGAAGCCACAGAGTGAGAAACGCACATCTAACGATATCATACCACGCAAGCATAAAGTTATACGGGGGCAGTTTCCACAAAGGCTCCAACCACTCCGATATTATGATGTTAAGCGTTCGCGAACGGTATACACGCTCCTTCGTTTCACTGTCAAGATCCCAGAGGTCGAGGAATTTCCGGATGCGACCTGTCTCATACTTGCTCAACGTGCAGGCACCATAGATCTTCGGCAGGTTGTCCAACAGACCAGGGTCAATCTTTTCAGCAGCCTCACGAGCCTTCTGGACCACCGTCTGCTCCGACGGCCTCGAACTGTCCGGCCAGTATATCTTTATAGCCGCGTGCCTCGCCTTCTCGTTCATGAGAACTTCAGGATTAGCTGGGTCACGAAATAGTATCCCCTCAGACCCTTGGAACACACGTGTGCCACGCCCAACCAGGGTGTGTCGGCTGTACTTGTTCTCCTTCGGGTCCAAGTTGATCTTGATCTTGCCACCTTCGACAGGGATCTCAAGATCGAATGGCTCTTGTGAGACATTCTCCATCTGATTCAAAGGTAGCTGCTCGCTATGATACTGGACAACAACGGGATCTAGCTCGGGATTAAATCCCCAAAGGTCCATGGTGGAAAACTTTTGGAGAACAAGGAGCAGGACGAGGAAGCGTGGAAGATCATCGAGGAAGTTGATTCCAGTGCACTGGATAGCACCCTGCCTGTCATACCACCACAGCCAGGCCACATCATCTAAACAAATAGTTGTCATCATGCGTCCATCTACATAAGAACAGAATACGAACCAACAACAAGGACGTTCATGCAGTGATTCACTGCAGGAGCTCGACATAGTGTCTCGGCCGCATACGAGGCCAATTGCACGAGCGGCGGTTCCTCCGTCCGAGGTGCTTGGTCGGGCTTTGCTAAATAGATAAAATTGACGGGATGAGATTTCATAGATGAGGCAGTAAAATGAAAATTCATACGATGCGGGCTCGGGACGTCAGGTTTCGTGGGGGGATCCATGGTGCCGACGTCATTCACACATGAAATGTTTCGACACAGTTTGGTGCCGCACTTGCGAGAGGGCAATGATATTACCTTCTTCGTCCGCTTGAATTCCCATGAGCACAAGACATCGTGCCACTGAAGGTCTACGGGCTTCTCATGGCAGTGTGAGATCGCAGTCTTCCACTGTATATTTCTGCCTCCACCCCAGATGCGCCGAGCGCAGGCAAGGCTGGTGATAACAATGTCGGGTTTGCGTTTCGATTTGAGACTACCATGAACGCCGTCGAGCATATTTGGATCATTACGTTGAAAGAGAATCTTGAACGGCGAGCCTTTACCGAGATACGGCACGTCCACATCTTCCAAGAGCGATAATGCGCGATTGCATGCATTGGTGAAAGGTGCGTATCTGGCTGTTTCTCCCCCCTCAACCTCGCAACTGATGGGATGTTAGCGAGATATCAATCGATTAAGACTCCGGATCGATATCTTACTATGACTGTAAATGATTGAGCAAATCTTGGTCGTTACAGATGGGCAACACTTTATTGAGGCATTGTTCAAAGAGACGGTAAGGATCCACGGAGTCTCTCAATTCGGTAGGAAGAGAGAAATGCAACATCCAGGCCATCATTCGGTCAAATGTGGTCTGCCTGTGTTTGGATATGTCCGCGAATAGCCATGGATGCACTGTACGCTGGCTAAGCGGTTCAAAAATACTGTCAACAATGATATATAGACTAGTACTACAGGATCCGACTCACTATAAGTCATGGAAGCCATCCGACGATGCATGAGTGGAACTGCCGTGACCGAGTGGAGTATTTTTCAGCTCAGGAGCCAAGTTAGTAGGGTCAGTTTTGCGAGTAGGAGTTTGAGGTATCGACATGGGTACGACGAGAACTCCTGAGAGAGAGGGAAAGAGGGAGAGAGAGAGACAAAGAAAACAGAGCAATCGATGGTATATAAGACACAAATCTATGGTATCAGATAGGCGGAGTATGATGTGCAGACCATGCGTTTGCAACGCGTTCGTTGAACTCGGGTTGAACTTAGGTTGAACTTCTCAAGATCTTCTTGTCCAACATTGCGCGCCTAACGTAACACGGCATGGGCGTTAACGACACAAAGCCAAAAAAGGACTTGAATGCTCAAAACTTCGATCGCTAAACGAAGGGATGCATACTTATCCTCGTTTCGGACGACTATCGATTAGCCTTTCCCAACATCAAAGGATAGTACGTAACCGTTCATCATGCGACAAACCGATAGGTCCCCGTCTGCAAGTCCATGCCTGCCCGAGGGTTCTCGCCATCTTTGGCATAGTACTACTATGCCATTGGCAAGACATTGTCCAGGGCAACACCCACATACTAACACGATTCAAGATCATGGCGACATTCTAGTTGAAGCATATCACCACGCCAGATTCGACACTGAGGAGTTTCATAGCCATGAATGGAACAATAACGGTGGCATATACCGATGGGAAGGGTACTTAGTATTACGCAGGCCGGGTGTGTGAGATGTAGATCGCATTGAGTTCGGCACAACGTTGCGCATCTATCACTAATTAGCGTCGGACATTTAGTGCGCAGTTACATGCGGTATCGATTCAGAGTAACATCTCAGAGATTTCATCAGAATCGTGTTGCGGATGCGGCCATAGAAACACTACTTCCTTCACAGACAAGAATATACCAAGAGTGTTAGTCCAATATTACAAGCACTCACTGGTCGACAGGTCAGAGTATCAAGATGAAGCAAATACAGAATGTCGGATTGTGGGACTAGTAAAGGAAGGCTTATAGATTCCTGATATGCGAAAGCTCGGGCGGTGTTATTACAGATGACTGATCGTGGACGACAATGGCATGCTCTACATCCGTAAACGGACATGAGCCTGCCAGCTCCCGGCAGAAACGTGCTGAAGTCCAACAAGATCCAGCCTATCGATAGTGATATGTCCAGGACCAACACGCCAACGGACATCGGCCTCATCCTCCATAGGCCTGTCAGCCATGTCCTAGATAGCAAGTTCAAAGTTAATATGTGACGGATATATCTCTATGAGTTTGAGACACTTGCATCGATGAATCGTTGTACTGTCTTTGCAACATTCTTCGCCAGCTTGGCACGAGTGATAGGTCCTGGAGGATTGCGGAAGTCCCGAGTAGGAATTTGCCGACTCCAGGGAGCATAACCAGGCCACTAAAGAGATGAGAAAATCAGTTATAATTCATTGGACAAAGTGTGTGCATTAGTGCGCACCATAAGCCGAATAGCGACGCTAGGTCCCCTATTAGTGAACATCTGATCATCGCGATTTTGCAGATGCATGAACTTGTTGTCCAGAGCATCGCGACAAGAAATGCCACATTGATCGGGGTTTGAGTAGAACATGATGGCGTCTTCAAGTTGTACTTCTTCCACATACCGGCGTCGGTAGCTCTGAGTGTGTGGGTGATAGTCTGATTGGGGAATGAGAAGGTCTGCATGAGGAAATTGCCTCGCAATCTCTAACACACTGCGAACTAGAATTGGTGAGGGAAGCTGAGCTCGAAGTTGCGAGGGAAGGCGAGCTGAAATTGGTGAGGGAAATGGAGCTGGATTTTGTGAGGCAGTAGCTGGAATTTGTAAGGAAAGAGGAAGGGCTGGGCCTAGAGCGTTACCTATCACACTATCCGGAGGAGAGTATGGTGCAGCTGCATAGTCGGAATAGGAGCCTATATGCCAAGGTTTTAGTAGACTATAGTCGACGGGAGTCTCAACCATGGTGTCCGTGGTTGAACTTGTCAGACTAGGGTCTGTATTAGAGAATAGACCCGAAAAGGCATCGGTGTCATCCTCTGCTGGCGTGGCAAGCTCGGATAATACGGTGTTAACGGTATGTTCCACATCTGTCGAGGTATTTGCTTGAGTCCTTGAATTATATTCAGCCGAGAAGGCCGTCACGAATGCAGGATCGAGAGGAGGACAGGATTCGACCTATCATTCTTATGATCAGATATACAGGGCTGATTGTAAAGTAATCATCGGTACCTCCAGTCTTTCTTCAAGTAAATCTAGTTGCGCCTGCCTCGATTGAGAGGAGTGATCCATGAAGGATATGTTTGAGTCATCACGAGCGGTGATCGTCTTCGGCTTGCGGGTCAAAACCGCAGCTAGGACCATACACTCAAGATACTGGCAGCAAACGTCACTGTTGTATGACTCACCGCCAGATGTAGTGATCTCGAGAAGAGGACAAATTTCTTGTAGTATTCCTCGAGCACCATCTCCGAAATTGTACACCTTGGCCCTCGCCTTAGCGGGATATTCATGAGAAGGTAACGTTAATAACACCCACCTCGCGGAGCCATTGAACATCCTCGTCGTTCGAGACTGCGATGTCTGCGTCGGAATGCTGCAACCGACATATTAAAATGATACTTAATAAACCGAGAAAAAATAGTACCTCGAGCAAGTACTCCAAGACATCGTCGATAAGCGTGCGAGACTAGGTGGGGGTAAACACTTTTGTTTAGACAATTGAGTTAGAATGCTCATGTGCTTGTTACCTTGGTTTGTCCAGGAACAATCTCTACGTCGTAAGATGAGACCACTTCTCCAACCCCATTATCTGGGCCATCGTGCATATCAAAATTGTCACGGGGCTCTGCGTTCCCTGCCATCTTCATGCCAGGAAAGATGCCAAGCCTGTACTTGATTTTATGGTATCGAAGGAAAACACATTGGTCCGGAAGTGGTTCAGAAGCATCAGCCATCTCCCCCTCAGAGTACCCAACGGTACGACCCGACCGATGCTCTGGAGTTTGCGATATAGTACGCGAGGACATGACATCCAAGGCAAGATTGACGTGGGGAATTTGCTTCGTACTGATCTTCAATTCAAGCGAAGCGCCTTCTCCTCTAAAGGCTGCTGCAGTCCAGCTTCGTGTTTTGACCCAACCATGGACTATGACAATCTCTTCCTTATCCACGTTGTACTTCCGCTGCCGAGCGAATTGATACCAACTGGCATGATGACGACATGTGACCTGGGTCAAAAAAGTCATGACGGTCATGACCCTCGACATGACCGGGTCATTTCGAACACTGATGACTCTAGGACGCTCACGATACATGCACCTCACATGCACTGTCGCGCATTCACAGCCCCGGAGGGATATATATTATCACAGATGCATGGTACTGTATCAGGATTCAGTCAAGCAGAGAAGGCTGTCCTCAGAAGCGATGAGCGACAACGATAGGTGCACGAGGGCGCACTGGCAGCATGCTGGCAAAGACGCGGAAGAAGGCGTATGTGAAGCGCGAAGTCATTTGAACACAGCGACGGTCGACTTAGGGAGAACTGTAGTGACACTTACAGACCTCGACGGTGAGATCGACAGCGGGTGACTATATTTTGTTTATTCTCTCGTCGTCCGTAACTCTCCAACCTCAGGCTAGAGCAAGGAGAGCACGGCACTGGCAGTTACTACAGCCATACAGTCGAAACCAGTATCATCCTAATCGAAAGCGCCTGCCGTTCTCATGCAGTCGAGACGCTGACGAAGTCATACCGAAATCAATCGGAGATCCTTGGGGTAGAAGACGCAGCAGCTGTATTCTGTAAGTTACAAGAGTAAACCTAGTACACGTACGTATTCCTAAGACCAGGAGTTGAGAGGGGGAGGGAGAGGCGGTGAAAATTAAGGCGAGAATGACAGTGCATCGACGTCGACACACCGGTAGTCTAAGATCAGGCTCCGTCTATCGTCTATCGTCACAGCTGGGCGGTGAGTCCGAGTCCACACTTCCGACCTCGTCTGTCCAGCCGTACAATACGATACATGGCTCTTGTGTCTATCGCCGGTCACTCGTGTTGTCTGTGAATTCTGTGAATTGACGCGTTGGCCGCTGGCGAGGGTGTTAGCGTACACATACATATGCAAGCCGCTTTGATGCGATTCAGGCAGTACTGTATGAAGAGCGTCCAAAATGTCCGAACCACAAGATCAGCTCAAAGTCAGCTGTCGATCCTTCAGAGCAACTTGGGACCAAGCACTTAAGGCTTGCCGCCAATGGATACTCATTCCCATGACATTTCTGAAACCCACATTGAATTCACTTCGGGTTGACACGGTCATGGAGCTCTAGAGGCTAGAGCATACGTATCTCCAATGGAATCCTATTTAAAGGTTTCGCTTGGCGCACTATTTCGGAGACTCGCTTATAAGGGTCCTTGAACTCCAGGATCCGTTGGTGTTGGAACTCGTCTCTCCTGAAACCCCTGAACCGTATTCTGGTGTTCCAAGAATCCGATCTCCTCATTTTTTTAAACACAAGAGAGCAGAGGGATACTAGTATACCGGATATGTCTGAGGAGAAGGCAATTTGGGACCGCAACGTCAAATTCTACGGGTTCACACCTGTACCAAGGGATCCAGATGTTCTCTTCAAGGATCATCCTACTGCTTCAGGACTCAATCCGAAACAACTGCCATTCACCGTTGAAAATCTTCCGTTACCGAAGTCCTCTGTTGTGGAAGCGGTGAGGGAGCTTGTAAAGGTAATATTTCTAATACGTATTAGTGTCGTTGTGGTTTGAAAGTTGAAAGTAGTGGATTATCACAGAAAGAGCTGATTGAACAGACGTACAACCATAGTCACCGCGTGTACTTCTATGGTAAGCACCAGATTATTTCTCCGTCTTATTCATCGTCAACACACGGATCAACAATGATCGCATACAATCCTCAGGTACAGCCCTTGCAAAGACGCACTTCCCGGAATGGGAGTACGACGACGAGACGTACTATCTCTCATGTCTCCTGCACGATATCGGCACCGCCGACCGGTTCCTCGCAACGACGAAGATGTCATTCGAGTTCAAAGGTGCCATCGTCGCGCGGGATTTGATCCTTGCTCAAGGTGGGCCTGAAGATCAAGCTGACGGTGTTTGCGAGGCTCTTGTCCGTCATCAAGATATCTTCGTCAAGGGGTATGTTGCGTGCAGAATTGCGTTGTTCACTGCGAGTATTGATCGAGAGTCTTGATTTTTGCAACTAGCGGAAACATCACTGTGATTGGACAGGTTTTGCAGCTCGCGACTATCCTAGGTGAGTGGGCAATAAATGATGACAAGGACATACTGCATTTTCTGATCATGACCACACGTCGCAGACAACGTCGGACTGTAAGTTTGATCTGTCTTCATAATACGTGGAGGACATTTTGTTGACAAGGTGGCTGCCATTAGCCGTGCCAACTTGATCTCGCCCGGTCTCATCGAGTCCGTTACGACCGCCTATCCGCGAAAGGGCTGGTCAGAATGTTTCGCTCGCACGATCGAGAAGGAGTTGACGGTGAAGCCCTGGTGCCACACGTCGACCTTTGAAATTCCGAACTGGAAAGCGGGGGTGCAGAGTAACTTTGCGAGTGATGTACGGGGGAATGAGGTAATGAGAAAGTATGATTGACTGGAAAGGTTCCAGACCCTGCGTATTCTTGCAGCTTCGTCACTTTCCCAAAGAACTAACTGTTCATGCATGATTATTGACAAGTTCGTGAAGATATCTGAGTTCCGAGGTAATCCTAGTTCGAATTGTTAGTACCACGATGATGATAGCGCCTTGAGCAGGATTCGAAAAGTAGTAGAGAGCTTGAGTGGGTATGAGAGAGCAGGAGGACGCCAAGCTGCAATTGAACCCTAAGTGGCGTAAGAGATACAGCCGAGGGCAAAAATGACGAAAGCGGACCCACAACGGCGACAACCGAACCCGTCGAGATAATCAATATTAATCAATTATTCGCTCACCATCTGCCTCTCTCAATCTTCGCTGTCCCTCCATCTGCCATCACCACTCCCGCTACTACTACTGATACTACTGCTACTACTACATCCGCATCCGTCTGCTCTCCGCCACACGTCCCCTCCGTTATCGCCATTTCCCTACCTTGTTCCCTTTCATAAATGTCCGTTCGCGCATCCTCGGCCGTCCCTCCATCTACCCGATCGTCACGAGCGCCCGAGCCTGCTGCTGCTGCCACCCGCCACCGCTCATTGTCCCCGCCACTCGAGAAGGAGAGGCCTGTGAACGGAAAGCTTGTGGACGATGTCAAGCGTGTTGACCCTCTTCGTCCTGTATCGTCGAGCAAGCCCCCGTTGTCGCCTTTGCCTGTGAAAGAGCCGGATGGGATCCCTGCTGTGGTAGATGAGGAGGTGTGTGTTATGTTTTGCTTCCGTTTCTGTTCGTTGGGCGGTCGGGATGGACTGGCTCGTGGGACTTTGTGTTCGCTCTGAGTTGTCGGTCATGATGCATGTAGTAGTAGAGCTTGCAATATTTAAGGTTCCGATGGTGTTTTCTGTGCCAGTCCTTTCTTTCGCCCGATCGCTTGTGCTTTGTCGTTCGCAATGCTAACGTTGGCGATCAATTACAGGAAGGAAGCCCGGAGACGATTGATGAAGAGACGTTCAACCAGATCGTCGAACTCGATGAGGATGATACGCACGACTTCTCACATGGGATGGTCACAGCATACTTCACCCAAGCACGCAACACATTCGACGAAATGGAGCAAGCATAGTAAGTCCACCCCCCGGCTTCACTCTGTGTACTTATCTTTATATTCACCTCCACCACCACCACCACCATCACGCTCTTCCAGCAAAGACAAAAACCTAGACAAACTCTCCTCCCTAGGCCACTTCCTCAAAGGCTCCTCCGCCGCACTCGGCGTCACCAAAGTCCAAGCCTCATGCGAACGTATGCAGCATTACGGGAAACGATGGGACGAGGAGGCTGGCGTGGCACTCACAGACGACGTTGCGTTTGAGAAGATTGAACCGTTGTTGATGAAGGTCAAGGGTGAGTATGGATCGGCGGAGAAGTGGTTGAAGAATTGGTATAGTGAACGGGGGATTGAGGAGGAGACGGAGGAGGATTGAAGGGGAAGGGGAAGAAGAGGAAGGAGGGTTGTTGCTTGATCTTGATTTTCGTGTCACGGAGAGAGGGAGGGTGTGGGAGGAGGAGCGGATCGGGACAAGAGGGAGGGAGAGGAGAGAAAGGAGAGAAAGGAGAAGGAACGGATTCGATCTTACCCAGACCCTGGAAGAAAGCATACCTCGGTCGTGTATTCTAACGCATTTATATGGATGGATCGTCGCTTGATTTTCCATATGTCACCCCCGCCAGCTAACTTCCAACTACTACCACTATTAATTTATGAACATTACTTGTTTCGTTTTCTCACTTTTTGCTTTCTTTTTTAGTATTTTCTTCTTCTTTCTTCCTGCCGGCCCTGGTTTTCAGCCAGCTATCGTTTACTTAAATACCAAAGCACTATAGCTAGCGCTTGCATCATTTTACATCGTTTGGATTACTTACTTATTCAACTTGTTCTCAAACTCACGTCAAAAGCAATATCTGCGATACCTTAAGCTTGCTGCATACACTCCAGTATTGGTTGACCTCTTCCTTGCCGCAAGACTCGTAAATTTGAGCTTCTCGAAGCCTTTGACGACGTGGGACACACTGCGAAACAAAAGATCAAACCTCCATTCAACAAATATCGCCGGGAACTGAATAATGCTGAATTCAGCAGTCAGGTTATAATGTGTACGGCAAACCGCAAAAAAGGTATTGCCAAGGGTATATATGTATATCTATATAAATATATATAGCCCCATGAAAGCAAGAAGAAAGAAGAAAGAAAAAGTGCACAACGGGTAATAGACGAGACTAAAGCTTTAGTTTAGATCTTTCCAGAATCACAACAAACAGAAAAGAAACAACACACACCCCTCGCACCTCGCACCTTCCCCTCTCCTAACACATCTCACCACCACACCAGTACACCCTTCCCCCCTTCCCCCCATTCTCCTAAAAACCTACAGCGCATCTGATTCTTAGAAGGCAAAGGCAGCAACAACGGTAGCAGCACCCAACAGGGCAACCAAACCACCAGCCTGAGCACCCACACTCCTACGAGCATCACTGCTACTAATGATACCATCCGACAACGAACCGGCAGCCTGAACAGCACCTTGTAAAAAGTTAGCCCCGCACCCTGAAACGACGGCATTGTAAAGGTCAGATTGACCACCGAGGATAGGGCTCTGTCCGAGCCCAGACGCATAAGGCGCGTTTGACTCGAAACTGACGTAGGCGGTCAGGATGGACCGAGTGCATGAGTTGCAAAGCTTTGTACTATCGGTCGCGCTGTTGAGGAACAGGAACGCGAGGTTGCTTGTCTTGAACCCGTCCGGTTTCAATTTGAATACAGTCTGACCGGCTGAATCGGTCTCGGTATAAAGGGAGGAGACGGAAGTGGAAGAGGGATTCTGCGTGGCGCAGTAAGCACCGCTATCATCCTTTGCGCATAGAGCTTTCTTGAGCGGGGCGAGGGTGTAGAGGGCGTCATATAGGTCTGCGACGTCCTCGTTCCGACTCGTGGTAAGTTCAGCACCGCAGTTGGAGTAGAAATCCGCGAGTTTGCCACGGATGTTGCCCTCGTCGCATTGCACTGCGCTTCCACAAATATTGTTGAGCGCGGAGCTGACGGTGGAGGTGGAGGAGCTGTTGCCTGCGAGCACTTGACTCGTGGCGGAGATGATGGGGCCGGTGCAGGATGCGAGGCTGGCGTCGTTGTTCAGGGTGGTGAGGAATTGTGAACAGCCTTGACTGATCCCAGTCGGAATGAGCGACGACTGTAATAACGACAAATGATAATATGTTAGGTTAGATGAATAGGGTAAACTTTGACGAGGTGTGATGGGGAGGTGCGTACTGCTGAATTCTGGGCGAGGGCGACTGAGGCGAGGACGGAGATGACTAGGAAGGATTTCATGGTTTATTTATTGGTATGGGGCACAATGAAGGAGTGGACGAGTTCTTTAGTGTCGACGACGACGACGAGGGTGGGGATGAGGACGCTGGAGAAAAGAGCGAACAACAGCGAACAGGGAACAACGCGGTCTGTGCTCTCCGTCAACCGTCTGTTTGTTACCACGGCGATAGGCGCTTATTTGGGAGGCTCGCGCAACAGTCATAGTCTAGCTATATGGTTTAAAATAATGGAATGGCTAAGGCGCTATAGCCAAGTGGTTACGGCGACAGATTAGAAATCTGTTCCTCTTTGAGGGCGCAGGTTCGAATCCTGCTGGCGTCGCTATGATGGTCCCGCAATTTTTGTCGTCCTTGCTGCACAGCGTTTTTATCCAATGTCATTTCCAAATTTGTGTCAACACTCCTAGGCTTATGTACGTCGTTTACAGATTCCAGCTCGGAAGATTCACCTCTTGATTCACCTACTGCTTCATCGGCACGGATGTAAGCGCTCATGATCATTCTGTAGCGCCCACCCACTTAGGGAACTTCAAGTTTCGCCAGGTTTCATTTTGCACACTCTTGAAGCAAGTCTTCGGCATTGTCAAGGTCGTACGGGAAGAGGTCTGACATGCTTGTGGGTAGTGCAACATGTGCTAGTGGCAGACTACGTGCACCAGCGCTGCTGGGTGCCAGGTGTGTTGTCTGTCACCTTGCTGTCCAAACGTTTGCGCTTTACATGGATTTCTTTCCTGTAATAGGTTACCTCGGCACGTAAACGTTTCTTCGCACTCGAGGTTGTTATCTAGTGCGGTACTACAAGTATGCTTCAAGTTCTCTCTGGGCTCGAACTGTTTGCTGAGTTCTATTAGCACGCTAGATCGTCTGCACTTCGAAAAGACTTCTACGGCCTTCCTGGGAACGCACGTAGCTACTGGTGGTCATCATCTAAAACGCCTGTGGATGTGTCTGCATCTACTTCCCCTTCCACACAGTCAGCGGACGCTCTGAGCAACACACTACCCATTTCGCAACCACCACCAGTAGAATCTGTCGCTGTTGTGGACTCTTCTGTAGTTTCTGAAGCGTCCCAAGCCTCCGGCACACAGACAGTCGTTGATGGAGCCTCAATTGCTTCAGACGTGATTTCAAGCGTTCCAGCGGTCCTGCCATCGCCTATGAACTATGGCGACCTCGCAGCCCTTGGTCTCATTAGCTGGTCCCCCGCAGGTGTTACTCGTTGGGGAATGGAAGCTTTACACGTCTCCACTGGCCTGCCCTGGGGTTGGACAATCGTAGCGGCAACGGTACTCACTCGAGTCGTGCTCTTTCCCTTCTCTGTCATGCAACTTCGCAATACCGCCAGAATGGCTCCTCACCAAGCTGAGATTAATGCTCTGCGAGAAGAGTTGAACCAGGCTAGGGGTAATAAGCTGGCGATTCAGAGGGCGATGTTGAAGCAGCAGATGTTGAATAAGAAGATGGGTGTGAATATGCTGTCGGTGGCGTTGACGCCTTTCATTCAGTTGCCAGTCACGTTGGGTATGTTCTTTGGTGTGAAGAAGCTTTGCGATATTGGGCTTGAGCAGTTGAAGACGAGCGGTTGGGAGTGGTTGCCTAACTTGACGCTGGCGGATCCGACTTTCATCTTGCCTATTGCCACTACTGTGGTCATGAACATGCAGCTTTCTGTAAGTCATTTGCAGTACATTTTTCGTACGCTCTTTTACTGACGCGGTCGACAGCTTGGCCTGCGAGACATGCAAGCTAGCCCGGCGATGCCACATATGATCAACCTCTTCCGAGCAATCTCTGTACTGTCAATAGGTTTCATGATCAACTTGCCCTCGGTACGTTCTTACTTCACTTCCATTCCAAATCCTTCCAAGGCATTAATTGCATGTGCTCAGGGCGTCCTTGTGTATCTCCTAACAAGTATCATTTCGATGTCCGCCCAGACAGCCATCCTTCGATTAGCCGCAGTCCGTCGGTTGCTCGGTATTCCTGTCCTCACTCCTGGCCAAGGCGTGAAGTCGGCATCAATCAAGGAGTCTATTGATTTTGCTAAGAATTGGTGGCGAACTCAGAAACGTGAGGCCGAGGCGAAGGCTCGTGCTGAACGTAGACGGTGAACTGCCAGAGCTGTTGCTTTTAAGCTGCATTGCTTGATCAAAATTATACTGCATATCTAGAGTACTACTATATCGGAGGTTAATATGCATCGACCCCTGCTCTGACCAGCTTGAGTCCGTACTTAACAGTAAGAGTCTGATCAGTGAAGACCGACAGCGTACCATTATATCTTACGAGTTGAAGTGGACTCCGGCCTGCCCTAAACTTGTGCGAGAAGCCTCGGCTTAAATTTCTTCTCATCTTTGCAAAGCACTCCCATCGATCTCTTTGCCATTTTCTTCAACCTTCTCCTCTTTCGCATTTACTCGTCGCCATGTCTGTCGATCTCACAAAGCTCGAATCTCACCTTGCCAGCAGGTCCTACGTCGAGGGGTGAGTTTTATAGGTCCCTATTCTCACTTCATACTACTTTTCGTACAAGATGATCATTTGCTATGGTCCGTGTTTCCAAGAAGCGACTAGACACCGCTGCTCCAATATGCCGACATCCTTTTCTTACCTAGCTATCTGATACTCCTTTCATTATCTGCAACTTCAGTCGAAACAACACGACTAACATAAACCTACTTTCGTCAGTTACACTCCATCGCAGGCCGACGTCCACGTTTTCAAGGCCCTCTCGTCTGCCCCGACCGACCAACCCAACGTCGCCCGGTGGTACAACCACATCAAGTCTTACTCTTCCGAGTTCGACACTCTCCCAGGTTCCAGCAAAGCCGGCGAGGCCTTCCTTAGCTCCGGTGCTGCACCCGCTGCAGAGGAAGAAGAAGAAGTCGACCTCTTCGGTTCTGATGAGGAGGAGGATGCAGAGGCTGAGCGTATCAAGGCTGAGCGTGTTGCTGCTTACCAGGCTAAGAAGGCCAACAAGCCCAAGACGATCGCCAAGGTTCGCACCCTGTTCCCTCCTTTGGTTTTTCCCCCCGCTTTCTTTCGTGCCTGCGCCTGCACCTGTAGTTTTATTCGTTGTTGTCGTCGTCATGTACCTATGTTGAGCAATATGTTAACGTCTTTCTGTCTTGTCTGCAGTCTGTTGTCACCTTGGATGTGAAGCCCTGGGATGATGAGACCGACATGGCTAAGCTGGAAGAGTCTGTTCGTTCCATCGAGCAGCCAGGTCTTGTTTGGGGTGCCAGCAAGCTTGTGCCCATTGGCTACGGTATCAGGAAACTACAGATCACCGTCGTTATTGGTAAGTTTTTTTTTTCTTTTTATCGCGGTCTCTTCATAGCTTGCTCATGATTGCTATCTCGCCTTTGACAGAGGATGAGCTCGTCTCTCTTGATGACCTCCAGGACAAGGTCGCCGAGTTCGATGACTACGTCCAGAGCTCTGATATCGCTGCAATGCAAAGTGGGTCCCTTATATTGCCGCCTGCATATCTTCAACATATTGATCTTTTTACTTTCATTCTAGAACTTTAAACGTTTCTTGCCTCATATTGTCTCTCTGTGTTGTTTAGATAGAGTGGGAGGTTCGATTGTCGAGAGGTATCATTCAATGTGTAACTATCAAGGAAGAAATCAAATGTAGCTTTATCGTATGGCAAACTCTCCTCGCCGCCTATAACGGTGTCGTAGTGCCTGTGGGAAACATATCATGACAGTGATGCGTCTCCCATCGAGTGGTGGCATTCACATTTCTTACAGCCGGTGTCCATACCTCTGTATTGTTCTCTTTGTCAACCAGGTGTGCATACATGTCCAATGCTATACGTTTATTTGTTGACATATTCTTCAAGCTCAAGCTCGTTCAACAGTCGTCATAAGATGCTCCTCTTGACATCTCGACACCGTCTCATACCTTTGCCAATCTATTATCCCCTGCCTCACTCCACTTTTGAATCGGTTCACCGCATTAAAGCCTTGGTACGGCTCAATCCTCAGCAAGTCTCCTCACGTTCCTTCTCGTATCCTCCCTATCAATGCGCTTTGTTAATACATCATATCACGAATAACATTTTCGCCATGTGCTTATTCACGCAAGGTACCGGTGAGATATAACGAGATCATTCAATTGTGCTCTTCCATCTCGATCAATCTACCGCTATTCGTTTGCTTTCGGAGTCCCTAGATGTTTTGAAGTACTGGCTACGCAGCCCTATAACCACTCCCTCCTACCACCTCGAATTCTTGCTTTGCGTTTATGACTTACAAACACACGGCGTGGTCAAGCTCGATTCTTCTGGCGCACGAAACTTCTTAGCACAGGTCGCATCACCCATAATGGAACACTACATCATTCATGTAGATTGGTCTTTCTCCCGGTCTCCTGGACCCGGAACTCAATAGACCAAGACGTTGATCGTGTAGCGCTTAGAGTGCGGTCAGGGTACTCCGAGATGGCGGTGGCAATGCTTGGGGCCACTGTCGACCTATCTGGAGGGAAGTTGTTGTTCTCGGGCGTGGATGGGAGATTTCAAGATGCGCGTTCAGAACCCTTTGAAAACCAATGTCAGGTGTTTCAGCAACTCACGCGTATCCTCTCGCGTACATCATGATGCCGCACTTTTGGAAGATGACCGGACCACGTCATGCGTGTCTTGTTTTATTTCACTATGTACTTTGTCTCCGATCTGCACTTCGTGTCGTTTTTTATGTATGACTACGTGCGAGAGCTTCTCTACTTACTGAATAAAGTCTGTCGCTTTTGTAGGCTCCGCTGCCTGCGTCGTGAATTGCTCTAAGTCTCATGGCGAAATAGCGCGTGAAGCTATCAAGTGAGTTTGTTGATTCGACAAGTGTCAATCGCTCTGAGGCGGGTTTGTGAGCTTAGGAGAAGTATCCCAGGGTGAGATTACTATCAGGATGAGGTGATTCGCGCATGCGGTTCTCGGCCGCTAACTCCCTTAACTTATCATGCAATCAATGATTGTTTGGATGTCATTAGAACTGGGTTCATATATTGCTTTGTTGGAGTGGTTACGTTCGAGTTGCTGCTCTCTGAACTCCCCCCGCCGCCAGTGTCATACTCCAACTCTTTAGTCAATTCATTCCACCATGTCGGAGCTAGGTTTCACACCAGATGAAATCATATCAATACTGTCTGTTGCGCTTATTAGACTAATTGATATGTTCCTTACTAATTGTCATAATCTAGGTCACAAAGTAACCGTAAGAGCTATATTCTACTGGCTGCAATGGGTCTGTTCTATTCACCTATACTGTCTAATACATTGCAAATAATGTTTACTCTAGTTCTTGTGGTCTATGATGCTATCTTGACATGGCCTCAAGAATGGAAGTGCATCTGGAAGAGAAAATTCTCTGCAGTCACTCTTCTCTATGTGCTCATCAGATATGGCATTATTTTGAATATGTTTATTCAAAACTTTGGTGGCTTTTGGATTTTTACAACTGCTTCTGTGAGTTATGCATCATGTTCTTGCATTCAGATTCTAAACTATTCTATAGAGGTATTATGATTGTCTTATAATGGCTCATGTTTATAATAATCAATATGCTTACTAGCTGTAAGGCTGTGGCTATTCTATATTATATCATTGAAACAGTGTGTGCTTTTGCAATTGCAGGCAAGTATCTATTGCTCAATATAATATGCAACAAGTTTCTAATCTTTAGATTTAGCCTTCAACTGTCTGCGCATCTGGGCTATCTGCAAGAAAAGATGGTTTCCAGTGACAGTTGTATTTCTGCTCAGCATGTTCACTCCCTGTGTCAATATAGTGCAGTATTTTCCTTTCTTCTAATTTTCAAGATACTTGTTTTATATATCTTTGTAGTATAACTTTTCTAGGTCACAAACTTGGACCATTGTTCCTTCTGGGCCACTAGTGGGCTGTTGGGATATTAGTACTACTGAAGTATATCAATAGTAAGTACTTTTACTTTTCACCTGTTATCTCATTTCTCATTTACTCTTTAGTTGTATGCATTTAGTATTATTATCACTTGATCTCTGCTAACTTCTATCTTTAAAGTTCCTGTTATAACAAGAGCCATATCTGTAGGATCAGATCTGGCAGTACTTGTATTCACTCTTCTTGAGACAGTTCAAATCTGGAGAATAGGACAATCTGCACATGCAAAAACCAAACTAACTACAATGCTAATATATAATGGTATGTTGTCTACTACTCTGTCTTGTATAATGCTAATATCTATTACTTATAAATATTTTTAGGAGCCCTTCACTTTCTGTTTGTTCTCTCAATTTATAAAAGAAGATGGCATATCTGAAGTTTTCTTATTTTAGTGTCTTTCTGATACTCAACACTATTTCAGTGATACTAAATATTCTCTCAGTTGCAACACTACTTACAGTAAGTATTTCAAGTGTCATTCTTTTATGAGATGTCTTTTCAAATATTTTACAGACATCTGGCACTGCATCCTTCTTTACTACAATGATGACCAGGTAGGTTTTCTAATTACTGTTACTAGCTACTTACTAAGCCAAATTAGTGTGATCTCAATTCTGCTCTCTCACTTTCTTCTGGACTTGCGCTCCACCTTTCAATCAGGCAGCAACAACTTCAGCTCATTTCAACAAGACTCCAGTGTTCACTTTGCTAGCTCAATTCTTGGTGACATGGGTGCCACACTTGATGCCCCTTGGACAACTAAAGGAGATGAAGACAGAGATGCAGAAGAGAATCAGATCATGACCTACTCTAAAAATACATTTGCCATGAGGCTACTAGAGACTGAGACTGGTCAGAAGAATGATCAAGAGATTGTAGAAGCAGGGTAAGATTTTGTTTTTATCTTATTTTGTCTTTACAATACTCAAAATCTATTATAGGCCTTCTGGCATCCATAATCTGGCACAAAGATAGCCTTATGATTCTTGGTAGTTGTGAATTATACTCAACTTCAAAATATGACTTTAGATCTGTTGCATTTTTTTCTACTGTTGATTTATATTCTTTTTGTATTCAATTCAACTGCATTGGCTTTGGTGAAGCACCATGTACTAAAACAAGGATTATAATATGCAAGATGAATAAGAGAAGTAGACAGACATGCTCACAATATACAGACCAGAATTATACATACCCAGAACAAAGAAGTAATAAATGGCAAACATCACAGCTGGCATACAGCCCAGATTCAAAGATGGTTGAATGCTGAAAGGAGTGATTGAGCAGAACTTTGTTCAAGATATGATATGACTCACTTAGCGACCGTGAAGAAGAGGGCCGTGTCCACAATGTACGGGAAACTTTGGACAGCTTTTCAACTAAGACAGATACCATCATCACGAGAGAGATAGACCTCGTTACCTCTGGGGTGCGCTCCGATCTTGAACTCAAACAGACGAGAATATTATCCACGGAAACCGTTATAGCAGGAAACATTGGTATGAGAAACTTGGCTGCCACGTCGATAACAGCACCACAGCAAATGAGAACATACAGCACCGTTACGGCACTGAACTTCCGACTCAAATGCAGCGGGCTTTGCGAGAGAACGTGAACATCGTGTCGTAGGGGTCAATGCTATATGGGAGTTCAAGCATCAGCTTGGTGAACCACGGATTTTTGAAGACTTGTCGTACACGTTGAGACAAGATAGACGATCTTGTTGATACGGTCTTGTGAGCTGACCGTAGGGTTGTCCTGGGCATAGGTTGACGGCAGACAAGGGGGAGAATTCGAACAGCATGGAAACGATATCCGCGTGATGTCTTCGGGAATCAGACTAAGTTCTGACATGTTCCTAAGGTAGAGCAGAAAACGCTGAGCGGTCAATGGAAGCCGAGTATCATGTTATATAGATGCTAATGGGAGGGAAACGGTCAGGAATAGCCCTACACTGTATCCGCCTGCATCCCGAGAAGACGAAGCAATGCGATAGACATCCTCTATACGAGTTCGGCATAGAGCTCTCATAGCTGTTGAAGAGTCATTTGCGGAGGTGGAACCATTCGAAGGATGATCTGCAAAGCAAAGACAGTCCTAGTCATTGTTCAAACACCTAATCAGAGAATACGTTCTCAGGTAGTAGTGCAACGCGGCGATGAGGACCTGTTTTACGCAGGTTAACTTCAAGAGCTAGACTTTAACTATTCCCGTTTGTAAGACTTTAGGGCTCGAGGTATGGTATGTTGCGGATAGGCAGTGATCGTGTTCATCCTGATTCTGGTCGAAGAACTTCTGCCATGGGCTCGAAGCACTCACCATTTCACCAGGTTCTTATGATGGCCAAGAAGCATACCCTCGAAGACAGAAGACCCTGAGAAAGACTGAGATATTAGAAGCCCAAGCAGAGAAAAGCATGACATCTGCAATGAGAGAGTATTTCATTTTCGTCGTCATAATCTCGACACTCCTGCGTGTCCAAGACCCGTCGAGTGCGGCATCCGTGTTCCCCACGACCAATGTAGCGAAGCGCGTTGTCAACTAGGTACATGTTACGGAGGTCCTTGGTGAAACGTGTTGACGGAATTGAAGAGATTCTAGCGATCGGCCTGGGTTAAACGGAGTGGCATGGTAGACTATGGGACTGTTAACGCTGAGTCGTTGCCGTCGACGAAATGCCGCGCAATATTCCTCCAGGATTCTGGGGAGTTCTCGAAAGCAAAGAATAACTCACCGCCAGCCAACATGTCGAGAACCTACTTGTCTTGGGTATTGGAACCGCCGTGGTGCTGTTCTGGATGGTGGTATGTACAGTAGCTACTCAACCTTTTCTGGACTGTTTTCACCTTATACGGGTCGTCTCTCCCTCCCTCAAAAGACCCGTCATTGGTCTGCGACTCTGCGTACCGGAGACTAGTTTTCGCCAGGAATCCGAAGGAATCTCTGAGATCTAGGATCTAATCTAATCAGTCATTAATGTATTGAGCGTTGTTGAAGGTTGCTTGCCCTCCGCTTTCCAAATTTCAAGCTTCACTGATCAGAACTCTGTCTCCTCCGCTGCTTTGGACTTTTTAGACCGCTTGGAATTCTGAACATATACTAGGCGAGCGTAATTTGTACGGTTCCAGTGAACTTGGCGGTATTCCAATTCGCGGTCGTCAGCAGTGGTGAGTAAGCAAATTCGCCACGTCGACTGACGTGTTTCAATGAAATTCATCCAGGTTGCACCGCTAGACAGCACATACAATAGCTTGTCACCTCTCCATGCTTCATCTGACGATCTCAAGACTGTCATGAATCGTCTATTACTTGGTCTCCTGTTATGTCTTTCCTTTTGGTCACATACGACTCTGGCATCTCTGCTTGCCATCGACTATGGCACAGACTGGATCAAGGCTTCGCTCATGTCACCAGGCGTACCGTTTGACGTACTGTTGAATCGTGATTCGAAGAGGAAGATTCAGTCGTCGGTTGGGTGGAAGAAGGAGGATAGGTTGTTTGGGTCAGACGCATTCAATATCGTGAGTGCTTTCCGCCTACCGACAACAATCAATTAACTTTCTATAGGCCGGTCGATACCCGACAGACACGTTCTCAGCATTAAAGTACCTCCACGGGGCGCCGTTTGACTCTCCAACTGTCTCATTCTACACCTCCCTCTCCACTGCTGACCTCGCCAAAACTTCCCGAGGCACAGTCGCCGCACGGCGTTCAGACGGGTCAGAATGGTCTGTCGAAGAGCTCATTGCAATGCAACTGGGCTACGTCCGTGATCTGGCGGAGTCTGCTGTCAATGGTGAGAAGGTGACCGACGTCATCCTAACGGTCCCGCCATATTTCACGCAACACGAACGCGACGCTGTAATCGACGCTGTAGAAATCGCAGGCATGCGGACTTTGGCTTTGGTGCACGATGGGTCATCTGTGGCGATTAACTACGCCATGACGCGAACGTTCTCAGATGTTCCTGAGCATCATATCATCTACGATGCTGGGGCGTCCGCCATTCGTGCCACAATCGCCTCATTCAGTTCTGTGGACTCGAAAAGTAAGAACGCCGGTACGTCGATCAACATTGCCGGAGTTGGGTTCGAGAGACAAGTGGGCGGGAACGAGCTGGACCGTCGGTTGCGCGAGATCCTGATCAAGGACTTTGCGCGGAAACACAAGCAGGATGTCCGTAGTGACAAACGTGCGCTTGCAAAGTTGTGGAAAGAGGCGAATCGAGTGAAGACGATTTTGAGTGCGAACGCAGATGCGGTAGCTTCGGTGGGTAGCTTTTTACGTTGTGCATGTCGACATCGTCGCTAACACCTTTCGTTTCGTAGGTGGAGAGCCTGACGAACGACATTGACTATCGGTCAAAGGTCACGAGAGCCGAGTTCGAGAGTGCATGCAGGGATCTGACTGGACGTTTTGCGAAGCCTATTTTCGACGCTCTGGCCAATGCAGATATGACGTTGGATAACATCACGAGTGTCATCCTGACCGGTGGAAGCTCGCGCACGCCCATGGTCCAGGCTGCAGTCACTGCCGCTGTCGGAAAGTGAGTATATTTTTATCATTACCGTTGAACGCGGCTAACAAGAGATAGAGCTCGGATCGCACAGAACGTTAACGCAGATGAAGCGTCCGTTCTCGGTAAGACCATCGCACTGTGTTTGTTTTGAGGATTCTCAGACTTATTTTTTTCCAACGCAGGAGCGGCTTTACACGGCGCAGGTCTCAGTCGACAGTTCAAGACCAAAGATATCCGTCTGACTGACATCGGACCCTACGACATTCAAGTGTCTTACATAGCCGAAGCGAAAAACGAGAACTCCAAACCGAGGACGATCAACACTTTGGTCTTCCCCGCTGGCTCGAAGGCCGGTAGCAGGAAGACGTTGACTTTCAAGCGCAAAGATGATTTTAACGTGAAGTTGACTTATCGTAGTCCGCCTGTTCCGTGCGTGTCATTGCTCAATTTGTTTACCGTCTGGACCCGACTGATAATTGATTGAATGTAGTGGGTACCCAAGTGATATTTTGGAAGCGGAGATCAAGGGTATCCCAGAGGCATTGAAGAACTTGACAGACTTGGGTGCTGTGGATCCAGTTGTAAAGGCCACGGTCGTCCTGTCGGAATCTGGGTTCGTGTCTGTACAAGATCCAGTCGCGTTTGGCGAAATCAAAGATGACTCGCTGAGTGGTACGTGATTTCCTAGCATTCGAAGTACCAGTCTACTGACATGTATACTTACAGGTAAGCTGAAAGGCCTCTTTGGGGGAAGTGGTTCATCGTCTGAAGAGACGACCGCAGACAAGGAAACCTTGGCAAGGTCTGAATCTTCATCGGTTCCTTCGTCGTCACAAGAGCCTTCTGCTACACCAGAGAAGAAACCGGCGAAGAAGGATAACACAATTCCTTTGGAGCTCAAGATCAACTTGGCTTCGGTACCACCTATGAGTGTCGCGGAGAAACGTGCTGCTCGTGACAGGTCAGTACTGGTCCCATATATGCACGTCACGAACATACGATTTTTAACTCTCCCATCATAGGCTGATCGCCATTGATCGACTGGAGGCTGCGAAGCATGCACGAGAGGAAGCGCGAAATTCACTGGAAGGTTACTTATATCGCGTCCGTGATCTGTTGGAGGATGGTGCATCCGACTCGCCTTTTGTCAAATGTTCTCAGGAGAAGGAGAGACAGGCTATGCAGAAGAAGCTGCAGGAGGGCTTCGCATGGTTGTCTGAGCACGGTGACGATGCTTCTACGAAGGATTTCATCGAGCAACGTTCTGCACTTGAGTGAGTCTCCGCTGCTACACTAGCTCACGATTCTTTTCTAATGTCACGGTGTAGGGTCATGGAGAAGCCGATCATCCATCGGTACCAAGAGATCGAAGAGTTCCCAAAAGCACTCAATACCAGCCAGATGTGGAACTGGAGTACACGACTCTTCATAACCGAAGCCAAGGCCAATCTCACTGCTTCACAAGATAGCGACATTCCTCCACGTTACACCAAAGAGGAGATCGAGAGTCTCGAGAAGACTTTGAAGGAACACGAGCGGTGGATGAACGAGATGGTGGAAAAGCAAAAATCAGTCGAGATGAATGAAGATCCTATTTTGGAGAGCAGTGTGTTGAGGGAGAAGGTCAAGCCGTTGGAGACGCAATTGCAGAAGCTGTTGAAAAAGAAGGCTCCGAGGATACCGAAGAAGTCTGGGACGGCCAGCTCGACGACGGCTGCGAGTTCAGGTACTGGCGGGTCGAAGTCGGGCGGAGGATCTTCGTCGCCATCCTCATCATCTTCATCATCTTCATCGTCACAGGGACACGACGAACTGTAGACATTTAATAACATTGCATGTATTTATTTCATACCACGACCGGATTCCTAGATGCCCCTTTATAATTGTCTCATGCATGATCGCCACTGGATCTCGAGTTTCATGAGGTATGAATGTTATATCGACAGAGTGGAGAATGCTATGACGTCCTAAATGCAAAGCTCTAGACATTAAACTACCGTACATTATTATGAAGATGCTGTTCAGTAAACATATCCCAATCCATCCCTTACAACTAATTTTGCACGGTCTCCCCGTCCCTCTCTTCACTGAGGTCTCCAGTTTTTGGTTCCGAGTGGAGAGTGCGCTCGCGTCGTATCCGTAAGGACCCTTCATACGACTTGCACACCCATTTCAGGTACCGGATACCTTCAACCTTGTTAGCTGCGACAAGCCTGTGATGAAGGATGTCCACTTCGGGAAAGGTGAGAAGAGGAGGGACTGTATCGTCCGGGATGTCTACCTCGCATGTTAGTCGAACTAAGGGACGGGCGGCAGTTAAAGAGACTCTCGTTGAGCGTAGCTCGCTCTTCGGTCGAGGATCTCGGATAGCGATAGGTGAATAATGTTGAACGAAAGACCGAACGTGATCAACAGCACGATCCAGATGGGCAGTTCTGAGATGAGATTTCAAAATTAGCGTGATGAATGGGTGAGAGAGGGTATTGATAAACTCGCATTGATAACATCCGAATCATAGCAGCGTTCGCTCTTTCCACTTGTCTTGCGGTTAGTGGCACTGAACCTGGCTCCCGCAACCTCCACGAAGACTCAATCGCCTCCCACTCCTTCCATACGTCTTCGGCAAACTGCAATGCTAATCTTCGTTCTGGACCTTTCCGTGTGCGAGCACACCGTTCGAGAACATGTATGAACGACCATGCGTTCCTTGGAATCCCGAGTTCCGAGAATATAGTGTTGTATCGTTCAGACCAGGTCTCGAATGGTGAATGGATGTATAGTACGGAAAGATAGGCGTTAAGCAAGCGAGGTGTCAGTTGGACGTTTCGGAATCGTAGACTTGGAGTCTCTTCAGTCGATGCCTTGTTGTCCATGATGATACGAGACATCAGAGCTTCGACTTCTGCAACAACTTCCGCGCGACTCTGTGGCGGGAGGTTCGTGTAAGGTGTACCGTCAGGACTCTCGGTGACGGGCCCGGGTTCTTCAGTTGTCGATGCGGTTGAGGATGATCCTGTTTGTTCAGAAACATCACTGTCCTTGACGAGAGTCTCCGAACGCTTGAACGGCGGACGGTACGCCGCATACGCATTCAGCACATGCATCATCACCTCCTCGTCAACATAGACATCTCCATCTGGACTCTCCATACTCGCTTTGACCATCTCAGCCAATATCCACCTCGCCCTACTCAAATCACCAACCCTCTTCGAACCCTCCAACAACGCCACGAAGAGTCGCCTATCCGGTGCATACGCCGACTGACCCCTCGCATCCCGATGCGCGTCCAGCATCTCCCTAGCCAACCTGAAAGCCTCGTGGATATATTTCCTATCGCTAGAACGCGCGCAAGCAAGGATTGCTGCAGTATATGCGCCAGCGGTAGGTGGGATTTCGTGGTCCACCGTCATCTCTGTGAATAAGTCTAATGCGCGTTCTGTCTCGACGCCGTGAGCGAACGAAGGCGTCGCGCACGCTCGGATCATGAGCGTATAGGTGACTGCATCGGGGAAGGGATGTGCGGCGTAACGCATGTGTGCAAAGAGGTCCCATGCGTGGGCGTGAGCTGTGGAGTCGCGGAGGTGGAAGAGGTGCGTGATGAGACGGGTGTACGTCCGTTGAGGTGCGGGCAGTGCACGGTTTTCGTATTCGTGAAGCATCTTGAGGGCTTTTCCGGGAAAGGCTGCCGAGGTTTCGTTGCGCAAGTACGCTTTTATATGCAAATCTCGTAGGCGTTCGCAGATACCTTCGTTTTGATTCCATGAGAGGGTGGACTCCACCGCGTTCACGTCACCGGCATCCGCGAGTATATCAACAACGCTACTGAGCATCTCTTCAGAAATAGGAACCGCGGATTGCTTCATGAGATCGAGCACGACTTCTAATGATTGAGAATCGTTGACTCGAGCACAGTAACGAGCTAATGCGCCCCATTCGATGGGAGTGAGGAGACCAAGGGGAAGTTGGGGTTCGCTGGTGCTACTTGACGAATGCAGACCTTGTATCTCTGCGACGAGTTGTTGCAGTCTCGATACGAGAAATCGGTGGGATGTTGTGGCAGGAGTATCTTTGGAAATGTCGGTTGATGGAAAGGACTCTAACTCGGCATCTTCGACACGCAGCAGCCGAAGGCGCGAGGATAGGGTGTCGCTCAATGTTGAGAGCTCGTCACTGTTTTCTATGCTGAGAATCCGATGGGCTACGGAGTTGAGATGAAGGACATCATGCTCTTCGGTGAAGACCGTATCTGGCTTGTCAGAAGAAGATTCGTCGGCTGGTGTGGCTAAGAGGTCTTCGTAGAGAAATAACAGCTCTTCCTCAGAGTATGAGTTATCTTCCAACGATTCCTACGGTTCATGGTTTATTAAAGATTGCGAACAAAGAATGCGGAACATACCTGGAAGGTAGTAACATTCTTTAGGGCGTTGACGCGCTTCTCGAGTTCTGACAAGCCGGCAGTCGTATGCTTATCCTCAAATAAGGATATGTCCACTTCTTCCTCCGCGTAGTGCGGTTGTGTCTGCGTCTTCCTGAAAAAGAGTTCGGTAACATTGTCGATATATATGGAATAAAAACTTACAGAGAATAAAGCGATTGGTCTGGTACGTTCGAGTCGTGCGTTGCGACTCTCTTATAAGCAACAGCATGCGAATGCCGGCGAGCAATCGAGCGCCGTATGGAGTTTCCAGTCACTGCACGAGGAACTGTAGGTGCAAATACACGTTGTAAAACGAGGTCGAGGAGTCCAGGAGGAAGCCGAGCATAACCAGACATATCACGCGCAAACCGACTATAGATGCGGCATGCACAAGCTGTTTCACCAAAAAGCTGCTCTGGCTCTAGCAATTGGCCAGCAAGAAAAAGAGAAGATGACCGGTGAAGGTTTCGACGAGGATAGGACGACGACCAAAATGTGTCGAGATTAGATTAGATCCAGAGAGGTACTTAACAGTTAAATTAAGTTAACGCGTAAAATAATGTCTGCACTAAGTCAGGAATCATGTTGTATCGAGCTTGTATCGGCGAGCTGAGCGAGAACCTTGATCATCTCTACGTGAAGAATGCTTTGTCTACGGAAACCAAGCGTAAGCAATCCATGAACATCTGAACTTAGTCTGCCATTTCACAGAATCATCTCCGTTTTACTACCATATTTCATCATGGATCACCGTGACATGTACCTACACGATTTTGAGCTCGCAGGGGTGGCGAGGATATGACCATGAAACGAGATCCTGTTTCATTCTGGAGGCCATGCTTCTCTCTGCTTGTGCTTACCATATCTTTCAGTTTTATTCAGGGTCTTCCGTTTCCGAGGTCAAGCTTCTCCGCCATCATGAGAACCTGATGAAGTGATTGGTGCTTCGAGCCCATAGCAGAAGTTCTTCGACTCTCTGGCGAGAATCAGGATGACCACGATCACTGGCTATCCGCGACGTGCCATACCTCGAGCTATGAAGTTTCACAAGCATGAATAGCCATGGCTCGAGTATCATAGTTATCCCCCCAGAGAGGTCCTCATCGCCGCGTTGCACCACTCCTTGGGCACATATTGTCTGACTAGGCGTTTAAAGATGAGGGCGATTTTTGCCTTGATCATCCTTCAGACTGTTCGGCCTCCGCCATGTACTCACCAATACCTATGACATGTCTGCTGACCTCGGATGGAAGATATCTATCACTTTTCTTCGTTTCCTTTGGGGGTGAGTGCATATCAGAGGTTTGGGGGTATTTCTGACTGCTTCTCTCTCAGTAAAACCTCTATTCAGTTGACTCCGTTTGGATTGAACTCTAGACGATTTCTGCATCTATCAACGTGATTGTTAGCCTACGGAAGGTCCTGACGCTTTTACTTAAATTGCGCGATCCTTTTCTATATTCGGGAATAAAGATTATTGAATCGCGTCGACGTGCAGGTCTTTGGTCTATCCTAGATGCGGATGCATCACGACTCTTTTTACGCGATGGCTTGGACGAGCCGTTGGAGAGATCCCGGGAGAAGACATACCACGGCACCTATGTGACTCGTGTCCGAGCTCTAACTCCCATTGATTTCCACTCCTGTCGGCAATTCGATGTGGTTTCTCTCGGCTATCTATGGCAGTCTGCTTCGCTCATTACACCTGCCTTGATGCTTCTCTCCCGTCCAGCCTTTCCAATCGCGAATTATCCCGCCTCATCATTCAAAATTGGTGTATTCGTTTTACGGATCTCCCGCTTTTCACTTTCTGTTGGTTACGTCGAACAAGGGAACCTGTGGCTTACAAGATCCGAATAGTTAGAAGAGGATGATCTGACGCTTCCGTCGATTCCGGGGCCACCTGGTTCCAAACCGATCGCATCTGACATGCTCGTCGCGATCTCTATGTTCTGTCTGGCCTTCGATCGCAGTCGAGTTCCCCCCATGTTGCGTGTTTACTTGTCGATATCTTCATCTGTTGCAATGCTTCAAATGATATTACGTCCACCGCTTGAATGCTGCCTTCATGGCTGATGATCGCTGTCCGTCCAACATGGATACCCCTGTTTTGCGGATCTATACGTTGACGTGGTCGCGGCCGGTACATGTCGAGCTTTGCGGGTGAATCAATATGCGGCCAACATGACATTTGACAGCTGTGTCTCCGTGAAGGCCTGCATCGCAGCCCCGCGTTGACAGAAATCAAACATGGCGGGTATGATGGCAGCGTGGAGAGTGAGGTGAGCATGTCATTAAAGTCTGACGCATTCAGTGAGGCTCGAGTAGCGATGGCGACAGAAGGCTAACGAAAATCATGGTATGCAAAGGAGTGGAATAGCTGTGATCCTCAACAGTCACAGTGAACCAGGGACCCGCAGTTTAGAAGCTGAAAGCTCGTTGAGGCAATACGCTTCCCGTGATAGACGTATGAGGCTTTTACTTGTCGATCGATGTTCAATGCGCCGGGAAAAGGACTGAGTTTTGAAGCAATGGTGAGTCAGTTGTTTTTCTGCCCGACTCCTTCTATAACCAGGCGTCAGGGACCACGTCTATCGGTAGGCCTCCAGCAGTGCATTTGAGACTGTAACCAGGGCTATGTGACACCTTTTCGTACTTCGGAGCTCTCGGGTCAGGTCAATTGACCTAGTCTTCATCGCATATCCGGGTAATGCAGTGGTTGGCCTGGGTGTTCCCTAGGAAAGTCAGGCTCAGCCAAATGCGTGCACGCACCGGCAAACCAGTTCATGATGGGCTCGAAGGGCGGGGGGTACCTAGAGTACTGTAATGATCTTCTGCTAACTTAGAGCTCTCTCCACGGTCTTTTTTGATGCCTTGCATGAAGATACAGACCCTCTCCTGACCATCGTTGGAACCCTTTCATCGCCTCCCGCTTCTTACGTGGTTGTGTCGTTCTGCCGTTGCCTAAGCGATACTCTCAAGGTGAGGACACCCAACTGTCCGGGTATGTAAGATGTCGCTCGTTCCCGATCACTTCTTTAAGACAGGACGCAGAACTCATGAGAACGACCTGCTATATCTCTCGGACATCGTTGAACTCTTTCGGAAGAGAGATGGGTGTCGCGGAGTTGGAGGGCTTGCTTTGGTCACTGGTTAGTTCACTCAACTCGGTCAATCCGTGTCTTGACTATTCGAGCTACTTTCCTTAGACAGCTTATGGCTGCACATCACCCGCGATCTCCTTCGACACGATTGCCGATGTTAGCCAGCACGCATGATCAAAAGATCAAGTATCCTCGTCAGCTCTTTGTGCTCAGAGGTACTTTGCGATCGGACATGGTCCATGAACATCGGATTCAAGGAATTGCCCATGCGTCTCGTGGTTATATAATGCCGCTTCATTGAAGTTTCGTTCTTTATCCTTCGCTCCTCTCTTTGCATACGCCATTTTCTTCTATCGAAATAGGTCTCTTCTCATTCATACCAATTGGGCCATGGCGGAGCTGGGCTTCACTCCGGATGAAATGATATCTCAAATGTATCTATCTCTTGCTCACTGATAAATTGGCGGAATGCTAATAGCCATGGTTTAGTTCACAGTACTATCTTGAAGCATATATTACCCTCGCAGCACTAGGTCGGTTCCAATGCAGTTAGCTTTCTATTTCATCATGAATGATACATATATCAGTGCTGGCTGCATATGACACTATCTTGACATTTTCTCAGGAAGTATGCTGCATCTGGCAGAGAAAGTTCACTGGTGTCACTTTGCTATATGTGGTTATCAGATATGGCACTATTCTGAATATAGTACTTCAAGGCATTGGAGGTATCTGGAGCTTTGAAAGTGTTTCAGTAAGTTGTGCATTGTATTTTCTGCTGCTTGACTTTATCTCTCCTACAGAGGTAATAGTGACATTGCAAACATCTGAGTAAGCATACTCAATGCTTGCACTAGCTGTAAAGTGATTGCTAGTCTGGCATATATCATTGATATAGCATGCCAGCTTGGAATTGTTGGCAAGTACATATTACCTGGTATAATGTGATGCTTATAAACTGATATTCATGTATAGCCTTTAACTGCTTGCGCATCTGGGCCATTTGCAAAAGAAATTGGACTTCAGTTCTGCCTGTGTTTTTTCTCAGCATGTTTACACCATGCATTCATATAGTATGGTTTTTACTTGAAAAAGTCCACACAAGTACTCACTTTTGTATCTGGCTAGTATTTCTTCTCTAGGCCACAGACATGGTTTCTGGTTTCTTCAAAGCTGTTAATAGGCTGCAGAGAAGCTTTATTGGCCACACAGTTTCATTAGTAGGCATTTACATTTCTTATCAATATCTTAGATACTGAATACACCTTTAGTTGTTTGTATCTAGCACTCTCTTTACTTGTGTTCCACTTACAGTTCTCTACTTAAGTGCCTGTTGTAACTCGAGCCATATCTATTGGAACAGATCTGGCAATACTTGGATTTACTTTATTGGAGACAGCCAATGTCTTCAAAGCAAGTCAATCTCTACAAGTTAAAACCAGCATAACTATACTGATAGTTCATAATGGTATGTTACTATCTTATGAAATTTTTTCACTACTCTAATATGTTCATTTTCTAGGAGCACTCCAGTTTATGTTTGTAATTTAATTTTGATACACAAATGTATCTCACAAATTTCTTCCTATGCCATAGTGCTTTCTTGGTGCTGAACACAATATCTATGACATTGGATACTCTTTCAGTTGCACTACTTTCTACAGTGAGTATGACTGGTATCCTTTATTCTCAATCTTACACTTATTTCTTATATGTAGGTTGCTAGCAATTCATCTCAAGTTCTCACTATCAATAGCAGGCAAGTTTTTCTATTAGTTTCTAAATACATTCAATAAAGAGCTCTGTGATAGCATTACTTCAATTCTTCTTTCTCACTTTCTCCTAGACTTGCGCTCTATCTATCAGTCTGACAGCAATAATTCCAACTCTGAACCAGGCTCTACCATTCACTTTGCCAACTCAATTGTTGGTAATATGGGTGCAACACTTGATGCACCTTGGACAACAGAAGATGATGAAGATAGAAGATTAGAAGATCAGTCTGTGACATACTCTCATAATCCATTTGCTACTGGATTACTTGAAGCTGTAACTTTGGCTGAAGAGAATCCTGAGAGAAATACTTGGAGAAACACAGAAACTGGGTAAAATTTTTATTTGCCTGAGCTTGAACTTTTAGTGCTTAATGCTATTTTTGTAGGCTTTTAGATTTGCATAATGTGCCTGTTGCTGCATTAGTAGCTGCTGGTTATATTGAGCTGCAGGATATGGCCTAGATACTGTACAGATGTATATATTCTTTTCTCTCTCTTTCAAACTCAATTAGCTATTTTGCACTGTCCTTCTGACTATTTATACTTTTTGCATCATATCTCTAACTATGTATATCAATGTTATGACCAGTGAATATGTTATGGCACAAGCAACAAATATTGTCATATGCAGCTCAGATTTAGAACTGGTCAAGTACTCAAAGAGGTGTTTGAGTGCAAGTTTATTTAAGATACAATATGACTTACTAGTGACCATGAAGAAGGCCATGCCAACATCATCAGTGTGAGAGTAACTGTGAAGCTAGCTTCTTCAACTTGCAAACCTACCTAGATTACAAGCTTACTCTAATGACTTCATGCAGTCTTTCGGCATGAGGCTTGCGCAATTCACGACGTAGACATCGGAGCCTATAAAAGTGACAGACTTTATGTGGTGAATAGCCAAGCCCCCGTACACAGTGATACAAGTCGACGGGAAGTGAGAGAATTCCAGGAGAGAGCATGTGAGAATGTAGCGAAATGAGGCAAGAAGGTGTGTCATGTGCTCCGGTTATCTTCCAAGTGTGTGCAGTCAAGCTGCGCCGCCAATGAGCCCAACGACATGATCCCACGAGAACGAGTGGATATGTGCGAGTTGTTGAAACTCACCTTCAACAGATTCGCTGATTGTGGTCTGCCTTGGGTGCATTACAACTACCATGCGGCCAATGTCTTGGTCTATTGAGTATCAGGCTCAGTCGAGTGACCGAGTGACCGGCAAGAAGGCACGAGTGAAAGCGCACCGTGATGAATGCAAACCTACCCCGGCACCGTCGAGTCTGTCAGTCCATGCATATTGCAGGTGAAGCCGCCCGTGCTGAAAAGTCATTCGTCGGCACAAGACTGGAGGCTGTCCATACCGTATCTCCGCGGAGTGACAAACACAAAAGAAGGGCTTCGGCGAGAGTCGCTGAGCTGGTCAGCCGTAAGCCTGTAGGGCAAAAAAGCGTGTCATGGTTCGGTAGTCTGACTTGAGAGGTTACGAGGGAATGGTCAAAGGAGATTAAATGTGCAGCGGAGTACTCGCGAACGTTATGGGACCCTGAGTAGTCTGAACGTAGAGCTTGAATGCCTCCCACCTATCACATCTTGGATGTACAGCGAGACCATTAGTCACTATATGATGTGTTGATGAGGTGCGTTGAGAGAGACGAAAGGAGAGGGAAGATGAGAAATCTTGTTGGGGTTGGAGTACTAGCAAGGCTGTAATGCGATAAACTGATTTGAAAATAAAGATCGGCAGGGGAGGGAGATTGGAAGATAAGTGAGATGGCGTCGAGATGTCAAAGGGAGATCGTGTACAATGCCCGAGACCCTAGCGACTCCCATCGTTGGAGACTTCACTAGGAACAGAGACGTAATGGATATCACGCCGGGATCTGCGCAAGGGAACATGAGGGAATGTCGCGTGTGAGGTCAAACGTGTAGGTTCCATCGAGAGGCTTGATATCGACAGTTCTAAAGGATCGTGTCAACCGCAAGGGAGATGCGTTCGTTGTTTTGCATACGGATTGTTCAGACAAAGCCAGCAACATGGCTGAATCGTAAGTCAGTTGAGGGCTCCGGTATAAGAGAGAGCCTGTCGAACCAGACAAGCATTATCGCGAGAGACATGCGAAATCATGTTTTGCAAGCGCGTGTTGAGGAAAGACAGGCGATGAATAATACCAACGACCAACACAAGCCATCAAGGCTATATGACACCTAAGTAGTTGTAGTGAAGGAGTCAGACAAAGCGATCAGCCGCAAGTATGGATAGAAGGAAACGCTGACAGTGCAGTCCGAAAAACAAGGGAACAATGAAAGACCATTAAGCTATTGGCAGTAAAGATGTAGTTGGAAGGTATTGAAAGAAGCCAGCTATACCTCAACAGGCGTCTACTACCGATATTGAACGCGCTGGACAAACGGTAAACGAAAGCGATTCTAGTGCCACTTCCTTCGCTCGCAGGCTCTGGTGCACTTGAATATGCTTCCTTGATCTTGTTCATACACAACGGCAAGGAGCCATATCCATTACCGCGAACTCAGCATTTGTAGACTTACGGTCAGATGTGTAACGCACAGTGCGAAACCTGAAGTAGTAGAAAATGACGGAATCGGCTTTAATGAAATTGTAATGAGAGACGAAGCAAGCACTGAGTACTGGGTAGTGAAAGCATGTTGAATCTCCAAGATGGTAGAACCTTGCGTTCGGATTAGAAAGGTAAAGGAGACTCGATCGCCGGAACGAGGGCGGAAAAAGGATTCCCGCCACTGTGAGTGAAGATGGGCGGGAAGAGGCCAAATGAAAGGGAATAAAACTTATGCACGTATAGGCTTCACCAATTCAACTTTCAAAGGCATCCGTGCCTTGTCTTCCTCACCAACAGTCGGATACGCAATGTTGGCAATGTTCCAAACGATTTCTTGTTGAGGAAGCGAAAAGCGGAACGACTCGATAACGGTCGACAGTATGACCTCTGTTATTCATATTCGTCACTTCAAGGATTCGTAAAGAACAATGATACCAAACTTACTCATCTCCAGCTGAGAGAATTTGAACCCGATGCACGAACGGGAGCCTCCCAAGAACGTCAATCTGAAGCAAGTCAACACGTCATAAATTGGGACATATTTGGGGAATAAACTTTGACTAACAGGTTAGAGTAAACGCCAGCATTCGCGGTCTCGCGAACAGCCTCAGGGAGGGGTTCCAACCAACGTTCAGGTTTCCATTCGGTGGCGTCTTCTCCCCAGATAGCTTTGTTTCTATTGTAACCGTGAAGACTAATGACGATGGGGGTGCCTTTAGGGACTGCGACTTCATGAATCATGTGTCCATTGACACCTGGGAAAGGCTTGAAGACAGGCAGAACGGCATCTTCAAGCGTGCTATCATACTGTGTTAGCTTGAGAAGTTGACAAGAGAGGGGAAGGCATACTCTCTGAAAAGCGTCGTCACAGGAGGGTAGCTAGAATACCCTGGTGTCAACGCAGGGAATTAACGAAATACCCGGGGAACTCACACTCGGAGAGTCTCTCGGCAAATGGCGTCCAAGAACGGGAGTTCACTGACGGCGTCATATGAAAGGTCACCACCATCTCGCGCGGCAGTGACTTCTTCTCTCAGCTTTTCTTGTACATCAGGCCGTTCAGCGAGGAGAAAGACAGTCTTGGCCAGGGCGTTGGATGTCGTGTCCGTCGCCGCAAACACAAGAGTGCTGCAAAGGCAGAGTATGAGAAATGCCTGATGTCATACGAAATGAAAGAGACGTACTTGACCTGTGCAATCAGCTCTTCATCAGAGATACGATCCTCTTCGGACGCTTCCACGTTTGCACGCACTACAGTATCTCATGTTATGGAGATGATGGTAGACTCAACAGAAAAATAGACATACGAAGTAGACTCATGATGTCCTTTCCTTCGCCTACTTGCTCATGCACCGCTTCGTCGTCATTCTCGAGGGCGGCTTTCTTGGCATTGAAGATTGATACGGCTTGACTGTAAAGCGTATCGACAAGATCCTTCATCTTCTGTACGTTCTTATTCGGGTATATTTCGAGGACCTTGCGACGGAAACCAGGGGGGCCGAGATGGCCAACGAAGGGCAGGAACATGCGATAGAAGTGGAGCGAAAAGAGAGTGGGTCTGCCACGCAAAGTCAGCTATACGATTCATGGGCAAAACACTTCGAGGTTCACTTACAGGAATGCCTTGACGGCATCACCAAATGTATCTGAAGTCTCACGTACAAGCGGGTCAAAAGAATACCCAAGTCCACCTTGGCCGAGAGTCTCGAGCGCAGCGCGACCCATCCAACCCAGGACATCAAGTTCCTTTGGTGTCTCTTTCACCTGCTCGGCCATGGCATCGCGCAACTAAGGGGGAAGGTAAGAGGCGCGAACCGATGATACGTTTATCCGAAGGTTACATTACGAGCGACTGCATTGAATACTGGTGTCATCTGTTTGAGATGATTTATGGAGAAGGCTGGAGTTAAGAGCTTGCGTTGCTTCCGGTGAGTCTCCCCATGGGAGGCGAGAAGACTGGGACCAAACAAGAGGTAGTTGCTCCTATTGGGAGCGCATCAAAAACCTTTGCCTTAGGAAGCTGCGCACAAACGTACGACAGGAACCAAGATGTTTCCTCGAAAAGATGTTGGTCTTTCACGACGATGCTATGCATGGCTGCTGGGTCAAACACGTATAGGTATCGACCCTAGTGGCCAACTTAGTAAACCCTCAGCCCGTAAAATAACAGCACAAACGACGTACCCCGAGAAAACCGTTGAGCTTGACCACGCCTCCGTACCAATCATTCAAATGATCAAGGAAGTCCCATCCATGACGGGCGAATAACTGGCCCAAGTTACCTAGAATGTCATTAGATTCCTACAGACACTGGTATAATGACTGAACGTTACCAGAAAAAAGTGAAACAGATGAAGGGCCTGGAACATTATCGAGAGGCGATTTGGTGAAGAAAGGTCGCACAATCCGCCAGAATATCCAGGTAAGCCCTCCGAAGAGAAGAAGCTGCAGGAAAGCAGCCATGATGTAGAGAACGTCAAATGTTAGGAGAACTGCAGAGCAGTACGGTCAGAAAAGGCCACCAAAATGGGTCACGACTTTCGTTTGTTTCGAGGGTCAGGAGGAGAGATAAGGAGGAAGGGTATATCGGAAACAGGGGTTGGAATAAATCATACTCGCGGTTTATCGTCGGGTATATACTTCCCATGCATGTATTCCTGTGAGACACTCCTACTTCTTCTGCACCTTTCGCGGCAGGGTCACGGTGCCTGGCGAAGGGAGACTCTGGACACTGGAATTTTAGCAGGTAAGCGAGAGAGACGCCCATCCAAGTCGCTCGGTATCAACTGTATCTAGAACTGACTAGATCATCTCTGAGCACGTACTTAGACATATTTGTATTATATAGAGCGAGCCGGAGTAGTAAAATACATTGCAAGGATGGATTGGTGGCCAACAGTCCTTCAGGCTGAAAACAAGTATCGTTCACCGATCGATAGACGGTTGCAGTATGGCATCATCTGCAGTAGTTACCATAACGGGATTAGCTGATATCATATTTCGTTTGCGAAAAGCAGCGGGACGATCTGATCTACTAAAATATTCATACAGCTTGGTGGAGCCAAGGGCCAGATCTCAGTATTTAATCCCCGGGCTCGAGACTTGGTTAAATTGTTGATGCTAATAATGGTACACTGTTCTGCATCGACGGCGACTTGGCTGCGACCGTACCAGGCTCTTACAACGTTTTACCAATCAAAACGAGATGCTTGGAAGATATGAGTATCTTCTTGTGCCTAGCACTTACAATCTTTCGTATTGAACCCTGTAACCATCTCGACAGGCTACCTACCCGGGATGGCGAGAGATGCTAGCGGTCTCACATTGATTCGCGTCGGTTGCTAATTCGCGTTTAGGTGATTCCGAGATGATTGATTTGGCAGAGTTTCGTCTCTAGCGATGTTCTACCATCTGTGGGGGGATGATAGTAATGACCCTGATTTGATTCATGGAGAAGCAAGGGTCTGTTGGCAGAACGGGGTGCCTTGCTCTACCCCATCGTTTGCCCGTGTTCCTTTCCTTCCTCCAGTGTTCACTTTGGCCCACCCAAAAAGCCGTCCATGCCTGACTGGAATTCTCCTGAAGAGCTTCTCCGCGATGCAGGTCAGCAACGCCATCGTCGGCTCAGAGTACCTCAACAAAATCGTTTGGCTTTACAGGAATCTACGTCAAGCTCACGCACGTAATGGCTGGCGTGTACTTGTACGTGCCATCCCGGGTAGCAGAGATGAAATCGCTAACTATCCACATTTCTAGTTGGGAGTTTGCCACTTCGCTTGACTTCGAGTGGCAATTCATCTCTGGGAAGAAGAAATTTCATTGGCCAATGGTATGTGCAATTAATATCATGCCTTTCTGTACTGAACTCTGTACAAGATATTTTACTTTCTCGCTCGTTATCTCATCCTCATGTGCTTGATTGGCATGTATGTATTCGTTCTTGCTTGATTGACGAAGTGCTGAAGTTGTGTCGTCAAGCCTGGTGGCCCTCAACACCACCACGTAAGTTAGTTTCTATGACTTTGCCCTTATGTACGCTTCTGATCGCCAGCTTGATGTAGTCCCGTGAATTGCGCAGCATTATACGGAGTTGTTGGAGTGAGTATCTCACAGCGCGGTATTAGTCTCAGCTAATCCCGTGAGTCAGTTCGCCGGACAAGCAAGTGTCGGATTACCCAGTTTGATCCTCGCTATTCGCACGTACGCAGTCGACCTTCGCAGATTCTGCGTGCTCTAATAATAACTTTCAGTATGGTGATTTGGAGGATGGATCTTCGTGTCGTCATCCCACTTTCTGTCCTGATAGTCGGACACTGGGTGTTCATCCTCCTAGGTATATGCATTCACTCTATCTCATTTAATCATGCCTTCTTATCACTACAACAGGTTCCGTCATCACTGGCAATTGGGTCGATGGACAGGGCTGCCTCTTCGATGTGCACTACCACTATGCACTCATCGTCACATTCGTTTATTCTGTCTGCTTCGATTTGCTCGTTCTTTCTCTCACCGCTTGGAAGCTTCTCCTCAATAAACAAAGGCGTTCGCAGATCGTCAAGCTGATGTTCAACGACGGTTTGATTTACTTCGTCGCTTGGTGAATTCTTTTATACCTCACAGGCATGCCTTGATAAACATGCTAACATTTTGGCAATTCGTTTTAGTTTTGTCGTCAACGTTCCAGCCATGGTTCTGATGGCTTTGAACCTGAACGCAATTATGGGGGCTATTTTCAATCTTCCCGCAGCGACAATTGCCACAGTACGTGCTACAACGGCTCTATTGTTAGGACACTTTCTTATACAAGTTCACCCGCATCCTCATAGACTATGGCCTGTCGAGCTGTTCGTCGCTTGCATAACTTTTCCACTCAAGGACCAGAGATGTTGTACGTATTACACTGCTGTATCTCGATATATATATACCAAGTTACAAATGCGTGCATCTTAATAGCTCCTCCAAGAGCAACTCCGAACAAGCAGTCTCGAGTGGAAACCCTCGCTCTCATACTCCAGGTGGTATCAACCCCATCTCTATTGCCCGCACCGCAAGGCGGTCCAGCGGCGTCCACGTTCAGGTACTTAATGCTAATTCCATTCCTCTTTCGGCACTAATACTCTTTCCGGTATTGCAGATGGATACTTTCACTGTTGCTGACCATGATTCGGAACGAAAGTACGATGCCAAATACAGGGACCCAGAGGGTATGGCATACTAGGATCATGTACCGATCGTATTCTTGCGCATTTGCTGCAGTTGTTCTGAGTGGACTCTCTCTGGAAGAAATCCCATCTATTCGAATATTCTATTGGTCGACTCGTAGTGTCATTCTTTAGGTTGTTGTCGGTCAAGAGTCATGTAATATGTTCCTTTCCAAGCTTGGTTCTATGAATAGCAGTATCACTCCTGGCGTTTGGTGAATCTGATTTGCAGTCGAACCTTCTGAGGTAACTGCGGTGTATTTAAACTCTATGGCCCAAGTCTGTCACACATCGAACTTCCCTGGTCGTCAGCCAGACGCAACATGCAAATGAGAGGCTTGATCAACCTCCCTTGCCTTTTCCATCAACGTTCGGTAATGGCCGCTTCTTCGACCTCATGAGCATCCACATCGAAGGCTTCGACGTCGACCTCAGACACGTTCCCTCACGACCCTCGTCGTTGTCGACCAGCAACGGCAGAGCGTTGAACGACCTCAAGTCTGGAGCTTTCCTTTCGATATTATTTAAGATATACCCACCCTCCCATTCCTTGCGATACCAAAATCCTCCTCGAAAATGCCGTCATTCTCATCCACGCCGTTTATGACCTCCCTTACCTTCATTCTCATTATTGTCATCTTGAACAATACCTTGTTTGCAGATGCACATCCATCGGGAGCTCTCTCGAACATATTGACGAAGCGCACAGATCCATTCTTCCCCGATCAACCACCTTCGTGCCCGATTTGCGCACAGAACTATCCGAGTATCAATAGTTGTGCGCAAGCTGCTCCCGTCCTCGCGAACTTCTCCATGGTAAGTTCAACGCATCTACTCTTTGGTCTTATTGTCAGTAAAGGCCGTCATAGATCATCTTCAACCCCGGAGCTTTCATTGATGTGATCAAGTGTGCTTGTACAGATACTTTCCAAAGCGGTATGATCTCTCACGCTTTTCATCCTTCAAGCTACATACTTACCCGTTATTCATAGCCTTCCCTCAATGTGCCGACTGGTAGGTCTTTTTCTCTTATAAGCCCCGTCCCATATCCCGGGAGACTGACACTTCCAACTTGCAGCTTCATCCAGACAAACCAATCAGACGTCCTGAACACTCCCGACCTCCCAGGCATAGTTAGCGGCATGCGTCAAATCTGTGCCCTCGAGAGTACACTCTTGGGTAACGTGAGCGAAACAGATGGCGAGGTGACCCCTTCGGCCGGAGTCATTGCCCCTACGCCTACACCTTCTCTAAGCGGAGCTGAGCTGCAGTTCGGTCTCACTGGTGTTCATGTTCTGTTTGTCCTTGTCGTTGGTTTGCTTTCAGTCTTTTCGATTGGTGTGTTGTGAGCTCAGAGCTGGATGTGTGTCTTTGGCGTACTGTTTGCTATGGACGTGGATGGGAAGATTGTACCGGTATTTATTTGGTATTTGCTGCATCTCTTTAACGACCTTCTTACGACCACTGCGATACTTATGCGTGTAATGACCATCATGACCCTTGTATATCCGAATGTATTTCTTCTGAATGCACTTTTCTGCTACTGTGATGCCAAGGGCCTTTGCTATGCGTGCTTGCCAGCAAACTGACATGTAACTGTAATATGTTGTTGACGCGACGGAGACATTCCCCTTCTAGGATTTGTTGTCGCGTTGTTTGGTGCACTCGTGACGCTGTAACGTGGCGTGACATAACGCGTCTCTGTCACGCGTTTCCTGCCCAAAGCTTCACGCGTTCTCTTTCGTTCTTGCAATTGATCCTCCACTGCCACCTATTCCCTCTTCATCTCCTCCATTATATACACCCCTCTCATTTGTCATTAGTACTCTCCGAATACCCTTGCGTGCAACATGTCCATCGTTACAATCAGGGTAAGCGCAAAATACAATCATGGATAACATGGCATACACTTACTGATCATGAACGCGTGCAAGTAGAATGTCGAATTCCTCAATAACCCTGCGCGGTTCCTGGATCCGTACCATTTTAGAGTCACTTTTGAATGTATAGCCCAGCTTCCCGAAGGTCCGTTCCTACATTTCCCCTCTCATTCATCCCTCTATTCACTACTTTATCCATTCACTCATTTACTCATATACCATGATAACCATAATACATGTCCGATCCTACAGACCTCGAATGGCGTCTCATCTACGTCTCATCACCCGGCAACGAAGAACTCGACCAAGAACTAGACGACTGTCTCGTCGGACCCGTCCCCGCCGGCATCAACGCATTCGAATTCGAAGGCTCAGCTCCGAACCCAGCGAAAATCCCACCAGAAGACGTCCTAGGTGTGGCTGCGTTGATCCTAACGGGTAGTTATAAAGATCAGGAGTTTGTGAGGGTGGGGTATTATCAGAATACGGAGTATGATAATGAGGAGATGAAGGAGACGCCGCCGGAGAGTATTAGGTTTGAGAGGCTGGTGAGGGATATTAATACGAAACCTAGGGTGACGAGGTTTCAGATTAAATGGTGTGTAGTCCTTTTTCATTTTTATTTCTTCGTCCTTGGGACTGAGTGTACTTGTTGGATGTAGGGATATCGCACCACAACACCAGAATGGTCAAGCGGTGGCTGCTGGTGCGGCGACTTCGGCAGCAGTACCATCGGCGAATGACTTGGACATGGAAGACGTTCAGCCAACGAACGGCTCATCATGACGACAGGCCTCTTGATTGTCTACTTATACCACCACATGTATCCTCTCGTATCGGTATGATTTCAAATTCGTAATGCTTATAATGAACGATTCACTCGTGAGTTGTTGAAAGCATGAGATGCTCAAGCTCAAGCCTCATTCGGACTCCAGGTGTCACGGAGCAGAGGGAGAATAGTGATTTAAGAGCACGATCAAGTCATCACATGGAAAAGAGTAAATGAGGTGCAAGCAAAGGTTATCAGAGTTCCAAAGTCCATGAACAAGTGACATCATAAAAGCCCGTATACCGACAAACATAACAGACACCCGTTTCAATCCTTCCGCTTGTTCGATACAGCTCCAGTCTTCTCGTTGAACTCGGTGGCGAGTCTGTCGTACTCGGCTTGGTTTTGGGCAGCCTGCTTCTTAAGGATATCTACGAATACGAAAAAGTGGCCATGAGCTAAGGCGCATTTTATAAATTGGGTGAGGTGCGTACCATAGTCACGAGTCTTGGCTTCAGCTTCTGCGAGTTTCTTCTTCAAGTCCGTAATTTGTTTGACCTGGTCCTCTGAAGCGATCTGAGTACGCGAAGACTTTGCAATCTACACAACGAAAAGAAAATCATGTCAGGACACATCTAACCATCCGCACTAGTGAGCGTACCTCTTGCTTCAGTTTGGCGTATTCTTCTTGGGTATGAATGAGGTCGAGGATGATGTAGAATGAGCGAGTCAAGACGAGCGAAAGGAAGAGGCAGAATCCTGTGAGATACGTATTTCTCTGGGAGCTGACCGGAAGATATTTCAATAGCAGCTTTTGTGCGTATTCACGCTCGCAACTTACTAGAATTTCCTGGCGGCAAAGTTGGTCTCTGACTGTACTCCTACAGCACCCCCTCCGGTCCTAGCTATGTCCGCCTCCGCAGTTACTCTCCACATTCGTTGCAGCGCGTCTACGAACAGGATTGCTACAAATCTAGAAGTGCATGCGATATCGTCCGTCAGACTATTGTATGGCAGTGCCATTTGACACGTAGTTCGGTGGTACGACGTACATGAATGTAATCTTGAGGGCATAGGCGATCTTGGCGATGATAGGGCTTTCTGAAAGAAAGTGGAAGAAACGTTTGCGGATGGAGTAGGGCAAGGGCGCGACGAGAATGCAGAACGTGACCATCTCCGATGCGAGGAGCATGAACGTTAGGGTGTAGCTGTAGACATCGTCAACTACCGCAACTAGGACGTTGAATGAGAGCAGGCCTCTACGTACTATACGGTCATGCTGGGCAGTATATATCTAAGCTGAATGGAGGTTTGAAAATGGTCGTATGCGGTGGAAGACAAAGCTGCAGGTGAAATGGCGTGTCTTTCAATCCTCGCCGGCGCTTTCAAGGGGGCAGTTAAGGGACACGATTCGGATACGTCACTTACCAAGGGCCGGCCGGGTATTCCATATGCAGCATATTCGGCGCTCAATGTAGCCAGTACCTCCCAAATGGAGCAGGTGTTTCCACGGGCGCTATTTCAGTTATGTTTCCCGACGGTGTTTAGCGACGCGTCATACGCGTTCTGCTCAAAAATCAACTCATTACTCTTCTTTCTCTTGTACCACAACTATCCTGTGCTTTCAACGGAATGGCACCTCTATCTGTTCATATCAAGCATGCTGGCAAGGTTCACGATGTTCAGTTAGACCCTGATCAGCCACCCTCTGTCTTTAAAGATGCGATCTACCAAGTCACTGGTGTGCCTATAGAGAGGATGAAAGTTATGATCAAGGGAGGAATGCTCAAGGACGATACCGATTGGAAGAAGGTTGCACCAAAGGACGGACAAACATTTATGGTGATCGGTGCAGCGGGCGAGTTGCCTAAGCCACCAGAAAAGCCAGTTGTTTTTCTTGAAGGTACATTTGTTCAAGTTGATTTCAAGCCGAGGCGCAGCTAACTAGAACTTGGTAGACATGGACGATTCCGAGCTTGCACAAGTGGTAAGATGCATTTGGATCTGAATTTGGCATTCACTTACCTTGCGATTAGGTTTCTTACCCTGTTGGTCTCGTTAACTTGGGTAACACATGTTACATGAACTCTACCGTACAAGCCATGCGCGCAATCGTTGAATTGCAAACGGCCTTGAATGCGTAAGCTACTTTTTCCGTCGCAAGTGCCGCGTTTCGCTCATGCTCTTTGCAGTTCATCAGTGACCGGCCTCCCCAACCAATTGAGGCTTCTCTTCAATAACATGTCGAAGACTACCGAATCAGTTACACCTAGTTCCTTCTTGCTGGCACTTCGACAGGCATTCCCTCAGTTTGCTGAACTCAACCGGAGCGGTATGAAGGGGGGTGCTGCAGGGTACGCTCAACAGGGTTCGTATATTAACCTTATGCCACTTCGACGTGATATTGACAAATTCTGAAGATGCGGAGGAGTGTTGGACACAGGTGCTTCATGCACTTAAAGTGGTTCCCGGCCTTCCAGGCCCCTCCGGCTCTAGCGCACATACGAAGGGATTCGTGGAGCAGTTCATTGGCGGAGAAATGCGCCGCGAGTGAGTGCCGGTCCCTCTGCCTCGTTATCCGTACTTACAAGAATGTGTTCAGATTGAAATGTGATGAAGCGCCAGAGGAACCACCCTCCGTCACGACAGAGAAGGTCCTCAAGGTCGACTGTAACATTACAATAAGCACTAACTACATGTTGAGCGGTATTTTGGACGTATGTATCCCTAATTTCGCATAAGGGAACGACGTAGCTTACATTTGGCAGGCTTTGGACGGCAAACTGGAGAAAAATTCGCCATCGCTCGGCCGTCAAGCAGTATACACGACACGTTCTCGTCTCTCTCGCATACCGTCATACCTCACCGTACACATGGTTCGATTCGCTTGGCGAGCGGACATTGGTAAGAAGGCGAAGATCATGGTATGTTCCTTGTTTCCTATCCTCGTTTGTTTCCCTCTGGCTAAGCACATTGTCAGCGCAAAGTCAAATTCCCACTCGAGTTTGACGCAGTCGAGATCGTCACTGACGACCTCAAAGAGAAACTCCTGCCCATAAGTAGACGACTCAAGGAAATCGAGAAGGATCGCCTCGAGAGACGTAAAGTCCGAAAACGCACCAAGGTTGCTGCCGGGCAGCCTAAGAAGGATCGAGATGTCGAGATGACCGATGCCTCCGGTGCTGCTTCCGGTTCCACTGCTAACGCGCATTCGTCGGAGAACCAGGAAGTCGCTGGTGGGGAGTTGCAGGATGAGAGCGTGTATAGGGAGAAGGAGCTGAAAGAGCTCGAGGCTCTTGTTCATGCTGACTTCCTTGCGGATGTGGGAAGCAGCGTCAGTGGCTTGTACGAACTTGTTGGTAAGTATCTTCCCTATCTCACGGAATGTTCTTCATTTGTGCTCATCGCTTGTTCTTATTCTAGCTATCGTCACGCACAAAGGAGCAGCAGCCGATGCAGGACACTACATGGGCTTCGTCAAGCGGAGCGTCTTCCACCCCATCTCTAGGAAAGCCGGTGATCCTGGAATCCCGGAAGACGACGAGGACTGGTACAAGTTTGATGATGAAAAGGTGTCCATTTTCCCGAGGGAGAAGTTGGCGACTTTGGATGGTGGAGGTGAGGACTCGTCGGCGTATGTCTTGTTGTACAAGACCAAAGCTCTCGCTTGATTTTTCCTCGAGCTTTCCACTTTGGTATTTTTGAGTTGTGCTGTACTTGCTGTTTCTGTACTGTACTCAAGGAAATTGTGTTATGAATGAACTGATCTATATCGACGTGAAGCTTTGAAATTTGAAGCCTCGTGAAGCTTGGTTCTCGTATACCCATATCGTCACTGGTGTAAGCGCTTATATTGACATTCCTTCTCCAAGGACCACCACCATCATACCTCTGGACTCCTTCACTTCTGGCCCTGCGAACTGTAAATAATACTCAGGAACTCGTCGCGGGAACGACTTGTTCTCCGTTCAACTAGCTGATCATCTCTCTTGTGTATATCTAAAGCGTTCTCATCTTGTCATTTAGCCTCACAGCCCGTGGCTGATTCCTCCAGGTCCCGGGGTACTCGTCTATACCTGTACTACTTGTACGCTGCAACCTCTTCGAATTCAACCTTACACCTTACAAGTACCAGCAACATGGATGGAAGTCAAACTGCTGATCCTAAACCCGAAATAAAGCCTGACAGCGACCTTGCTTTGGACCAACTCCGGGCAGCAAACGAGGAACTCCAACGACGCAAGGTCGATGCAGAGAAAGATAGAGAGCTCTTTCGAGAACTCTACGGCAAAGCCTCTGCCCACGTCAGCGAAGTCTCCAAAGAGAACAACGAACTCCACGAAAGAGTCTCGCTATTAGAGGGCAAAGTCAAAGACGGCTTGCAACTCATACGAGGGACGTATGAGTCGCGAGTCCGCTTGTTGGAAGAGGAGGTGAAGAAGTGGAAGGGCATGTATGAGATTCTTATGGCGAGGGATAGGAAAATGCAGGGTGATGAATTGAGGAGGAGGGCTGCGGTGGAGCCTGAGTTGCGTGCGGAGAATGTGAAGCTTAGGGAGGAGTTGGAGATTTTGACGGAGGATTATGAGAAGATGGAGAAGGTGTTGGAGCAGCTTGGGGAGCAGGAGTTGAAGTTGTTGGGTGAGCAGGAGCTGGAGGAGGGGTTGCAGAAGGCTGTTCAATGTCCTAGTGCGGATGATGTTGAGCATTTTATGGAGGAGGGGGTGGTTTCGTGATAAGGTGATGTATGTTATTATTGCCTGCTCGTTTTTCCTTCGCTCACGTTTTTAACTTCCACATGTACTTAGATTTGTACCTATCATGTTATCGTGCTGCTATCGTCTTGGATATATGGATATATCATAGTATTTCTTCTGCCAGGTCCCGCTTTCACCACTTTCGCCCATTCCATTCCATCATGCTCTCCTTGGTATCCAAAACAAACACTCGTCTTCTTCCTCCACGGTCTTGCTGTTAGCTCTTTGTAGCAGATATTCCCCGCGAAGGTGCTCCGCAGCGTCTTCATCGGGAAGCTGCCTCAGTCGCATTGCACGGTACGGTCGTGATCCAGTACTAACATCATTCGCCAGAAGAAATCGGATTTCGTGAAAATTTGGCTTGTTGACGTAGTCGTTGATGAGCTCTTCTGCCCAAACCAATAGGACGGTCTCGACGCTTTTTTGATGTTCTAGTTCTGACCATTCATAGTCTTCTTCTTCTTCCTCCTCGTCATCGTCCTCGTACCAGTCGCCATCTTCAGGGTTTCCTGCCATAGTATCAAGATCCTCCTCCTCCAAGTATCCATCCGAATCATAGCCGAGTTCAACGACGGCTGCTGCGTCGACCGCGAAGACGACTGGTAATGTGAGCACTCGTAGTCTTGGACTGCATCGTATTACAGCACCCCAGTCTTCCTGTAGGTTTTCTATTTGAGTCTCTCATAGTCGAGAAGTTGAGTCGTGACTCACGAGGTCTCCTGGTAGAGGCGCAAACGCCGTTGCATCAAGGTGGTCCAAGACGAGTTCCTCCAACTGCGGGATTTTGGACAATATCTCATTCATAAGCTGTGGACCAAAACCTGGCAGGTAGTACTCGCCGCCGATGTTGACCACTAGGCGCAGACGTCGGATGTTGCTTTGCGACAACGCCGGTACTAGGCAAGCAAGAGCGTCGTAAGAAAGTCTGACGTCCAAGGAAAGTGATGTTAACGCAGACCACCTGTTCGACGACTAGCCAGGGGTAGACGCTTATTATCAAAACGCATACTCGTAGACGAAGACTTTGGTGGCCAACTCACGATTTGAAGGGCGCATAGTTGCACAATCAAAGAATTCACGGCTCCACTGGCGACGAAGGTGTCTAGCGCTGAACACCGTTGGCTCATGTTGTAGAAGGTATCCAGCCAGTCAATGGTAGAGTACTTGTCTACAATCGTGATGGAACGCAGACCTGCTGCGTTGGAATACAACGACGAAGAAGCGAAGCTCTGTGGACCGCGAGCTTCAATCAGGATTCGTTCATGATTCGTAGTCTGTGCTGTCGCGGAAGACGACCTGTCGCCTATACTCAGACGCGAGAGCGATTCTTGCAATGTTTGTTCGGCATTTGTTGCATACCTAGGATGTCCGGTGAGTTGTTCGTAAGTAGCGTCAGGTTTCTTTTGGCGTACTTACATCACAACCAACCGAAGGGAAGGAGGTAAATTAAACAGACATATATTCTCCTCTCATATACTGCAGCACCATATCACTCGCAACCGCACCCGTCCCTGCAATTTCCATTCATACCTCATTACACTACACAAGTAACCAAAGCGCTTGAAGGCCGTAGAAGAACAATAGTCTCGTCGCGGTAGTACAAAAGGGACCCTTAGAAACCCTGACAGCTTTGATACGAAGCTTACGGTATGGCGTACAAACTTCACGTACATGTCAGTAAATGTTGCTCACGGCTGTCTCTTACGTTGGTCCTGCACAAAGGATTCCCAATTGGGATGTAGTTGGTGCTTGTTGGACCAAGAATCAAGACGCCCGTTGTATCATGCCGCTTGGGAGTGATGCGTGAGTCATAACTTTCCTTATATTGTTCTATGGTGAGTGCCATGTTCTCCTCATCGAGTCGTAAGGAACAAAGTCTGTATCAGGCAAGACATCATACCAGCTCACGTCCTTCAGGGTCTCTCAATTCTGGACCGCATTGGCACCGACCGGCGCGGTGTCTATGTCATGTCATTCCGACCTCTGTGTATTTACGCAGACGCAGATGCAGACGCTATATCGGCTCTCCGCTTTACTGAACCTTGCACACCATCGTCATGCAAACGGGTGCAGTGCCTAAATCTGACTCCTGGATGGAGCTCTGGCTGCTTCTTCACGCCTATCACTTTCCTTGGCGTGTCCTTCAGGTACTTCAATTTGAATACACGACCACTGTCCTGTTCTCACAGAATGCTTACAGATAAATGATCCGCAGGACGTATTATCTTATCAGATAGACGACGCCTTGCGCACCTCGTGAGAGAGAATCCCATACCCATAAGTCTGTTCCTTAACAGCTTCCCGATGAAGAATCGGACTTCCTTCACTGTCCTCCGTGTCTATTTTTACAGCTCGGGTATCCGTTCATGTTCAGCGCGTGGAACGGTTTAATTGCCGAATACGTTCTGTGCATCTCACACTGTCTCACACCAAGACTGCTGTCAATACGCTTGCTCATTCAGATCCTGGCCGCCACTCTCTCTCCATTGCGGCGGCGTGGGCAGGATGTCAACAAGCTACCCACGAAAACTGGACAGGGTCTTACTGCGCAGCAGGCGTAATCTGATAAGATGAGCTTGTGGTCATGTTTATGCCCTGTCGTTCCACTCCGCTTCTCCCCCAGTAGAATTAAGCCATGGCGGTCACTCCGTACGATTCTCAGGAGAAGTCGTCCCCGGTTGAAGACAAAGCTTCGTACGAGCAACAAGAGTCCAAGTCTAGCCATGTCGAAGTCCAAGCTCAGTCCCTCGAGTACGGGTCTTCGACTCCTTCGGGGAAACAAAAGCTGCCCTATACTTGGCAATTTGTCATGATCATTTTGACGTGCCTGTGTACATGTGAGTGCGTCAGAGTAACTTCACATTCACCCTGCTAACATAAGAGCCTGTTAGTCGGTAACCATTGGTCGAACGTACGCCCTATTTTGACTATAGTGGCATCTCATTACTTACAACTCTCGTTACAGGGTCTCATCGTGTGCGTGTCCTGGCTGCGGCTTGCTGTCTATACTAATATCACGATTTTAGATCCTTGAAGACGACAATCATCAGAGAGACTCATATCAACAATTCCCAGTTCGCGACTTTGGTGAGCCCACACTCCTAGTTATCAGTCCTCCTTTCCTCTCTCATAATAAGTCCCACTGTAGGTTGCAATCACGAACTTGGTAATGATCTAATTATGTCGCAACTTCGTGTTGGCTCATCTAGTTTCTTAGGTCAATACGTTCTTATGCATCGGTCTTGGCTTCTGCATCGACAAATGGGGAGGCACACTTTTGTCTTTGATCATGGCCGGTTTCCACCTCAGCGGTGCCATGGTAATGTCGGGTGCCGCGACGAACAACCTCAACAGCTACCCTCTTCTTATCGTCGGAAAGGTCCTGGCTGCAATTGGAGACGGCTCTTTGGACAATGCCCAACATCGGATCTTCGCTACCTATTTCTTGCCTGGACGCGGATTCGCCTTCTCAATTGGTAAATACGGGCGTATTTTTCTTGCGTAGTTCAACGTTGATCACAAATCTTTTCCAGGTGCCATTTGGTTCGTTTCCTAAAAGTCTACCGTCAATGTGAACTGTAAACTGATCTCTCGCAGGGGTATCGCCAATCTTGCACAGTTCACTGGACAATCTACTGCAAACGTGATCGCCACGAACCTCGGATCCTATGCCTGGGCTCTTTGGATTAGCTCTGTTATTGCGCTGTTTTCATTCCTCTGCGCCCTTACTGTGTTCTTCTTGGACCGATATCTTCGTGCACGCTACGACATCACCGATCAGACAAGCGGAAAGCGACATGTTGGAGCGGTCAAAGGCGGCGCTTTCAGCTTGAAGGCCATCAGGCATCTCCCTCTGACATTCTGGCTAGTCGTGCTCTTTGCTGTCTTCGAGAACGCCGGGGTCCAGTCATTTGTTTCGATCTCAACGTGAGCGAATATTCACCCGTCCACGTATTGGTCTCTCTAATCGTACGTTAGACAATTTGCTCAGCAACGATTGAAGAAGGGCGCGGTCATCGGCGGTTGGGTGTCCAGTTTCTATCTCTTGCTCCCTGCTTGCTTGACGCCTTTCCTCGGGATCTACATTGATGTTTACGGACAGCGTATCGGATTCTGTGCGTCTTCCATTGCTTCCATTGGATACCTACTTACAAGTCAGATTAGTGTTTTTGTCTGGACTCACTTTCCTGATTTCCATGTTGCTTCTGAAGTTTTCTCACACTGTCCCGACTTTCGGTGAGCAACATCAATTTTCACTCGAATATATGCGTAGCTAACTCCTTTACAGTCGCCGCTTACATCTTCTATGCTTTGTCTCAGGTAATTTCACCATGTAACGCATGGAATTCGTACTGAGAAACACTTATTCTGGCAGTGTGTTACGCCTGCGCCGCAGGTGGAGATTATTCGCTCAATTATTCCGGATGCGCAATACTTCGCTACAGGGTAAGCTAAACATCTTCGAACTACTACTCGTTCCGATGTCGTTAAATCGATGTATTCCAGCTTTGCTATTAAGAGTAAGTAACTTGCCCCTCGATCGAATGCCCACTAACATCCTTTTAGAATCTGTCGTACAGGCGTCCATTGTCATCATCACCACCGCAGCTGGAAAGCTTCAAGACGACTCCCCCACTGACTCGCTCGATCCTGCGGTCACTCTGTGGCTAGTCTACGCATTCCTTTCGGTCGCTGTATCTGGCTCTCTTCTCACTATGTCCTATGTTGCTCCTAACATACTCCCTGCTGCTCGACTTTCCCAAATCGCCCCAAAGTTATTACCGGCCGAAGTTGACAAGCTGGCTAGTGTTAAAGGGATTACCGTCAGCAAGGAGCTTAGAGATAATGAAGAGGTTGCCGAGGTGAAGATCAAGGAGAAGCTCCTGAAAGCACCGTACCCTGGTCGCGAGGGAATCAGGTGGTGGTTCCTTATTTTATCCGTTGGAGTTATATTCGTGGGATGGATCATGTTTGGTTTGGGTGTTGGCTGGGGCGTTCACGGAAGCGTCATTGCTGGCACGACTGGAGAGTAAGATGCTGTATGTTGATGTGTATCTCACTATGCCAGCTGTTTTCTCCCCAAGTGGAGATTGGTGGTAGAGCCGACATGTTTACCACGCCGATTCAAGTGGGACAGCCGTTGATACTAACATTGAGTGAAGCAGTACATCTTCCGGTATATCCGAAGGCGTACTTGCATTTGAAAGATGCTTAGCAGATATCTATCGACAATTGTCGGGCTAAGAGGTCAATCAGTGATGAACAGATGCTAAACCACTGCTCGAACTTAGGTACTTGGATGTTATTTGGAATCACACAGCCAAAAAAAAAAATGATCAACGAGCACTGTTCCGTCTTCGCTCGCGGAAATCGTAATGGCGAACTTTACGCCTAATATCCCCGTTTGTACACAGCATTCCAGGAGAACTTGTTTTGAGCGGACTCGGGCGTCTCTGCATATTTTGTCCGAGGCCAGGGTGCTTGAATTATCTCTCCAATTTTCGATGTTCCATGATTGATGTTTGTTTACATATGTAGTACTTGAGTCTTTGTCTTGACGTCGTCCAGTTGAGCCGCTTCAAGCTGATGAGGTTGTTTCTGGTATCATGATGCGAATTGAGAACCGTCTTCGCGAAGCGATGAGTGGCAACTTCCTGAGGCCAAATCACATCTGAATGCGTAGGTTCATTCGCTCCGTCTTCTGCTTCCTGCGATGATCATATGCATCATGATTGTCTGATCGGCTTAGTCCGAATACGTTCTTTTCTCGAGCTGGTACAGGACTGAATTATAACTAGTTCTTATGCGAATCACCCCTACCTGGCTCTCGCAATAGAGCGTTGACGACTTCCAAACCTCTTAATCACTATCTGAGCTATCGGGACCTTCGCCACCTTGGGTCTTCATTTTCAACACCTTTAGGGCATTCACGTCACTGTATGTACGTCTATTCATTCCTGCATCACTTCTGTGATACCTTCAACGTACGAACGTCCGATCAATTAGTCTGGCCTCCGTATGAGAACACCCATCTCACGAATGCCCGAGGCCGATGAGGTCGACTTCACGGTGGCTTTGAAACGTCTCGCTGACGAATCAAAGATAGCTCAGCTCACTGCTTGACCTCTGCCGCCATCTGGGATTAAGAAAATTTCTAGGATGTTTGGTGTTCTGCCGATATAGCCTCTCACTCGTCGTGTAACATGGCTGTTTCTTGCAACAATCTGAGTGATGGGAATCCTTAGATGGAACGGCTCATGCGGGCCATTGAACGTTCCACGATTATTCTCTGGTAGGCTTCTTATGATGAAGTTACAAACTTTATACAACACGCCGCTATAGATGGGCCCATAAATAACGGGCGATCCCGTCTACGCTGCTGCTCCCTCCGCATCCCGTCGCTTTTCACTCAACACCTCTGAGTTTTCCCTCAATTCGTCCTCCAATAGTCATGTCAGAGTTGGGTTTGACACCGGATGAAGTCGCCTCATATCTGTACGTTCATTCACTATGGCAATGACAAATTAGGCACTAACAGATTTGCTTCTAGTTCGCAGTTCTATCTTGACAATTATCTTCTGCTACCAGCCCTAGGTACGTTATACTGATTTTTGATTGAAGTTTCACTCTCATGGATTATCTATTAGTTTTAGTTGTCTATGATACTATGTTGACATTGGCCCAAGAAGTGCAGTGCATTTGGCAGAGAAAATTTAGTGGTGTCACTCTGCTATACATTCTCATTCGATATGGCACTCTTTTGAACATGTTGATGCAACTTGCTCAAATCTTCTGGATTTTCAAAACTCCTTCAGTAAGCTGTTCAATATTTACAACTCTCTTAAATATATTGATTCATCTTTTAGAGGTACCAGTGTTTTTGGCTCAACTTTCAATTGACAATTAACTGTTTTGTTCCAGTTGTGAAACACTGAATATTGTGGTGTACACTGTTGATGTAGCATGTCTATTTGCCATGGCAGGCAAGTGCAAAGGCATCAAGTTTAGTTCTTGTATTATAGATTGATAATTTTCTCTTGTTTAGCTTTTAACTGTTTGCGCATTTGGGCTCTTTGTCAACAGAGGTGGTTACCAGTTATACTTGTGTGTCTGCTCAGCATGTTTACACCATGCATCAACATAGTATGTTACTTGTGAACATTTTTTGATGAAGGCTTATAGTTTGAACCATTGTAGTATAATCTCTCTCGCCCACAGATTCCAACAATTGTTGATTCTGGTCCTCTGATAGGTTGTTGGACTATATTCACATCTGAACAATACATCTAGCAAGTCTTTTTATTATTTCTAGATAAAGATTATATTAATTATATCTCTAGCTGTCTGTTCTTGATCTTGTCTCTTATAAATTGTTGCTAACAATCATTGTTTTGAAGTGCCAGTCATAACTCGAGCAATATCTGTGGGAGCAGATCTGCTTGTACTTGGATTCACTCTGCTAGAAACAATATATGGCTTCAAACCTAGGCAGGCATTAGAAATCAAGGCTAGGCTTATCATACTGCTGGTCAAGAATGGTATGTTTTCTGATCTATCTATACTGTCTAACTATTACTAAACCTGTGTTTCTAGGAGCTCTTCAATTTATGTTTGTATCTCTATAAATACAGAGCTAACAATTTGATAATCCAATTTTTAGTGTTTTTTCAATACTAAATGTTATTTTAGTAATCTTGGATACTCTGGCAATTGCAGACCTTTCAATAGTAAGTGATCTAGATATATTTTCTCTGTACAGTTTGCACTTACTAGTATATATAGGCAGCAAGTCAAGCATCAGGATTTGTTGTAATCAATGAGAGGTAAGCTTGATAATAACTTCATATATATAATAACTTCTTACTCTTATTAGCATTACTGCCATTCTGCTCTCTCACTTTCTTCTGGATCTACGCTCTATCTATCAGTCAGAAGACAATGGCACTGACTCTGAAGAACAAGGCTCAAGTATCCACTTTGCTGCCTCAATTCTTGGCAATATGGGTGCCACACTTGACACATTTTGGACAAGAGAAGAATCAGTTTTCAACCACCATCAATCTGTTATCTACTCAGATAATCCATTTCATACTGGATTGCTTGAAACTGTGGCTGAAGAACAGCATGCTCAGAAATATGCAAATGAAGGGTACATGCTTTCATATTTTTATACACAATTGCACTGCTAAATGCCACTTCTATAGAGCTTCAGACTTGCATGTTCAGGAGAATGCCATCCTCAACTTGAACAGTGCACCTCCAGATACCTTGATAGCTGCTGGCCACATTGAACTTCAAAACATGGCTTAAAGTGACAAGAGATATCAAGCATCTTTCTAAATAGATTTCATTGTTTTTCTTTATCTTCTTGCTATGCCTTTCATCTCTTTACTTACTTGTATATGCTTATTATTCACTTTTATCTCATGTACACAAATGTATGTTGTCTCCCTCTAAGTGAATCAACAATACATCTGATGCTACTTTGATGGCTGCTGATTACATAAAGCTTCAGAACATATCCTGAAATTGTATTTCTTCTCTAACCTAATAGGCTAGGGTTTCTGATACTTCAAGTTCTAGTTATCTGTCTCTTTTTGAATATCATTCTTCTGCATGCTATGTATATCTCTAGGAATCTCTGCTTCATGTACATATTCTTCTTTGCACAACACCAATACTGTGTTTGACTTCTTCCTGAAACTTGCTTGATATTTCATAACAGATTCACTGCAAATATGGCACTTTTCCATTTACAGTTGACAGAAAGTATAAATATCAAAATCACAACAGCAGTCACAACCAACAGTCTGAGCATTGTTGATGAAGTCAAATAGTCAACCTTGACTTCCAAGGTGGGTTGTTAACTGCAATGGATCCAACACCTCCATCAAGCACATTGTCAAAAATGAGATCCAGTGAAGGAGAAACTGCTGTGTTCTCCAAAGCCCATAGCACAATTGCAACAGTGCTATCACATGACAGCATTGTCAGAATAGGACATATGAAATGCCGAGAAACTCAAACTCACTTCTTGCCATTGTAATCCAGAATGCCCTGTGGAACGGGAAACTTGGTTTGAGGTCCCATATTTGCGACACGCTATGAACTCTATGAGCAATGTATTGTTGCTTGCATATATCACTTCTAACGTACTTTTCCGAAATGCCATCCGTTGACGAAGAGAATTGCACGATAGGGCTGGTTTATTGAGTCAAACTGGAAGGACGCGAAGACATCTTTGCCTTTAGGGATAGATAAGTCGAAAGTCGTGACAAAGAAACCAACGCCGGCTCCTCCAGAAGGAAGTCCGTCAGACAGCGAACGGCTTGTCCAAGTCGACGTGTCGAACCCTGGAAGATGCCAGCCCTCACGCTCGCCAAAGAGACCTCCCTCATTTAGGATGCCGCGGGCCTTGTCCGGATATCTGCAGACTCATGAGCAACGCAATGTGGACTTTGAGGTAATGGAGACTGACTCGAGGTATCCGCCAACTTTACCTTGAACCGACCAAACTGAGAAGTTTCCAGTGTTCAATTTGAAGCCTGTGATCCCACGCTGCGACTTTTCTGCATACCGTAGTTAGCTTCCGTATCACAGAATATCCAACTGTGCTTACCGTTGCTATCTTCGTCATTTCCCATGTTGTCCTAACTCATCGTGAGCACTATGGTTGAGAAACGCCAACAGCAAGCACACCTGTATCACTGTGATGACGTTGTCTGCGCCTTCATGGATGGAACCCTCGGGGAATGTGTAGATTGCATTGGTCTCAGATCCACCTGACGTACTGCTGATGAACTGATCATTGATCCATACAGATGCTGCGAATGCTACACCAGACGTTGCATCAGCTCTATGAACTACACTGTGAACACTACAAGCTCACCGGATCCACCATTGATCGCAAGGTTTGCAGAGGTTTCGGACCCGGTAGCATTGAAGTGGCCTCTCCACAGAACAATGTTCTCACAGCTACTCGTTCATGGATGTAAGTATTCGTGCCAAGCTCACAGCCGTTTCGCTACGTACAAGCCATAGTCGCAACCTGAAAAGAGGCTCAGCTTGTTTGCAGCGTTATCCAACGAAACTTAACGAACCATAGAGAATTCTGCCGTCGCCAAAGATCGGCTTCGTAGTGATATTCGTCGTTGTATGGTTCGCCACGATCCAATCCGCATCTGAGAATCCTGGTTTTATCTCCGGCAAACTGTCAGCGAACTTCCAATCCGTCAACGTTGGTGGAGTGATCGATTCGATGTCACTACTAAGAGACAGATGACCAGTACGGATAGCACGTGAACCTGAATTACCAGTGAAATCCGTTGGTACACGGACACCATTCCACGATACTGACTTGACACTTGGAGGAGCGATGACGGTGAGTATCGCGCTATCGTTCAGGTCGCCACGCAGAGCCAGTTCTCCAGAACGGGTAATGGTTGCATTGCGAACGAGGTATGGGCCGCCGACAAGCACAGTAGTATTGGAGCCGAATTGCCAGAAATTCTTTAATGGAGTTGAGTTGTCAGTAGAAGGGATGACAGGCGCCCAAAACGTCGCAGCAGTGACAGGATCACTGAAGAGGACAAGCTGAGCGTCACTCTCCCAGACTGTGACTAGTCCCGTGCTGCCAGGCAAGACAGAGACCAGGGTGCTAGAGCCGTCTTTTGAGAGCTTCACGTTTGATTCGGTAGGCCGTATTGTAGGTTTGCCAGAAGGTGTGAAGGAGAATTCGTGGCTTTGATCCGAGTCACCGAAGAGGAAGAGCACGTCCCGACCACCAATGGTACCAGCGAAGAAAACGCTAGCGGTAGAGTAAAGGACGTGTGACTTGCTTCCAAAGGTATAGTCGGTCAAGATGACCTTGCTTTGTCGACCATTCAGGGCAACAGAGTTGAATGTTTGAGGGATCGTCAGCGTTCCAACTGAGGTTGGCACCGTCAGCGAGAAGTTAGTAAGTGCACTGTAAAGACTGTTCAATGTCCAACACATCTGTACAAAGATCTCATAACACACGTCGAAGTTGAGTTGTTCTGTCTGACGATAAAGAATCCACTTCCAGTATCAGGGTTCTTGAGCAGTGTGACGAATGCTGCGGAGCCATTCAAAGTGACACCAGGGATGCCGGTACTCGTGTCGCCAATCCAGTCAGTTTTGCGGAACTCGGGAGAAGAACGGATGAAGAGTGCTTGACGCTTCAGCTCATCAAACTTGGGTGATAGCGCACGAGACTCGCGGATTGCTGAACCATAGTCATAGCTATGTAAACGAACAGTCAGTATGTTCACATAGAATGAGGGAGCTCCGTTTCCAACCTGGTATAAACACCCGGGAATGGTATTCCTCCCCAGCTTGTTCCGCTTAATGTCAGAGGGTTTCGATCAGTGAGTGTTTTACGAAGGAATCGGAATGATTACCCGTAAAGCATGTAGTACGAGATGAGCTTTGCATTCGAAGCCCAATTCTGCTTGTAAAATACATCCTGGAAGTCAGGACCTGTGAGCAGCTCACACGCATCATAGCCGGGTCCTCCCCAAGGGTCAAATGAACCCCCTAGGCGTGGTAGACGTCTCAGCACTAGTCGAGACACCTATATGATTGATCTGACCTTGGAACTCAGGAATGTACCAAGGCTGGCTAGGGTTCACTTGTTCATGATATTGATGATAGTTGAGTACGACAGGCCTCCAGTCACGAGGATGAGAACAGTCAAAGCCTTGAGGATACGAGTCCTGACACCAATGATCAGCACGATAGCTTAATCGAGAGGATAGTCTTATGGACATACTAGGCCGTATATATCAACAGCACCAGTACCGTTTATGAAGTTTCTGCCTTCGTTTGGATCGTTGTAAGTCCTGTAGAATATATTGTGAGGCCCACAAATTCTTGAGAGTGAAGAAAAGACCGAACAAAGGAACGACGACTCCGTTATCCAGAAATGACCGCTCCAATTGAGCGAAGTACTCCGCACGTTGAATCGGTGTTTGAGAATATTCGTTATCTGTTATACCATCATATTGAGTACGTGCAATATGCGAGAACTGTAATAAAATGTATCCTTCACCGATCTGCACAGCTTTAAAAAGACGGCGGATCAGTACAAAGTCACTTTACATTCCAGCTGACATGACCTACCAATGATTGGGCCGCCGCTGGAGACTTGGTTCGGTTTCACAGCAGCAGCGATACCTTCGACATATGGCGTCCATGCTTCCTTGAAATCAGTTGCGTTCGTCCGGAGCTCAGAAGCAACAAGACTCGTTGCCCAATGGGCGATACCACCAGCTGTAGTCTCTGCATTGATCTGATGTGTACCGTGGGCGTCAGGTCGTGAGAGCTCTGCTATTAAAAGCACCACTGACGTATGGTCCTGTCAAGGAAGACACGAATGTGAGAGGCAAGACCGAATATAACACGAAACGATACAGACCTGGACGAAGAACGATGAAGATACCAGCCAATTTAGCAGCGTCAAAAATCGGCTGAAGGGCACGCCAGTCGTCGAAGTCGATAACACCAGGTGCAGGGTTCGTCAACCCCCCTGCAATTCAAGTCAAACGGGAAACGATGTTCATAAAGAAAGCCACACTTGCAGTGAATATAGATACTTTACATGTGTATTAGGAACATCCCGAAGGGAGAAATAGACAACAAACACTCACCTAGCTGCATTAAGACCGGCGGCAACCATCTTCTGGAAGATATCCAGCCATAGGTCGGGCACAGGAAGGCGGAAGGTGTGGAATTCTCCAGAGCTATACCATATTAGCAAACGCGCTTGAAAGGAAACAAGAACTAGTGCATACTATATGAAGACCCTTTGGTCATTAATAAACAGAGTATAATTGTCCCATTGTACAGCATCTGTCAGACCGGTAGAATTGCGAGGAGGTTCCGCAGCAGCAAGAACAAAGCTTTCAGACGGAGAAGCAAGCGTAGCATCGTCTGCCACCGTCGAAGACGTCACAGGCCAGCTCCATAACACAAGGAAGAGTGAAAGCACTACGGGTAAAGTCCAAGCGCGATACTGAAGCCAGATCATCTTGACACTGGTAATGAGGGAGGTACGAGAATTCGAGGAATGCTCCGGGAAATATCCTTCAAGGCCTTTATGCTCTTCACGTGCGAAGTCGTCTGCATTGTGATGCATGTTGGCATATGACCCTTGATTATAACTGGAGAATCGCTTCTCCGATATCGTATCATGGCTCGCCATGCCTGGGCGGACCGCCAACGGAGTACAACGTCCTCCTCGCGTAACGCTTCTAAGCTGCAGCAGGAAATTTCAGCAACCACTAGTACCTGAACGCCTAAACTAACTGTAATGGCTCTGACTTAAAGCAAATTGTGGCTATAATAGCTGCTTGTCCCCCAAAGAATGAGGAGAACGTCGAAGTCCTGGTGGAAGAAAGCAGGAATGCAAGGCATCACAAGAACCGATGTCATGTTCAAGTTGCCACCGTCGTGTTGCCGCCGGTCCGCGATCGAGCCTGGATCGATAAATGATCTCACACAGTCATTTAGCTTTGCACTCACGAGGAAAGACTCAGGTGGGGAACGCACTTTTGGCCAAACGTAGCTGGCACATGCACAACGGAGATACTACGTGACTTGAGTTCAGGGACGAGCTTGATGTCTCACTTTCCAGAACTATAAAGGTCATGCGTGATATTCAGGTCGCGAATCCGTAGGGAATGAGAAATCATAATTAGTGTTGTACAAGTAAAGGGTATGTATAGTGAAAGTCCGAGTGGCACGTAGAGAGTCCTTGAGAAGATATGAAATTACTAGAGATGGCGATCAGTGATGGAGGAGTTAACGGAAAGGGAGCAAGCGCACCATGAGCTCACGCTCTCAACCTCAAACCTTCGGTGGTGGAGGCGGAGGCATATCTTCTTCGACATCAGCTTCAAAGAGCGTAGTAGTTTGGCTTGAATAGTTCAAGAGTGCTTGACCACTCCTGCCATTTGGTGATTTCGGCTTCAATTGCTGTGCACGAAGAGCAAGCGGCTCATCATCTGCAATGTCTGCGTTGTCATCGTCATAATCATCGTCGAGGAATTCTCGAGAGGTAGGTCCGTCATCCATCGACAAGCGAATATTCCCTTCTCTCCTCGTCCACGTTTTAAGTCTAAGGACATAAGGCTCAGCTTGAAGTCAGAGCAATATTCATTGAGAACATACTGATGTCCCACTACTGCTCGTATAGTTGAAGCTCTCCTCCACAGAATAAAGATCGCACACAAAGTGCAGACAGTGAACAGTATGACGAATGGCGCATTTCCGATAGGCTGCGGCTTGGGAGCTTCTTTAGGTTCTACGTATTAAAGGATCATGTTAGGACATCAGAAAAGAGGGATGCAAACATTAGCGGCCAACCTCCGGGAGCAACAGATGGGGGCATTCTGAGGTATAAGTACTAGTGCAGCTGGTGGTAAGGAATGTAATTCAGGATAGAGGCGTTGTCATTGAGTGATGTATAGTAAGTGTCTCCCAGCACGTGGGATTTGAAATAGAATGATACGCGTAAGTACGCGTTCTCTTCAACAACAAACTAGTCTTCATATACCCTTTCCATTCAACCTACTAAGACAAGGCTGCTACAATCTGTGAGTACTACAGCATACAACTAACTACAGTACATTCAATAACCAAAGAAGAATACAGATGACGATGAAATAACATGAAAGCTTTCAACAGAACAGAGAACAAGAATAGGAGGCTACAATTGTGTGTGAGCACAGGTCCGATAACCAAGTGCCGAGTGACGACATTCGAATACAAAGCGTCCGATACCCCCGGCAAAAAAAAAACCTAGTGCATCTCTACCGAATCACATATCTATCAAACGCACTCTTCCTTCCCACAGACGGCTCCGCCTCCCAAACTTTCCACATCTTCATCGCTTCCTCGATGGGACAAATCGTGAACAAACGTGTGCCGTCTGCATTTAGGACACTATGACCGATAGCACCTAAATGCGCTTTCGTCACAGTTACAACCTTGCGGCATGAAGGATATGCATGAACCGCGATCGAGTTGGAAAGTGGTGAGTCTGGTACGGGAATGGGCCGTGCTGACGATGCTTGAGGGTTCCATGAGGAACCATGCGTGCTGAGAAGTTCCTTGCAGTGAGGTGACCAATGTAGAGATGTTATGGATGTGCTAAGACTGATCGTGTGCTCCGCCTTCATGATTGAGGAGCTGGAGGACCTAGAAGTAGACGTAGATTTGACGTTGAAGATACGAATTTTCCCATCTGGATAGGTAGAGCCAGTCGCGAGCAGTTCTGGCTTCCACGGACACCAAGCTAAAGCCTACACAGAGTTAACACCCCAACACATATCACGAGCGCAATTTATAGCCACGGGGTGCGTACCTTGACAGGAGATCCATGTTTGACTTTCCCGCCCATCCGATCATTATTCGTTAACTTCTTACCAGCCCTCGCATCCCAAATATTCACGATCCCTTGCTTATCGCTTGTCGCCAGATGAAGTCCATCCACGCTCCACCTACACCCGACAACTTTCGACTTATGCCTCGTCAATTTCGCAATCAAATCCTTCTTTCGGATATCGTAAAGTCCAACGCCACCCCTCGCCTCACCAGCAGCAAGCACAGGCCCACTCCAGCTCATGGCACCGATATCGTTGAAGGTCTCGTCTTGCCAATAATTAACACGCGTCTTGGAGGGAACGTCCCAGAACGCTATTGAGCCCAAAGTGGTGCCTACTGCGAGAGTAGTGGGAGTATCCTTGCACCATTCCAGACTAATGGGGTTTCCTTGTTCCTCATCGAAGGAACACATGTGTGTAATCGCCTTAGTGTCTAGGTCTTGGTAATAAATATCGTCGTTACAAGCGACAGCAATCAAGTTCGTCTTTCCTGCAGACCAACTGATTGGATAGTCATAAACATCCTTCGAAACACCTGGCCCATCCAGAGCAAGTAGAAATTGTCGCTTCGCTAGGTGAACGGCTGCTGAGGAGGATTGAACTGATATGGAACGTGATAGAGATTTCAGAGACTCGTTCCGGAGGTCTGCAATACTATTGGATGCTCCGAGGGGTCTCAGTTTCGGCGCATCCTTGTAACTGAAGATCTTGTCGTCCACTAAACCAAGCGTACGCGCTATGCGGTTCGTGCGTGGTGTTACAGACAGCGATGCGAACCCTGGGGGATGTGTCGGTATGAACCGATCAGCCTATAGAATGTCAGATTGGCATTTTGCAAAGCGAAGAAACCACAAGCACTCACTGTTGAAGAACTCCCTTGACTTCCACTGTCCAACTCGACTGGTAAATTGAAGTCTCCTGTGAGATCCACCGACGCAGAAGATATGCGTCGTCGTTTGGCTGAGTTCACGCTCTTGACAGAGCTTGGTACCCATGTACGTTTCCTAAAAGGAGTAACGAATGGGTTCTCTGGGTCCGACGGGAGTTTGTCCATGATCTACTTGAGGACGAGTTCAGCACACTCGAGATTACCTGTTGAGAGTGTTGCTTGCGAAGAGATGTTCCCTCGGATGAATCAAATGGTGTTCGACGCGTCGACGGCTTAAAGTGAGATGGTAAAAGTAAAAGAATGAATGTTTAGGTCAGTTGAGGGCTGCTGTCGTGAAGAAGATGTAGTATTGTAGAATGCAGTCAAGAGACATGCACACTGCAGTACTTACCTGAGATAGAAACGTTATTTATTTAATTTATCAATTCTAGAGTACAACAATATGAGCATTGTATGTTTTGTCTTCTCAATGCCCACCGATGCATTCGACCGTCGGCGGTCGCCTTGATCATACACTCACTGCCGCTATGTACTGATTGGTAGCCTTCTTCCATGCGTCGAATCCAGGCAATTAACTCCGTACCATCTGTGATGCGATGTTCTCAAAGGCGAAATTATTCCTCTTGTATTACCCAAGGAACCTGATTTATGGAGGCACAAGCATGCATTTTACTTTGCACAGTGCACAGTAACTCTTTGTCCAAAGCCTGGCAGGCCGGATCGCCCTCCGGTCCGGATTCTGGGCGACTCTCAACGTTTCGAGAGAAGCCATACGGTTGTACCCCCAAAATGTTGTAAGTGATATCTCTCATCTGCAAAGGAATATGGTGCGTAACCGAGAATAAATGAATACCTGACGATATCCTCATCCTGCCATAGGCACATCTGCTATGCATACTTTGCGCAGCATTTATTGCACAGTATGTACGTTACCCTACCAGCCATCTTCCGCCCAAAGCCACACCCGATCAACCCCGCCTAATGAGACCTCCTGTGAAACTTCACTTCAAAGCGTTCGTCTTCTTCGGACTTTGCGATCCTGGTAGCATGACCTACGTTCTTTCATACCCGGACATTTGGTTGCTGAATAACGATTAAGTACTCGTCTCTGCAGTGTCACGAAGGTCCAGTATTCAGTACTCCAAATCCGACTCTTGCCCCGTCATAGGCTATCAGCGGAAGGGCAAAACTGTTTTCCTTACCTCCTTTTGAATATTATCTCTCATGTCTCGTATCTCTGTCAAACATGGCTTGCTTCGGTTTTGAAAGATGGTAAAAGCGGACTTTCTACGGTGTTGGTATTACAATGATCTCACAGGAATTTAACGTTCTTAGGCTTTACAGCTTCCTCCATCGACATGTTCAACCCGACGGTGGGCCCCCTTATAGGATCGAGACTTGTCCAATCTCGCCAGATCGTATCTTGCCTTGGCTGCCTGTATCTCGTCGATCACGGTTGACAACGGCTTCCGAATCACAGCTTTGTTTTTTTGATACACACACCAGAGTCCACGTGCAATTCCGTCGTTCTGTTCTTCACCTTTCTCTTAGAGTACCCACGTACTTACAGCTTCAGGTTTGACATCATTATGGATCATCGCGGTTATGTTTGATCGTCACGGCCCATTGCCTATCGCACATCTCCTGCTTGTTCATACCAAGGGGTGACGCCGATCTGAATCTTTGACCTCACCCACGTGGGTAGGTAGGGTCCCCACTCTTCTTGATGGCTTGATGGATATTTTTCGACAAGCGCCAGAGACTCCTGAATGTTTCCCTCCCGTCTACTGTACATCATTTCTGAGTCCATAATTGAACTCAGAGACCTCAAAAACGTCAGGATAGACACCAATTTTGTGTGCAGGTATCGAGGAATGAAGCAACTGCGACAGAGTCAAGAAGCTAAACTGAGCATATTATGTAATATGATAAGTCATTGATTTTTCTCAATCGGTCGCGCTCTACGAGAGGCTTCAATACAGTAGATTCCTGGTTGGTGATTCTCTGTACTCAGTGAGGTGCATTTACTTAAACCTGCCTGACAGCTATTAATGCATTGCTCATCGACTATCTCATAAGCTTTGGTACAGCCAAGCAAATTTACAGTATATGGATTCTAGTATTAACATCTGCGGTGATTCAAGGGCTTTCGCTCAACTCTCACACCTGAGAGTCAAATCAACGCTCTACCAATGCGGTTTGTATGCTTCATTTTCTAGCACCTTGATTTCAGTGTCGCCCATTTGATATTCATACTAGCGAGCGACAGGCTCGTTGTTATCGTCCAAATATACATTCTTGAAGTCGCTCCCTCTGAGTCCATATCATTCTCAAAGTACTTCGACCACTACGCACCCGCGCGTCCTCACGCATACATGCTTAGCTTGTCGTATGTGCATGGACGCATGCTTCTGTCGCCTTTGAACTTCTCGCGATCAGATTTGCACTAAAATGTGTGGTAGTCATCTTCAAGCTCGGAGCCTTCCCTCTGAAATGTCTCAGCCCAGAATTTGTCGTGAGCAACTCCGACAGAAACCTTCTGCTTACTGCAACATCTATAGCAAGTGGATTCTTCTGCTGCCTGCACCTGCTTATGTAGGAGGGTGTAAAAGGATACATCGCATGTTCTGACCTGCCTGAGCTCCTACCCAATGTCAATGCCAGTCAACTTCCTCAGCCGCAACCTCCAAATTGCTCTATTGGAATCCAGTTGATCTTGACGGTATTTTCTCTGACATCTTGTAGTACATCATCATGTTTAGGCTCTATTCACAGTATTCAGTGGCCCATATGCATTTTCTATGCTCCGTGCAAAACCGCTTCACCTTTCCGCCACTACCTCATGTCTTCATTCAACCAGGGCCTCGTCAAATGAAGACTAAGTGGGCAATAGCTGTTAGCCTTGCCAACCACATCTGAAGTTCTGATGAGATTTCCCACTTGTAGTAGAGCAGGTAGCAGACAGCAGGCATTATCGCAGTAGTACGACCTAACATTCATCATCTATACTAGTACTCTTCACCCGACTTTGCTCAAGACATTTCTTGCATATAAGTATATTTATCTAAATAAAAATTCTCCGAGGAGGCGGTGACAGATATTGATCCCAATTTCGGCTTTGGCACGGCTGAGGCTCTCGCGTGGCCTCTCCATGGTCAAAGATTCAGATCGGCGTCACCCCTTGGTTCATACAGTACCCATACAGTTTATTCTTGTATTGCTATATCACCTGCGAAATATATTTTCGTTTCTTTCGATCTTATGTTGCCCGCGCTTGTGCGATTCGGAACTAATCCCTCCGAAATTCGCTTTGCCGGATTATACATCATCTTTGCTTCCACCACCAACTACAACTATATATCTGAGCCTCCCTATTCCCTCTTGGCCCAACCATGGGCCCAATTCGGCCTTTGCTATTCGCTACGATGCCTCCAGAAATCCTTGAACATATCGCTTTCTTTGCCTCGACTGAGAATAGTTTCTTGGGACCTCCACATGGACTCATTCCGTTATTGACCTTGAATCGACGCATATACTCGGCTCTATCCTTCTCATCAAACCCCCACCTCTATGCACGCATCTTTGGCAGCAAGTTCGACTTTAACTCTGCAGTTAGGCGGTTAGGGCGCGACAATCTACATGCCGGGGCGTTGGCGGAGGAACTCAAGCGTAGAAGTATACTCCTAAAGAGACTACGATCTCGTGTGGATAGCATCTTTGATCCTTCAATATCTCGTCATGAGCGTGAAGATCAGCTAAACAGTGTTCTATGGACATCGTATTTCATGATGATGGAGAATGACGGGAAGAACGAGGTTCAACTACGGGAGTATGCTCGGATAGGCGAATGGCTAAAGGAATTCTGGTTTCACCCCGACGGAGCATCGCAGGCAGTGTCTAGTGTTAGAGAGGATGAATGGCCTGCGAATCATGAACGAACATCGCTCGCCATGTGGTTGCTATGGTTCACTCTGAGACCAGGTATGTCTTCGTTGCATGTTGCCATCCAGGTCTACTCTTACATATCCTAAACAGACGATTACATGGCCGATGAGGACGTCTTTCGTTCCGCTACTGGCATTCTGAAACTGATAGCGTTAGGTGCACACCAGGTACGTCCGTCTTTGCCAGTCAGTCCTCACGCTCATATCTCTTAGTATCCCCTATGTTACCCATCTTGGTGCAATTTCATCCCTACCCGACCCTCCAAGCAAGTTTCGAAAGTACGCCATTATGCCTCGGATATATCTGTAGTCGCTCCAGCACCAGCAGCACCTGCTATCCTTGCTTACCTCACTCTGGCGAACAAGCTAACAGTCTCATGGGAGGCCATCAATTATATGAACCCCCTTGCGCCTACCGTTACTAGCTCGGTGCCTGTGCGGAATAGTGCAGAATGGGATGGCGAATGGGCACGGACGCTCGCCGTCGCGGATGCAAAGATTGTGACGGGAAACACCCTATCGGGTGCGTTCAGACCGGGTAGCTTACAAGGTGTTTGGGAAGGTCTCTTCACGGTGCGTAATGCCATCACAAGGTCCGTGTTTACTGTATTGATAACAAAGAATTGAGTCCAGTATACCGAATTCACTGCGTACGCTGCTCTCCTCTCCGGTGCCCCACCCGCAACGCTCCAACGTAGTCTCGTCGCGCAACATCGACAAACATGGAAGCTGCGGGAATACCACCTGCTCATATCAGACGAGGATGAAGACGTTCAACCCCTTCCCCCGGGCAATCCGGCTCGGGGTTATATTCCACTTGGAACACAGGTTCACGAAGGTCCACATACGCTCGAGCTGACTGCGGCTGGGAGCAATGAACCACTCGTGTACCAGAGTTGGTCGAATTTACAGAAGAGTGGAGTTCCGATAAAAGGAAGGGTGAAGGATGTGTTCATCACTGGCGAGGTATGTACGCTCTTTTGCATATGATGTGCTATTTATCTGACTGCATTCTCGTAGGGACACTCAGCATGGGGTCAATTTAACCTGGTCGGTCGTGTAAGACCGAGCGATGGCTTCCTGAGTCTATCGAAAGAATATGTACGTTTATGATACTAAGTTGCTTTTTAGTAGTAGTGACATCTGTATTCATCACAGGTCGATGGCGATCGAGGACGATGGCTTTACAGAGGCTACATGGTAGGCGATGCCAATGGGAATCTCTCTGGGCGCTGGAGAGATACATTGACGTTGCCCGAGGTGGCGGGATACGAAGGTTGTTTCGTGATGAGTAGACGGCGGTGAGACTGACTTCTGTCGATGCGACGGAGGAGGTTTTATTATTGGACGATCTTGGTATGTTTGCTATCATCTCATTTGGACTTTCGCATATAGTCACAGAATTGTGAATGTAGCTTTAGAGCATATACAGTAAATACCGCGCACGACTGAAGTGAGTATAATCTCCGGTCTCCAGCGCCTTACTAGGGAAGGCTCTTCTATGATTTCTGTCTTTGACCAAATCTGTAGTGCTGCTTCTCAAAGGTTGTCAGATTTGCTCGTGGACCGGCAGCAACGAAGCTCACATCACAACGGTCACGATCTCAACACGAGTTCGGTTCTTATGATACGTTGCGCTCTTCAAGTCCTGACCTTTCCAGCAGACAGTCGAGTTATTTGGGTCATGCATATGTTGAAAGCCGTCTCAAAAGCAGCTCACGTCTTCAACTTTCGATTGACTGGAATGAACAAGTGAGAACCGACATTGAATCACCAAGACATCCCTCGCTTGCTTGCGGTCCGGTGAAGGAGGCGAAGAACCATCTTTCGATCAGATTGAATGGTCATAGGTCCAACAACACACCCTCAAGTTACTACCACGATGATTCTGGTCCCTCGCATTCTAACGGGATAAGGAGCTCGAGGAATATGACTGGGGGCGCTTTCGCGATTCGCCTCCGGCGCAGATTAAAATGATTTGGAGCAGATCTCGTACTTTGGCCTTCCTGGCTTTACTTTCACTGATGGTCCCTGTAGTGCTCTGTGGCTTCTTCGTCTGACATCCTCACCGCTACCGCTGCTGATCCTCCTCGCAATTCTACTGGGCTGACTGACGCTGTACAATGGGACAACTATACATTGTTTCTCAATGACCAGAGGATCTTCTTGTAGTGCGTATCATTTTGCCAATGCTCCGAAATATCGTAATTTACTTGACATAGCTCGCGAGAATTTCATACTTTCCGTCTTCCCGTTCCCGACCTCTGGCTGGATATTTTCCAGAAGATGGTTGCAGCTGGTTTCAATGGTGTTAGGTAAAATTATCTCTTGCATTCAGACCTCTGAAACTCAAACTATCGTTCTCCCAGCATTTACGTTCATTGTGAGTGATATTCGCCTTACAAGCACTTCTCAGGTCTGAACAATCTATTGTAGAGGGCTTATCAAATCCCGCTCCTGGTGTACTTGACTTCAATGACTGGCGTGCTCTACAGCCTGTCTTCGACGCTGCGAAATTTATCTTCATCGTCCTTCGCCCAGTTCATTCCGATGCTTAGCGACGAATTGAACTTCCTCTTTACTTATACACATGCTTTAACAGGTCCATACGTCAGTATTCCACAGAAATCCTCTGATGCTGTCTACACTTTCCCTGAAGGGTCAGTCCACCCAGGACAAGACAATGTCATCACAATTGTACAGGTGTTTTCAACTGTCGCTATCCAAACTCAAGTTGCGATATAAAAGGAGATGTACTAGGATAACATGGGTGATGACGAAGACGATAGTGGTAATCACGGTCGTCGCAACTCAGATCCTCTCTACCTTCGGGATATGCCTTGACCCCGTTGCTCTTTTGACAGAAAAATCACCACGTGGAATTACTGGCTTCAAGTTGAATAATAGAACCTTTTCGACGTGGAAAGTTCAGGGTAAATTTGGCGGATACCTTGAGTCAGGGTGTGTGATATAAATCGAAGCTTCTCGTGACACTGAAACGTTTCAGGTACCCTGATAAAGTTCGTGGCGTACTAAACGAAGGGGGACTCTTCGGTGAATGTCAAGGCTGGCACCTTCCAGAGTTCGATACGTCGCAATGGACTCGTCGCTCGTCGATGGGCTTCCGTCAGAAAAAGCTGGTGTTGGTTTTTTTGTCACGACCTTTGATCTCTTCCTTCCCCAAAGAGAAGACATCTTTGTCTCCTTTCAATTTGACGAGACAAAACAACCCTACCGTGCCATACTGTTCGTCAATGGGTGGCATTTCGGCAAGGTATTTCCGACCTGGTATGTTCTTAGAGTTAGTTCTCACCTCAATAATAGCGCATCGCAAACGCGGGGCCACGAATGAAATTTCCCGTTCCCCAAGGCATTCTAAATTACACTGGTAGAAAGTGAGTGTAAGGTACATGATTGAGTGTTCGTGTCGCTGAATGCTCTTAAATTGCAGCACCGTGGCAGTTGTGCTGTTAGCTTTGGAAGACACTGTGGTATCGCCTTCGTTGACCTTAGTTTTCGACGAAGTGCTCGACGGTGTGGTAGGTCCCATTTCAGTCAACAACCCACCTTGGCGATGTCGGTTTTCCACCTGATGACGATCCTGCCGACTTGTTGGGACAGTTAAATCCGTAGTGGAATTTTTGGTCGTCGAAAATATGATGTATGAGCCGCTAATCGGCCGTGTTGGCTGTCAACGTACATGTACCTTATGCCAAGACAGATCCAAAAATTGAACACTTTGGGATCGAACTCTCGACCTAATGCAGACGACGAAAGCCCACCTGGCGGCCCATGCGCACTACCACTGCGCCAGAGTTCTGTACTTAAGCATCTTTCTTTTAATTATCAAGTTGGAAAATTCGTATTTGAATTATTTGAATTTGAATGTCGATCCTTGGAAATCTTGCTGCTTCAAAAGTTCGTACTGTTAACGTTTATGAAACATTTGCAATACTTCTGAATTTTTTGGGCGTAATAAAATTCTGATTCATCATGATGAGACGGTAGCTACTAGTGCGACAAGCGCAAAGAGCGATATCAAAGTAAGCATGTATGCTTCTCGCAAGGATGCTGTATCGTCTGAAGCATCGAACGACAACACGTCAATAGCCTGACGTTTATTCGTCGCTCTTGCTAGTTCACGATCAAGCGAGACGTCGTTTGTTCTGTCATCGGCAGGACGGGAATGTGTTTCAACGAAGGTGTCTGGAATTCAGGTATCAGCGTGCGTCCAACGCAAACGAATTTACAGTAGCAGGACCCGTACCTAGATCAAACTGAACTTCGCTCAGCTTTTCCTGAATATTAAGATCGTCAGTATACCGCCGAGTTTCCTCGGAAAGCACGCTCACCTCACACTCTTCTTGCACGTATCGCAAGATCAAATTGCTACGTTCCGAATACAGGAGTTTTCTTGGGTCTGAAGAGGACGTTTCATCACTCATAGTGGCATACTGATCTGCACTGCATGGTTCATCAGCGTAGGTTCAGCAACGCGTAATTCAGAAAACCTACCGCTCAATTTCAACCAGAAGCATTTCTGTGTCGTTGCCCGTCAACAGCCCAGTGGACGCTGCATCCCATAGCAGGGAAAAAGTCTGTTGACGTTCCGTTAGCACAACACTATCTGTATCACTGTTATCATCGCTTGCTCTGGATAAACGATTAAAAAAAAGTATCAGTCTGTGTTCGCTACATGCATCCTCGCTTTTGAATGGGGTGATGTCAACGTACCTATCCACTTGCTCCAGCATCAACGCGGAATCTAATTCCGTCAGCAATTCAGCTGCTTCCGTTTCTCGAAGCCAATGGGAAACGCATTCCGAAGAGCCTGAACTTTCAGACCCAGAGCTGATAGAGGTCATTTGAGTTGGAGATTCCATGTTAGTCCCATCTAGACTTCCCCATAGAGGGTTATATAGCGGAAACAAGACATGAACCTAGCCGATCCGAATGGCGGATGTTCGGAATCGGATGGCTAGACATAATGGCGGATAGAACATGATAAGGTTAAGTGGAACACGTCAAGAGTCGAGACTCTGGACTTAGGAGGATGTTCAGGGCTAGTTACTATGTGAATGTGATGGATGGTGGTACATACTGTAGTGTTGACGCAGAGCGATGTCTCGGAAAGATGTGTATAACACGCTATACTGAGCCGCACTGTGCAGACTGGTGAAAGATAGTCAGCAGGACAAAGGAGGCCAGCTTAGACAACTGGAAATCTCGAACTACAGTGTTCAATTACCGGGATACGAGGGAGACCTTCGAAATATACGAATGGGGACCATATATAGTTGTCAAATGAACTGGATGGCAGTTGATTTATTACGTACGACAGGTCTCCGATTCGAGCCCGAACTGAGCCATATCTCGTCAAAATTCTTTTTGCTCACAGCGGCACAGATATTTCTCAATATCGTTGGATACGCAATACTAGTAAACTACAGCTACAAAGGACGAGGATACGGTTATAATACATGGACAGCCCTGAGGAAAAATCATTGAACTGGTCATTAAACCACGACATGCAAAGAATGTGAAAACGTGAACGTCATCTTCTTCGAAGTGTTTCGTTATGAGTTCAAGGAACAGGCGAGCTTGCGCGAGACTCTGCCTTCTTCTTCGGCACGTAAGTGGGCAAAGACTCCCCCGGTTGTTGTACCATGTATCCTGGGAAATTATCAATACCCCTCTTCTCAGATACAACAGCAAACCAGAAAACATACCTCGCGCTTCTGCAGCCTTCTGTCCCTGTCTACCGAAACCCATTCCGGCTCTTGAGCTTGATGAGCTGCCTGTGCGCATCGCACCAATAGGGCCCTTCTCATAATTACCTGTGAAATTGAAGGGTAGTGTCACAATCTGTGCTCCAGTGGCGGTAGCAGGGTTGGGCAAGACGTCTTTGGTGCCATCCCTCCAAGCGCGAATAGAACGTTGTGCCTTTGCGCGCTCGCGGAAGATGAGTCCCAGGAGCATGTTCAAGCATCCAACAGCGAAGAGGAAGAAGGCGGACACGAGCGAGAACTCGTCAACATGATGCGACAGAACGGCTGCGCCCAGTCTGCAATGGAAGGGCATCAGTTGATCATATTTCTGCTGATAATAATGATGGAGAGGAACACGCACAGGCCTTGGATGACGCCTAGAGCACCGAGCCCAAAGTCTTTCCCTAGAACTGGGAAGAACTTATCGAAGAACTGAGCTGGCCAGCCGATTTCAGAGAGGATGAGCACGATGGCCTGGAAAATGATCAAAAGTCTGTTGAGCACCGCCCAGAACGCGCCTGCCGGCTGGTTCGGGACTGTGCTTCCTCTGCACGCAAAGGTGAATCGTCAAACACGAGAGACGATGATGATTACACGTACTCGATATAGTCGCAATCATCCTCTGTGCAGTTCAGCGCCGACATGGTTGAGTTACTCGACGAATTCGAGTCTTTCCCAGCCGCAATGAACGCGTTGACAGCTTTTATGTCGGCGGCCATAGTGACGATACTGCTGGAGAAAAGGAGCAGCAGAGTGATGATGCTCAACGCACGGACGGCATTCAATCCAAAGAATGTGACTGAGTACGAAAGGTCAGGTATGCGCAAGCACGGATGGTATGTGAACATACTAGTTGCGAGCTTAGGCATCTTGGACAAGTATTAAGGCAGATTAAGAGAGTAAGAATTGACGTGAAAGACAGAAGTTGATTAGAGTGCGTCTGCTAGTGATCCTGCACTAGCAAAAGTAAAAGAGACTGTATACCGCACAAAGACGGGTGGCGAGAGCACGAGACTGGGATGGAGGCAATTGGGTAGTGGATCAACCACACCGAACTTTTTGTAAGGCCACAAAGGACCATCATTAGCCGCGTGCACAATAGCTTTTGTGCGGAAGTGGCAGTTCATTGTTCTTGATGACACGCCGTAACTAGGCGAAGAACAATGACCGGTTATGGAAACTTCACAAATAACCGTACACAGCGCGCTCTCCGTCTCTGAGGATATCGAACCATTGTCAAACCACATTTCCTACCAGTATCTTCCCACGAAGGACGTTGCGCAGCCCACCGCTAGCGGCGGCCAGCGATTCCGGAGCGGATGACAAGAATCTGAGTACGAAGTTCGGACTTTGCTCGAAATCTGGTGGTCATACAATGAGAGTCATACGCCTGCTGTGTACAGTATAATCCGGTATAGGGCTCCTAACAGGCTTCATTGCTTACCGAGGTCTAGGAGTCTTGTAATTGTGCGCTGACAGGAAAGTGGAGCGTTTGACATCCAAGGATGCACCGACCACTGGCAGGAATATTGACCGCTAAATGTGTTATAATTCGCGAGAATGTGAAGCGCAGAGCACAAAGCTTGGACAGACATGGTTGGCGGACTTCGTTACTTTTCGCATCCACTCCATATCATCTATTGATGCTGTATGACATTTGATTTTCCCGTTCCCCGTATCGTGCTGGCGTTCCGGTGCTGCGACTTATAATACGAGTAAGTGAGTGTCTACACCGCACTAGGGTTGGCTCGATAGTCTCTCGTTGGAGGATAATATACACACGGGCTTGCAACCGGGTACACACGAGCTATCCTCTCAGTATCATCTCATTTCAGACCGCCAGAATGCATCTCAATATTGCACTCAGTATGTAAATTGGTAGTATGTAAGAGCAGATTGTCGTGGGGCAGGAATTGATTGCCATTTCTGGATGAAGACATCCATATAAGGCAAATGCCTCGAACCTTCCGCATGTTTCGTGCGCGGAGCGTGGATGTCTCTCGAACGTCCAGAGCCACCGTCAAGCAAATACTTAAGGGTGAGTGACATCTTCTCCTCCTTCTTATCAATATTCACTATCGCTCACAATGTACCACGGTACTTCTTACGGATATCAACCAGGATTCTATTCTCCTTATAACGCTGATCCATATGCTCAAGCTCTTGCGGAGGAGCGAGTTGCTCTCGATCAATATGCCAATGCGCTTCGACAACAGGAGGAAGCGCGTGAACGGGTTGCTCGCGCGCGACTAGCTCGCGAGGCATATGGCTCACCACACAGTTCTTACCTTTCGTCATCCGCAGAGGACGACGACTTTCCTGGCGGAAAGACCTATGCTCTCCCTCATACCCATACTTATCAGCCGTCTCAATGTAACGGCTACCGCGCTTCGAGGTACGGTCCACAAGATTACGGTGGCTACGGCATGTCGCCCCAACAACAACGTGCGTTGTACGAAGACCAGAGGCTGAAAGAGATGGCGGAGACGGGGAAGGCTCGGGAGGTAGAACGGATGCGGCAATTGATGGAAGAGGAGAGGCAACGCCAAGTGATGGAAGAGGATATACGACGACGGATTCGAGAGGAGGAGAGTCGTAGGAGGGTTCAGGAAGAGGAACAAATCAGGAAACAAATCATGGAGGAGGAAAGAAGAATCAGAGAACAGGAGAATCTCAGACGGCAGCGCCAGGATGGACTTGAGAAACTCTACCGTGATCTTGGTTGGCGACCTTTCGCGGCCTTCGAACCTCCTGAACAGGTACGAAAGTATTGACGTTCATATTCTACCTGATCCTAACGTTACTATGTGTAGCCGCCTTCTCGACGTGCTCGCACAACATCACCTCCATACCGTCGGTCTCCACCTCAAACTCAGCCAACGATGAACAAACCCCGGACTTCCTCAGAATGGTCTCATCCAAAGCCAGCCGAACAACCCCAGCCGAAACCTGCTTCTCCCAAGCAGCCATCCTTTGCTCCGGAGCAAGCTGCTGCAGTAGTAAAGATCCAGAACTTCTACCGCAAACGCTTTCCGCGCTATAAAGCACTCCAAACACTTTCGTCCCTCCAAACCCGTTTCGAAGAACTCAAATCTCCATTCAAACTTCCCTCGCGATTTCAAAGGTGATGACGACCCTGTTGTCACCGTCGAAACGTCTTCTCTCCCTCTCCCTCCATTATCTGCATTGGATGAAGACATGCCTTGTATTCCTCCACTCGCCTACACACCCACTAACGCGCCTTTGCATCATTACTATGAAGAACTAAATAGGCTGTTGACGGCGCTTGACGCAGTGGAGAGTCACGGCGATAAGACAGTGAGGGAGCAGAGGAGAGAGTTGGCGAGGAAAGTCGAACGGGAGGCGGAGCGGATTCAGCGATGGAAGGTTGCGGTCTGGAAAGGTTGGGAGGCCAAGACAGGAGACACGCAGAAGGTGGCCGACCAATCGGATGAGACTCGACCTATCTGTGAGTCCCAAGATGACGTTACGTCCACGGAACCGCCTGAGCTTGCTCCTCTTGAAGATTCGATGGTCGTCGACTCGATTGATGATAAGGCTAAACTTGATTCATACCGCGAGCTCGAGACGATGGACGTGGAAACATCACCCCCGCCTGCTGTGGAGACACCTTCTACAACCACGTCAGAATCAAAACCAACAGCAGAAGTAAACGTAGGTCCTCCCGCATTTGGTGAAGTTCCTGTTGTTGACGAGCACACGAATCCGATGGAGGCGGCGCCCGTACCACCTTCTACAGCGGAGACATTCAACGTTTCCGTTGTGGAGGCAGGTTCAAAGACCTCTACTAAGTCGGTTGAAGTCGGGTCAACAATGGACATTGACGTCGCCTCCGCCTCTAATGAACCGAGCCCGCTCGTGATAACCACGGCCTCAGGAGACCACCCTCCGGAATCCATACAGACTGAATCCACTCAGGATTCAACTGCTGATTCCTCAACGCTGGCTCAACCGGGCGATTCCGGGTTTTCGGTGAAGGTCATTTCACCAGAGGACTCATCGTCTGAAATCCCTGAAGCTCCCTCGCCGGTGGATAGTGTACCCACTGCCATTCACGATGATGAAGCTTCTCACAGCGACAGCGAGTCGATCCTATTCACGCCCGAGGATCGCACGATCGAGTTGCCCAAGGTCCCTGATGGCGTGTCAGTAGGTAAGATCGACCTGGCTGAGCTACGGCGGAATGCACCAAGCCCGTTGATTGATCGAGATTGGAGGATGTTGAACGAATTTGTTATGTTTTGATGCTGCTTGAGGACGATTTCACTAGGTTGTGCGTTCACGATGCATATTGTTAGTTGTTTCTGCTAGCTTGTTGTGTTTTGTTAGTTAACGTTCATGTCATCATTCTCCCGTGTTTTGAGACAAATACACGAATTTGATAATTTCAATTCATACGTTGGAAGATATGCAAGGACTCGTCCGCTCATGCGTCTCATCGATGCAACCAACACACTTAATGGTCCATCTTCTTATTAAGATTGAAGTTCAGTTGAATGCAAGATTTCACTTGAGGGCCGGGATATAGAATGTCCCTGAATGTCCGCGCGCCAATGACATGAGCCCTTCAAATCATTTGGTTTAGCTTTTATTCTTACTGATTTCTTGCCATCCTTCGTCCATGTCGCCCCTTCATGATGAAATGTGGAGTCACGCTTCTCTGTGGTGGAGAGCTAAATTGAGTTCAAACTTGTTGACTTCCAGAGTTCCCCCAGAAACGGACACTGGACTGTTCACATGTTTCCTCCCAGATGTCCTGGTGATGCCATCGAACTTATACTTATGCTCTCAGCTGGTCTACGAGTACTTATATCTCTTAGGGGTCCCGTGAACATGGGAAATGCGGCCGGACGTCTCGTAGCCAATGTGTCGAGCTTGCACCATCAGAACTCAGCAGGACACCAAAAATGTGCAGCGACCGCATTGCCCCCATTATCTCAGTTATGTAACTTCCCGGATCATCCTTATTCATAGAGTGGATATTTTGGACTCTTGAAGACAACGATAGTTTCAATTAGTGGTGAGAACCATATGGCTCGCGGTGTAACGTATGCCGGAAATGAGTGGGCGACTCATGTCACCGTGACTGCGTATCGAGTCTTCTTCCATTCAGTGGCTTATCTTGTGTAATTTCTCACAGGTCTCTCGTACGAAGTCGCTCGTAGGTACCTCAGAAGCACCCGTGACGACACTTTCAGTTCTCGCACACCGGCCCTTTGCCAGTTTGTTGCCGTACGAGAAATCATAGGCAACTCTTTTCTTGGTATCAAGTGCGGTCGGAAGCCGAGATGGGCTATATACAATGTGCTGAACGCGTTATGCAAGTTTCTTTAACGTACCTTGCTCTGGTCGACCATCCTATACCGCAAGGATGTTATTACCTTCCCTAGCTCAGCTTTCCGTTCTAGTCTTTGGAGTACGATCATCATACGCTGCACCACCTACAGCGGGCATTCCCGCCATAACCTTGGATCAAGGAACCTTCCAAGGTGTTACCGACGGCCTCATAAATAAGTTTCTTGGGATCCCTTTCGCTAAACCTCCGTACGCCCGAATGTTTGCTACTCTCTTATCGCACTAACTATTCATTCGCGCAGTATGGGTGATCTCCGTTTCAGACTGCCAGTTTCGAACGACCCGTATACTGGCGTCCACTCTGCCATCACTTTTGGGGCTTCGTGTCCTCAGCAAGCATTGAATCTCCCCATTCCAGGAGATATCACATCAAGTGCGATCAACTCCGTTATAAATACTGCCTTGACAATTGCTACTCCTGAGAGTGAAGACTGTATGTGATGTCCAGTCGTTTGTCTTCCACTGATAGTCAATTATGTCTCCAGGTTTGACACTCAATGTTTGGACTCCTGTCGGAGCCAGAGCTGGTACGAAGCTACCCGTAGTGGCTGTACGTGATTATACGTATTCTTTTGATATATTACTTTAACGGCCCTTCCCTAACAGTGGATATTTGGAGGTGAGCTCCTGTACTAAGTCCCTTTTGCTTTGACATTGATTTACGGCCGTCATAGGCGGTTTCGAGAATGGTGGTACATCAACGTAAGTATACCTCAATTCGTTGACCTCCGTTTTTCTGACAGAGACATAGGTATGACGGCGGAGTCATTGTGAAACGGTCAATTGAGCTCGGCCAACCTATTGTATACGTTAGCATGAACTATCGGTAAGTACAAAACCTCCTTTGTGTTTGAATTGACTTCGATAAATATCGATCGGTAGTGTCAGTGGTGCGTCCTGAGAGGCCCTCCCGGTTATGGTCTCGGAATCACTAAGACTCGCCTATGGTAGCGTTCGGATTCCTCCCAGGTAAGGAGGTCAAGGCAGCTGGGGTAGGTAACCTCGGACTACAAGATCGTAAGTCCCTTTCTATTGACGTGAACTTCACCGAAGTAATAATCTTTTTGCTTTGCAGAACGTCAGGCATTTCGATGGATTCAGAAGTACATCAACGTGTTCGGTGGTGATCCGACGAGAGTGACAATGTAAGTACAGATTATCATTGAGTGCCGGCCACTGTTCCATTGCGCCATATAGCTGGGGAGAATCCGCCGGAGCCATCTCTGTCGCGCTTCAAATGGTGACAAATGGCGGTGATACTGAGGGCTTGTTTCATGGCGCGTTCATGCAGTCTGGCTCACCCATTCCTGTGGGTGATATCACTGACGGACAGAACTTCTACGATGCATTGGTCTCTGAGACCGGATGTGCTGGTTCCTCGGACACTTTGCAATGTTTGCGTGAGGCGCCTTTCGACACGCTCAAAGCTGCTGTCGACGATTCCCCAGGCATATTTTCTTTCCAGGTATGACACCCGTTTCTTCGTTGAACTTCACTCACGATTATGAAGTCTTTGGCTTTAACATGGCTTCCACGTGCAGACGGGAACTTCCTTGCAGATCTCCCACAGCAATTGGTCTTGAAAGGAAGTGTTGCCGATATACCGTTCGTCACTGGTGTAAGTATCTCGCTATCTTACAGTCGGTCGTATAAATTCTATAACTGAGCATTACAGGACTGCGATGATGAAGGCACTCTGTTCGCTCTATCCTCACTGAACGTAACGTGTGTATAGATCTATTAGTAATTGAAGACGCTTGAGTAGAACTAATGTCTTGAGCAGGAATGAGTTCGCTCTTCGTGACTACATCACTACCGTCTTCGTCCCCGATGCGCCTGCAAGCGATATTGCTCAGCTACTCTCACTTTACCCAGCAGACGTCACCCAAGGTTCACCTTTCGGTACCGGCACCTTGAACGTTCTTACACCAGAATACAAGCGCATTGCTGCACTACTTGGCGATCTTGTATTCCAATCAGCCCGTCGATTCTTCTTGCAGAATCGGTCTTCGAAACAGAACACCTGGTCTTTCAGTGAGTCGGCACCTCTATTTGCCGGTCTTCTGATTCTAGCAGCACTTTGACAGTCAATAAGCGACTCAAGACTGCATCAGTTCTGGGATCCGTATGTTTTCTCGAATTATGGCTAGTTCTACCACTGCATGTATACTCGTGCTCATTTGCGTCCACAGGCACATGCTACCGATCTCCTGAACGTCTATGGTCCGGGGGATATGTCCGACTTCTTGATTAACTTCGTGAACCATCTGGATCCGAACGGCGCAATTCAAGGTTTATGGCCGAAATATGATACGGCTTCCTCACAACTCATGACCTTTCTTGATGGTCCAGTGCCTCTCACATTAACATCTGACAAATTTCGCGAAGATGCTATCTCTTTCATAACCACGCTCGCCCTCGATAACCCGATATAGGGCACACGATACTACAGAATAATCTGTATTTTCAATGCAACTCAGTAAACCTGATGTGCGCTATACATTAAGGCTAAGCAAGCCTTTTACAATGCTTCTAGCATATGTTATTGTTCGCCGAATCCTTTTCTTTTCTTTTCAGAGTCATCGATAAGATACGTGTTCGCGCCTGAGTAGTCACCAACGCAAAGTTAAAGACTCTGCTAAGTAAATGCAATCTCCCGCAGGCTGTCAAGTGTAGGCAGAGGACACAGCGGCACCAATGCTAATCGATAATCCGTTGTACGCGGGTGACATTTAGCTTTATGCTAGTAGCGAAAGCTGAAAGGCTCTAGCAGAAGATACTTATAGACCCGGCTGAGATTTTGCTTGAGACCGTGCCGCTACCCCTACGGAACTGGAGAGCATGAAGAAGGAACTGGTTAGCAGAAGGATGCTTGTAGCCCATCTTCGGGAGACTGCCGGTGCTTGAGGTGGGTATTGTTACGATCATTTTCATTTCGGATCTACAAACACGACTTTCCCTTATTATTTTCATTTGTAACCACATATTAAAACCTACCCAAACACACTCATTGATCCATGCTCGAACCTGACCGATACCATAAGTATATATGAATACATTGATACTGCATGTATTTAGATAATAGTTGTATATATACACCAGATGAACTTCAGATTAACTCCAAGTTTCGAATGGTTTTACCTGCTCATTTCTAAATTGATTTGAGTCCTATCATAATTCAAAACTTGCCCCTTTGCACTCTCTCGACAGGCATTGCCTTGTCTTCCACCCACACTTCACCTCTCTCAAGTCCGTTGTACTCAACGGCAACCACCTCATTCCTCACTCTACTCTGCTTTACTCTTACTCGCTCAAGACCTCATTCGGAGGGATCCGAATTCCACATTCCTAGTTACCTTTCATATCGCACTCCACTCCTCCACCTGGGTAATCATGCGACTACACCTGTAGATTGCAACCCTTGTATTCCCTTAGTACATAAATCATTACTCTCACCTGGTAGTCCGCTCTCGAAGCAACCAGGAAGTAGGCGGTGCTGCAATCTTCTTGACAGAGGGGCTGTTGAAAAATCCTACCAGAATTTACCCTGCTCAGACCTAAACGACTGAGTGTATGGCAGGAGGTTTCGAACCTCGCTGGTATTCCTTGATTCTCTCACACATTGAAAGACAACTACTGCGGAGATCAATTTCTCTTTTCACGCCTTCTAAGGCTGAACCATTTTACATAGCCACTATATCTACCTACTTCGTGTGTCCAGATCGGCTGTTGGCTGGAACACTTTGAAGGAGTACCTAAGTACCTTTACCTCAGATCTATACTCATCTAAGTACCAGAACAGGGTCGTGTGCCCGGTACAAGACACTATTGTTCACACATCACATCTTCATTTGAATTCTCTGCACTGCTCTATCAATACTACACACGTCGATCTCCACCTCCACTCGTACCATTGCCACACTCATCCCCTACAAACCCCACACTACCATTACCACTATCACCACTATCACCACTATCACCAATGGGTTCCACCGGATCTGGAACTGGTAGTCTTGGACAAAATCCACCTCCACCACTGCCTCCGGGAGGAAATCCAAACCCAAATCCAAACCCAAATCCTAGACAACCACCACCAGTCCCACCACAGCCCAACACAAAGGCATCTGGAGGGAAATCCTCAGACTTCGATGGAACCAAAGACAAATAATACCCATCTTTCAAAAGACAACTGTACTTATGGTTCCGAACACTGAAGAACACCGGTCTTACTGATGAACAGAAGATTGACATGACTCTTTCATACATGAAGGGTTCAAAGGTTGACGATTGGGTCAACAATTACTTCGAAAATGAATTTAACATCAGCACGGACAGCTGGAATGTCACTTTCCTTCTATTGATCAAAGCCCTTGATGAACAGTTCCTCGATTCAAATTGAGTTGAACAAGCAGTTATCCAAATAGATAACTTGACTCAAGGCAATGGGACGGTGCAGGAATATTTCCAGAAACTGGAAATGTACATCACGCAGGTGGGCAGAAAGAAGGAAGATAAACACACTATCGACCTTGTCCAACTCAACTGCAATGAGTCCATCATAGATAGAGCTTTAGACAGAGACATGCGACTGACCACTTATGCACAGTGGAAGGAAGCCATCATCGACATTGATTCCTTGCGAAGGCAGCGGGAAGAAGAGAAGCATCTGAAGAAGATCAGATATCGACCATTCCGATCGAACCAGAACTATGGGCAGAAGTACCCTGCCTATCAGCAGCAGACCCAAGGATCGGGTCAGAACCAGAATCAGAATCTGAAGAAGGACTATGGAGAAAAGAAGGATGGAACTGGCACAACATTCACAGGGTGTGGACAGCCCATGGACTTGGACAGAAACTACCTTAAGTGTAAGGCTAAGCAATCAGAGAAGGGCACTTGCGGAAGTGCATGGCATGTCCCTAATCGATCGGGACCTTCCATGAACACTCAATGTGTTTGAAAGAATGAAATGAAATCAGAGTCAAAGATCGAGGAGATCCCCGACTCAGATGATGATGATGATGACAAAATGATCGCCATGGTTCAGCGATGGATGGAGAAGAACCCAGAGAAGGTGAAGAAGCTGAATTTTGGCTCGGGCAAGGCTTAAATGCACAAAGTAACTTGCCAGATATAAACAATAACTCGGATAAACCCCTGAAGGGTTCTATGAAAACATCTTCGATATATGCCTATAGTATATTGATCGGACAGTCCCCTTTTGTAAATATTTCATCTAATGCAGAGGCGTCTTCTACTAAGAAGCACAGCAGGGCGGAACCTGTGCTTGATTCCTCTAAACAAAATACAAAAAAATTTGAAAATAAACTGAGTGCATCGGATAAAAGCATCACAGACATTGGACCACCACTACTCTGAGTTGTCAAAGGACTTGGAAGAGGGAAACAAATGGACCTACCGGTCACCGTGATCATCCCAGAAACAGAAAGAATTCATGATACAGTAGCATTAGTCGACACCGGTGTCCTGCACCAAAAGTGTTTGGCATATGGACAGATCACTTCGATATTCAACACTGAATACGAAAGTCCAAGACAATGTCACACTGCAGATACGACAATAATTAGGGTATGCCAATGACAACAAGTACAATAAATGACCTCCTCAACCTCAAGTCCGACTTTAATTCAAACTGACAACGTATGCCTCAAATCTTCTACAGATGAAGAGGAAGAGTGACGAGAATGAAGAATGGAAGGTAAAGAACGTGAGGAATGTACCAATGACGATGAAGTCTGAGCCAAAGTAGTCAAAGAATCCAAGGGAGGGGCTGATGAAGATGAAGGAGTGGAAGGGACAATAACTGTCTTGAAGTGAATAGAAGACAATGAGACCATTGCAATAGGAGCTGCTGCATGGTTGCGTGCACCACGAGAAATGCGTCGAGGAGCAAAGAACATACACCAAAGCCACAAGGCGACCATGATTAACATCAAAGTACCAAGGAGGACGACGACTCCAATTACTGTTGGCTTAGAGACCGTGGTATAAGCCAAAGGAGTGGAAGCAGCTGAGGAAGACTCCAGGATGATCCTAAAGAAGCGATAGGTCAGAAAAAGACATTAGACTGATACTCTGAACACGCATGCAAGGTGACACACGTTGTAGTGGCCATGAGGCAGTTTCAGAATCTGAAAGTCGAATGTGAATATGACCAAACCAGACTAGAAGGAGTAAGACTTACCTAATCTCAAGACAGGTGGATCTGAAACTCGAATCTGTCTGAAGGAGACAGCTTCTAAAGACAAGTATCATCGCCTGGCAGTGCCACGTCAGCAGTAGGCGCTTAACTGGACCTTCAACACTGGTAAAGTCTGTGTATGCTCAGAAAAGACCGGAAATGACTGCAGATCAGTCAAGACTATTGTTTATTCGCATCTTCAAGCATGTTACTTTACGGTGACATGATGATGAATAAATAATCTATAAATTGGCGAGGTGAAGATAGGCAACATAATGAATATGGATCAAAGTACATGTTTTACGATGACGGTCCTCCTCCTGAACTCCTAGAGCGATCTTCACGTTTAATAATGTACCTCATTATAAGATACACTCCACAAAGGAAGGCTACGACTCCACAGATGATACCAAAGATTTCAAGAAACACCTTCGTACTTGAAGGAGGAGGCTCCAAAGCCTTCATTTCTTCGATCTACAAGGGGATCACTCTTTAATGAGTTATGAAGAGTTTAAATGATCTGAAGATACGTACCCAGCTCATATTGTCAAAAGGGTTTTTCAACGTATTCCCAACTTCTGAGAAAATACCAACTGTTCAAAGTACCGCGCAAGCACCTAATTCGTCCACAAAAGATCCTATGGACTTAGAGATATGTCCAGAAGGTCTGAATAGGATGCTTTAGCAAACTTACCAAAGTTTACGATAATACTGGCAAGTACACACTTCAGAAGAAAGAGTGCGGTGTTTGAAGAAAGAAGAGTGCGTCACTCAACTCAGCTTTCTTGAACAATAACTGATCAAACCTTCAATTTCGGCAATCTCCAAGTGATACCAGATAAGATAAGGAGTCTCAGAAAGGAAGGTGTAGTGTGCAAAGTGAAGCCACCTGGCCATACAAGCACCAACTGATCGAAAGACCTTAATATCTGATGCACGATCATCAAATCTTGATCGATCGACAACTGAGCTCTCCATTCCTTACAGAATGGACTTTTCATTCTTGAAGCACTAGGCCATTGAGTCATCAAGACTCACCATGACTCATAAAGCCCCTAATGAGTCAGAAAAGGCCATTGTGACTCATCAAAAGATCATTCTGACTCATCTTAAGTCATTCTTAGTTATCGGATGCCCCTATGAGTCATCAGACACCCCTATGAGTCAGGAAAGAATGCAGATTTGTAAGTAAAGAATCCTTTAGAAGCATCTGGAATCAGCCTGAGACTGGTTTAGACTACTCCAGGCTGAAAATAGATGACTCAAGCATGGATTCTAGTGCTAAATTCATGTTTCATTAATAAGCACCTGCATTCTCTCATCAAGTAAGCGAAGCAAGTTCTTACAAATTTAGCTTGGTCATCCATAGCACAGCCCCTTTCTAGATTGTATATAATGAGCCCCTTATTTCCTGTAGTAATGTGCCTGTGCCCCTCAAGTTCCTGTAATTTCCCTAAAGTTCTGCCCCAAATTCTATCATTTCTAAAGTCCTGCAAAGCTCAAAGTCCCCAAGCTTGACACTCTCTCTTTGTGAAGTGCAAGTGAAAAGCCTGAAGCGATCTGCCACTTCTGCTGCTTTCAAATTTTCTCAACACCTACTCTTTTCTTAAGAAAAGCTGGTCATTGTACCTTCGTGTATCTTTGACTTTGTCTTAACCTGAGATTGCTATCCTAAATCCCTTTCCTTTCTCTTGTGAACTCTAAGGCATACCTTGCTTAAGACTTCACTTACCTTAAAAACACACTCCTTTCAGTGGTATAGCCAGTCAAGTCTACTTTATTGTCAGACTACACGGTAAACCTCCCCTCACCCCAAACGAACAACAGGAAAGACCCGGTGTAACGTCTCACCCGGAAACTTTTCTGCAGAAGAGAAACCTTTGGCCTCTCATCTCTTTGAGAGTGTTTTTCTTTTTCTGACCGACATCAGTGGAGCCCACCGCGAGGGCTGGGTTTTTACTCTAATTGTTGTATGTCTGATACCTCTGACTTGGCCATATTATCGCTTTCAAGTGTGAGCAGCCAAGGTGCTTTGAGAAGTACAACACCACCATCATCACCTCTAACACCTTCACCTTCATCCTCAACACTTGCATTTCCACCTCAAAACCCTATCCCTACACACACTACCGCTACTGCAATGACTACACCTCAACACCTAGGTGTAATCGACCTACCAATCCCTGGCACGAAGAATGCTCCGAAGAAATTCAAAGGAAAGTACTCAGAGATCAAGCCTTTTGTCCAGCACTACGAAAGACTCTGTCTTCAGAAAGGAGTGACCGATGCTCAAGAGAAGATAGAGAATATTACGCAGTACTGTTCAAGGGATGCACGAGAATTTATGGAAGGACTTTCAAGCTATAAGTCAGGAAACTGGGATCAGTTTACCAGAGACCTTTTGGAGTTCTATGATGCTGAAAGAGACTCAAAGAGATACCGCCCCAAAGACCTCGTCATATATGTCAAGAACTGGAAGTCTGACCACAAGACTATTCGTAATCTTTCATCCTGGAAAGAATACAATCGAGGCTTCATCAAGATTGCTGGATGGCTTAAAAAAGAAGGAAAGATTACTGAGGACACTCAGGCAATTACCTTCTGGAAGGGAATCCCTAAACCCTTTAGACATCGACTGGAAGCAAGATTACTTGCCAAGACTCCAGATCATGATCTCAGCAATCCATTCAGCATGGAAAGCATCCACAAAGCTGCTAAAGCTCTCCTGCAGCGCAACCGCTTTGATAGAGAGGGATATCTGTCAGATGGTGAGGATGACGAAAGTGAAGATGAAGACTCTGAAGATAGTGACCGTGATTCAGAAAGTTCTGACTCAGATTCTGATAGCTCAGATGATGAGAAAATAGCACAGCATGTGAAGAAGTTGAGGAAGAAGTGGAAGGAAAAGATGAGTAGAGAGAAGCTGAAGAAGAAGAAGAAATCAGAGCAAGAAGAGAAGCCCGAGGCCAAGATCAACAAGAGTGCAAGACCAACCAGGAAGAAGGAAAAGGACAGTGAGGTTGAGGAACTTATCAACCAGCTCAACAAGATGTCACTTGAGGATCCTGCCTATGCGATATCCTACTTCAGAGCCTGTCGACTCGATCCCTTGGTTGCTGATATTGTACCAAAGCCTAATGAACGTCATCAAAGGATAAATGCTCAACCTTCTGGACAATTCTTCAATAATAGCTCTAGACCTCCAATGCAAAGGCAGATGCCTCCTCACATGGATAATGCACCTACTGGTGATAGAAGATGTTTCGGATGTGGTCAGACTGGGCATGGAACAAGGTTCTGTCCCAGAATGACTGAACTTCTATCTCAAGGCATTGTGAGTCGAGATCCTGCCGGACGCTATGTCATGGCAAATGGACAACCGATCATGAAGATTGCATTTGATGAACCTTTGGCAACTGCTGCAGTACGTTTGCATCCTACACCTCAAGCCAACTTTATAGCTGTCAATCATGCCACTATTGAAGAAGTAACAGATGAGGACTATCAAGAAGTAGGTGAAGATGGAGAACTAAGTGATGATGAAGGAGATGGAAGAAATGCCGCTTGGCCTGTGACTCGAACTCCCAAGTCTACTACTGCTGCTAGAAAGGAAAAGTTCGAAGGAGTCTTAATGCCCCCAAGAAAATTTCTAGACAAAAGGGACGAGAAAACAAGATCAGCAAAGGGAAACAAAGAGAACGTACTTCCAAGAAAGAAGAACTTTGAGTACCCATCTAATGGAAAGATACCTGAACCTGTACCTGTTGATGTGGAAAGAGATATTCCAGTTGACAATCATTCAGATATCATCATGGATGAGGAACTTGGAATGCGAGAGCCACTCGGTGAAAGGAATGCTTCAAAGAACTTGGAGAATCATTCACCTGAGAAGAGAATTCCTCGACGTTCTGAGATTCAAGCTCAGGTCGATCGTCTCAATGTGCTCACTAAAGTCTTGAATACACCTGTTACCTTAGCTGTTGGAGAAGTCTTTGGAATGTCAAAGGAAATGAGCACACACCTCCTGGATGTCCTTAAGCCTAAGCCTGCCACTAAACTTCAACATGTTCCAAAAGCTACTGCGGCATTAGCAAGAACCTCTGCCAGTTTTAATTCTTCAGCAGTCTCAGCTTCCTTTATTGCACGGTCAAGAGGCACTCTCATTAAATTGAAGATGCATTGTGACAATGTACCTGTTGATGCTATCATTGACACTGGATCTCAGCTCAATATTGCACATGAACAAATCTGGAAGGACGTACTTGCAAGGCCAATGGATAAAGGACGAAAGATTAGTATGAGTGATGCCAATGGTGGAGAAGGAATGCTAAGTGGACTTGTGCCCAATGTACCTCTCAACTGTGGTGGAGTACTCACTCATGCAAATATCTATGTCGGAACTCAAGTTCCATTCAAGCTTCTATTAGGACGACCCTGGCAATGTGGTAATTATGTGTCCATTGATGAACGAGAGGATGGTACATACCTTCTTTTCAAGGACAAGCACTTGAATGTGCGACATGAATTACTGGTCAATCCTGAACCTACCAATCCTAGCCTGAATGAGATCTCTGACTACCTCACATATTCTTCCCCTGCAAGAGTAGGTCTTGTGCAAGCTGATGAAGGACTGACAATTGAACCCGACATTCCAGAAAAGCTTCTTGAAGAAGAGATAGTAGATGAACGAGAACCACGACCATTTCAACATGCATTTGATGTCAGGACTCAAATGTGGATGCATAGGTTCTTCTTCTCCCCATCTCAATATGACCGACCCATGCTAGTCACCATGCTGCTACCTTTTCACCATAGCAATCCTACTCCAGGCATCCTTGACAGATATGCAATTGAAGGAAGAGAAGGTATTGGGAAAGTCTCCTTCTCAGCTTTACATGAGAAGATTGATTCTCTTCATAGACTCAAGAAGGCTCCAAAATTCCGTTTAAATCTAGGAACTTTCAATGCATTTCCTCTGCAATCAGATTCTACTGAACCTGCCAGGCATCAAGTTGAATCGTTCCTTATAAATGATGCAACTCTCATCTATGCCAAACCCGGATCTGAGCTACCAACAGCTGTACAGTATGTGGATGCCTACCTGCAGTTCAAAGACAGTCTGGAACATGATCTGGAAAATCACGAATGGAAAGGACCTATTTTGGTTCCAGCAGAAGGTCCTCCTGACCCTACTGACAAGAGTCAAAAGCCTGAGGGACATCCGGATAGTCAAGCAGAGTCTACCAAAGGAGAAGATGATGATGCTCCAGAATTACGGCCATTTCAATTTGATACATTTAATGTCAAGACTCAAATGGACATGGACCAAATGTATTTCTCAGCATTCCCATACGATCGACCTTCATTGACCTCTATACCAGTACCCTTTGAAGATAATAACCCTACTCCTGCCCTTCTTAGGATATATGCAAGTGAAAGTACAGAGGATGTTGGACAGACTAAATCTGAAGAACTTCACTCCAAGAGTATGTCCATAATTTGGCGTAACAAGACACCTCAATTTTGTCTAACTCTAGGGACATATGAAGCTTGTCCTGTATTAACAGAGTTTACCGAACCAACACGACGACGAGTGGATGCATTCATCATAAAAGGAGCTACTCTAATTTATGCTGAACCAGGGTCAGTTCGACCAACGGCTGTACGACATGTGGATGCATATCTCCAATTCAAGAAGAGTCCTGGATATCCTTCTGGAGACTATGAGTGGAACGGTCCTATTTTTGTCCCAGTAGAACCTGTTCCTGAGACTACCGAGGACAAGATGGAAATCATCAAACAACCTAGCGGACAGCAAGATGATCAACCTGGACTCTTTGACAGCAAGAGCAAAAATCAAGCCAAGGAAAATAGCCTGCCTGATGAATTTGATTCAGGACCCTCTAAGACTGCTTCCTTAAGTTTTGATGAGCTTGATCCTTTAGACATGACTCCACGTTTGCCAAGTGCAGATCAATATCTAAAAACTGAAATTGAGCTGAGCATTCAGCGTGATAAAGAAGAACGAGACCCATCTGAAGCACTTGCTGCACGAAATTTGGTCATACAGTTGAATTCAACCGGGGAGACCAATGATGAAGTCTTGCGAATACGTGGTGGTTGTTCCAGAAGTGATGACAGTGGAGATCTTGACTGGAACCTAAATGAAGACTATCGCCAACTTCGACAGAGCAGACATGGCCCAGAAGAGGATTTGTTGAATAAGATTTCTACTCATTCAACTGGAACTACACACCGTGAAGACCACAAGGGAAAAGAGACATACAACATCATACCCGAATTTTCTAAAGACTTAGACAGTCTTCAGAAAGATTTTAATTTGACAGTCGAAGTCAATGACAAAAATTGGGATAAAGCTAATGGAAGGCTATATGTACAGGAAACCCCATATCTGACTAACGACGCGGCTCTCTTTTGTTCACTTTTTGGACTGAACCCTTCTTCCAGTGTTCCAGGACCAACGGACGATATTCGCCATACAGAAAATCGACAGATTGACCTGCAAAACTTGGAGGAAGTCAGTACGAGTAATTTGGATGCCGAGAACGGGACAACTTACCTGACCGGAGATGCAGACAAAGGACAATACCTTGACGTCCATGTTGACGCGTCAAAGATGTCTATGATAAAAGAAAATGCAGTATTTGACCAGTCAGTACACCCCCCCTACGTACCGCACTCAAAGGAGGTCTCATTCAATAGGCATCGCGGCGGAGAAAACCTGCCATTCTTCATGCTTAATAGAGAAGACGCCGGTTGGACCAGAACAGAAGAAATCGGAAGAAACGGGAGAAACACTTACGAAGAATTTAGGCCTACGCTCGGTGAACGAGACCGTCCCTCTAATTCGGACCCGAATAGAAATCGCGTCTCGCAGACGACGAGTGGAGATCGCCTGCGAGAATCAATTTGGTCCGCGTTCTCGAATTTCGACGCGGAAACCTTAGCATATTTGTTGACGAGGGTGCGGACGCTCCTGGGCGAAGTCTCCATTGAATTAGGCCTTAAAAGAATATATGAGTATGCGAATGGGATCGGCCTGCTTACCGTCAATAACAAAGTCGAAATGGAGAACACCGTCGAGGACGCGCAAGCCCTCCACTCGAAGACAGGGGATCTACTTAGAGAAATAAAAGGATTGACGAAAGGAATAGGTCAGTGTGGCCGTCCTAGAACTGCCATCTGTCTTGAAGAACCCGAACGACAGCTCGAACGTACCTTAGTTACCCGCGCAATGGCACCAATCCCTTCCTTCGCTACTCATCCCCCTCCTCCTCGGTTTGCGGTAACCGAATACGGCCTACGTGCACTCGCTCCTTTTGCAGCACTAGCCGGTATGTCGAATCGTCCCCCTCCTATCCCGCGTGACGGACTGAATCAATCCCACCTATCTGGAACACCTCCCTTGGATTCGGAATATCCTACTTGCCAAGTGTCAATCACCTCTGGTAAAGCTCAAGCCTTACCGTCGACAGAAAGTAAAGAAGGTACGACGTACTCTTATATTTTTGATGACGCTACGCTCGTCCACGCACCCTCCATATGGACCGGAGAGCCCGACGTCCGTCGTGTCCGCGGTATGCTAAACGTCGTGGTAGACCGAGAGACCGAGATCGCTGAACCCACTTGGGAAGGGCTCGCGCTCGCTCTGGATGAAGAACAAGATCTAAAGACGAGAGAAGTCAGGGAGGAAATAGAAGACGATGACGTACCTATGCTTAGTTTAGAGGAAGAGGAACTAGAAGAGGGAGAAATAGAGGAAGAATGGAAAAGGCAGAGGAAGGAACGTATGAAGGAACTCTATTCGATCGAAGAGAATGATCGAGACTCGTGGCCAGACCCAGAGTCCCAGATCTCCGCTGTACCTCCGATTTCCACGGAAATCAGGCTTGATTCCGCATCCCCGAACTCCCTCAAATGCTCGGCCGACCCAAGCCTTAACCCTAGCAGACCGTCCGGCGCTACAGGCTTCATCGATTGGGACTCTAAGTCTCGATCGTACTTCGAACAGTCTCTCTATTCTCAGTCACCTCAGACGCTTCCCCCTCCTCTAGCTTTTCCACTAGGACCTCCTCGACCTCCTCCCTCGCCTGACGCCTCCGCCGGATCATGCGCATTCGTGTCCCAAGAAGACCAGACGGATGAAGATGACGAGGTAGTATTGGTAGAAAGGAATGGGGTAAACGGACCTCAGACGTTAAGGTACGTACCTCCTCATCGCCGTAAACTGACATCTAAGCTAGGTACATCCTCGGAGAATGTTTCTCTCCTCGAGGACCCAGTGGTTCAACGTAAACCCACACCATCCTACTACAGGAGCCAGGATCCACGCCGACGAAATGGACATTTGAGATCGGACCACGCAGCGGTGCGTGCAGAACTGCTGTCTCTTGCCTCCTGCTGTCCGTCAACGACCCCCTGCTCTACGCCGGAGTACTCCCCCACGATCTGGTCACTTCCCCCAGCAGCTCCTCCAGTATCGGCATTCACGGCTAATGTAAACGTACCTACACTGGAAGGCCTTCGAACCACATCCCCTTCGGACGACTTTACGCTTGATAGCTCCCTACGCCGCTTCTGGAACGAGGCAAGAAGGTCCCTATTTCAAGAAGACCTCCCCGCGTACGTCCCTCTTGACTCAACGGGCAAGAAGACTACTTACGGTGACGACGTATCGATGCATTCGACGAACACCCCCTCAATCAAATCTCATCTACCTTCTGTCACAATGACCCCCACTCTACCTGGACAACCTGTCTCCAGGCAGAAACAACGCGAGCTCGAACATGAGCTCGATAAGATTCTCGCGGTAGCCCCCAGTCCCGAAGAGACTAAGGATGGACACGACGACTCTGAAGAATCGGAATGGTCCAACACGGATCTTCAGGCCCTTCAATACACCCAACCCCTTATCGTTAACGGTAATCCTATATTCCCCATTCGATCTGGATCCCTTCCCTTCACGTACATCTCCCTTCGCTCTGAACGGCTTCTTAATCCCCTTCCGCCTCGCGACACCGTACCCTTTCTCAACAACATCTGGCATGGCCAGGATGACCTCAAGACCAGAAGGGAATTCATTCAGGACTACCATACGCTAGGCGAATGGGCCGAGCGGGACCTATGTCTACCCTTCGTCGCTAGGACCTACGCACGCGGACTCGACGACGACAGCAACAGTTGGTTGCGGGACCAATTTCGACGTATGTTTCGAATCAAGCAAGGCTTTAGAGGCAACCCCTACCTTCATGGAGAAGAAGAGGCACATCTATGGCAAATTAAGTATTTTTACTACTCTACTCGGTCCCACCAGCACTGCAGTTATTCGACTCACTTTCGCAACCATATCGATGTTATGCTTCACTTCTGCCCTTATGGAGAAGAAACCGTGGCCAACATTCACCGATGACGTATCGCTGGTGAACTTGGAGACGTGGGGCAGTCCGCCTAGTGCGACGACCTACCAATTAACGGAGGTACGTTCCCGAAATCTTTTAGGGAACGCATCCACTAATCGTCTCGTTCGACGATTAGGTCCTCAGACCGATTTTCTTTATCTCAGCTCCATTACTTCGATTTCGATTGCCGTTGACCGTTGTCAACGCATTTGCCTTCAGACGTTTTTAAAGGACTTTTCCTTTCCTTTTCCCCTTTTTTCTGTTAGACACTTGTAACCTGGACTTGACTCGACAACTGCAGCTCACCCTAAGGACCCTTTTCGGATCGCGCGTAAGTACATTGCCTCACTTAGCAATGACCTTCGCGCTCACAGACCTTTTCATAGACACTTACCTCACGTGCATTCGATATTCTGGACAGACCTTACCAATAGACTTTTCCCTTCACCGCCAGTGGCAGGGAGGGCTCGTCAACGTTGACGAGTTTCTTCTCGCTGTCGTCATCCTTGACGCTGGCCATATCGACTCGCACGAACCTTCTTCGTACGTACATAGACCTGGACTCGCTCGTTTTTTCTTTAGATATTTCTTCATGTATTCTGACTCGGACTTGAATGTTTTCTTTTATATTTGTATCGGACATCTTGCATACCTCATTTTACGGACAGACACTAGCCTCGGACTTGATCATTTCTTCCTTCTTCTTCTTATTTTTTCTTACTTTGTTTTGACTCGGACATTCCTAGTGTACATGTACTCCTTGCTCGCCAGATCAGCCTTCCGACCAATAGAGTCTTTTGACTCAAACCTCTCAAAGAACACTCATAAGAACAATATCAGGAAAGGGCTCAATAAGAGCAAGAGAAACCTGAGTGAAGTAACTCGAAATAGAAAATCCAAATGCATTCAACATGCACTTAGGATTTCTATCGACAAGCTCATTCTCTCTGTCCTAAAATATCGCTGAAGACTCGCACGAAACTCGGACAAGTCCCTGAACATTTCTGACACTGCTTCAAGGATGAAAGCCTCAATACCTACCTGTCAAGTTGACTCTCCTCAAGTCCATTTCTACGCTATTGTCAGAAAATCTGATGACCTCTCAAAAAGAGACATAGCAAGTACAGATATTCGAAAGACTCATTTAAAGGAACATCAGTTTTCCTTTGGACAATCCTTCATCGGAATAAATTCTAGGATAAATTCTAATTTATTCTACCCTCAATTGGAACCTGACGATGAATGTATCTACGAGATGAGTGGAGCAGAAGTGCTTACTGCTTATAAGAGAGTCGACAAGAAAGTCAAGCCAGTCCCAGGAGTATTTCCAGAGGAATCCCGTGTCCGTCGACAATTTCCAGAAAACCCTCTCGATTCCTTGCCACCACTATCGTGCTGTCCACCCCAGTTCAAGGAAAATGGTCGGCTGACTCAAGAACGTCTAGATGGCATGAACATAAATCCAGATGGATTTCTTAGCTTGGAAGAAGAAAATCTGTTTAAGCATATCCTTCAGCTTAATCAAAACAGTCTTGTCTTTGAAGAAGAACATCGCGGGACCTTTCGAGAAGATTACTTTACTCCATACATTATTCCAACTGTGCCTCATATTCCTTGGGCTTACACCAATATTCCCATACCACCTGGTATCAGGGAAAAGGTAGTCACACTACTCAAGGAAAAGATGGCAGCAAGCGTGTATGAGCAAAGTCAATCATCTTATCGATCTCGCTGGTTCTGTGTTCTCAAGAAAAGTGGCAAACTTAGGTTAGTCCATGACCTTCAACCACTGAATGCAGTGACTATTCGTGATGCAGGACTTCCTCCCATTCTGGATGCCTTTGTTGAACCCTTCGCAGGACGTCGATGTTATACGGCATTTGATCTCTATTGGGGATTTGATGCTAGAAAGATACATGAGAAGAGTCGCGATATGACAGCATTCCTATCACCTCTAGGCCTTCTTCGATTGACTTCCCTCCCTACTGGCTTTACAAATTCACCTGCCGAATTTCAAGCTTGCATGGCTTTTATTCTTCAAGACGAAATGCCTCATACTGCTGACATCTTCATAGATGACCTTCCCATCAAAGGTCCTCTGACTGAGTATCTTGATGAAAATGGAGTGCCAGAAGTGTTAAAGGAAAACCCTGGAATCCGAAGATTCATTTGGGAACATGCCTGTGATGTACATCGAATCATGCATCGTGTAGGCCATGCTGGAGGAACATTTTCACCAAGCAAAGTTCAACTTGCTCGCAGAGAAGTTGTGATTGTAGGTCACAAGTGTACACCTGAAGGAAGAATTCCAGATCCTAACAAGATTGAAAAGGTTTTAAATTGGCCCATCCTTACCACTGTCAAAGAAGTCCGTGGATTCCTAGGACTTTGTGGAACAGTGCGTATTTGGATCAAGAACTACTCAGCCATGGCTCGACCCTTGACTGAGCTTATTCGCCATGACACTGACTTTGAGTGGGATGACCGTCGACAAGAAGCCTTCGATAACCTGAAGATGTTGATTACCTCTGCACCTGCCCTAAAGCCTATTGACTACTCCTCTGATTTGCCTGTAGTTCTCTCTGTGGATTCAAGCTACATTGCTGTTAGATTCATTCTTTCACAAAGAGATGAACAAGGACACAAACGGCCAGCTCGCTATGGATCAATTCCTATGAATGAACGAGAAGCACGATACTCCCAACCTAAGTTGGAACTATATGGACTCTTTCGTGCCCTTAGAGCATATCGCCTCTACCTTGTAGGTGTCAAGAAACTGCAAGTGGAAGTTGATGCCAAGTACATCAAAGGAATGCTCAATGAACCTGACTTACAGCCCAATGCTTCTGTCAATCGCTGGATTCAAGGAATATTACTCTTCGATTTTGAGTTAATTCATATCCCAGCTGAACGTCATAAAGGACCAGATGCCCTATCACGTCGTGGACTTGGAGAAGGAGAAGAAGTGAAAGAAGAAGATGATGCTTGGTTGGATAAAATTGCTCTCTACACACTGCCACATGAAGTCACATTGGACAATGATGCATTTCAGGATTATAATCCTTTAAAGCTCATTCCTGTGTATATTTCCACAGATTCCAAACAAGACCAGACTATGCGGCAAATCCACAAGTTTCTAAGCACCTTAGAGACCCCAGAATTTCTATCACTTCAAGAACGCAAGAGGTTTATTACCAAAGCAAGTCGATTCTTTATTCGAAATGGCAATATGTATCGACGAGCTGGACAACGACCCCCTCTAAAAGTTATTTTCTCAGCTAACAAGAGACTTAGCATTCTGGAAAGTGCACATGAAGGACAAGGACATCGTGGAGAGTATGCAGTAATGCGAATGCTCAAAGAACGATTTTACTGGCCAAATATGTGGAATGATGTTCATCAACATGTTCGATCCTGTCATCAGTGTCAGCTCAGAAGCACTCGTAAAGTTGAAGTCCCTCTGACAATCTCTGCACCTGTGACACTGTTCACCAAGATATACTTGGATATCATGTTTATGCCCAAGGCAAAAGGATTCAAGTATATCATTGCAGCCAGAGATGATCTTTCTCGAGCTGCAGAAGGACGTGCCTTAAGAGATGCAACTTCACATGCCATTGCCAAGTTTCTATGGGAAGAAATCTTCTGTCGATATGGTGCCATTGGACAAGTTACCACTGACAATGGACCTGAATTCAAGAAAGCATTCAATACACTTACCAGACGGTATGGTGTACCTCAAGTTTCAATATCTGCCTACAATTCCAAGGCAAATGGTGTAGTGGAAAGAGGTCATGCGATTATTCGTGAATCCATAGTGAAAGCCTGTGATGGGAAAGTCAAAGACTGGCCAGACTATGTTCCCCATGCTTTCTTTGCAGACAAAATCACTATCAGTCGATCAACAGGATTCTCACCTTACTATTTGCTATTTGGAGTTCACCCAGTCTTACCTTTCGATCTCTTGGAAGCATCATTTCTAGTGGAAGGTTTCCACTCTGGAATGTCTACAACTGATTTGCTTGCACTGCGAATCCAGCAACTTTCAAAGAAGGATCAAGATCTGGAAAAGGCTGCAGAAGTTCTCGCAAAGACACGTTTACGCTCAAAGGCTCAATTTGAGAAGAAGTTTGAGCATAGAATTCGAGTTGAAAGTTTCAAGCCTGGAGATCTCGTACTTGTACGAAACACTGCCATTGAAAGATCCTTGAATCGCAAGACTAAACCCCGGTACTTAGGACCCTATGAAGTAGTTCGACGGACCTTCAAAGGAGCCTATATCGTGAAAGAGCTTAATGGAAACCTCTGGAAACAGGGAATAGCGGCCTTTCGATTGCTACCCTATATCTCAAGAGATGACTCAAGGCTTCAAGATCTTGCAGGAAGAATAGAAGAAATTGGAAGGCCATCGCAAAAGCATATCACTGAATTTAGTGACTTGGATTCAAGTGACTCAAGTGAAGAGTCTACTAGCAATCTTGAAGATGTCTTCTATGAGCATATATCAAATCACTAGACAACATAGTCTATGTGAAGAAGTAGTCAAGAACGTACTTGACTAGTGGCTAGAGAATATCTGAATTCTCTATCTCAAATACTTCTAGACAGAGTGGTCTAGAAAGATATTTTTGTCAAGACCACATTTCTTCAATTTGATTCTCAGAAGAAAAGATATCGTCAAGTGAAATGCCCAAAGAAGTCCAACAAAGTCATAGAAGAAGAAAAGTTTAGAGAAGAGTCAAACTGAAAAATCATTGTTGTATCAAGAAAGTGCCTGAAAAGTGTCTACCGTGTCTAAAAAGTGTCAAAGTATCATCTATTGTCTATCATCTATTGTCTATCATTTATTGTCTATCGTCTATCGTCTATCGTCTATCGTCTATCGTCTATCGTCTATCATCTATCGTCTATCGTCTATCGTCTATCGCCTATCGCCTATCGCCTATCGCCTATCGCTCAATATTTACTTTTACCTGACACAGAAGATACTAGCACTAGATCCGATGAGAGTTTCTCTCTCTAAGCACTTTCAGTGAAGCTGTATTGTGAAGTTCCATTTTTTTTTCTTCTTTTCCCTGCATCCTTTGCAACTGGGGACAGTTGTCTTTTCAAGTCACCCCCACTTGTCCTGCACCAAAAGTGTTTGGCATATGGACAGATCACTTCGATATTCAACACTGAATACGAAAGTCCAAGACAATGTCACACTGCAGATACGACAATAATTAGGGTATGCCAATGACAACAAGTACAATAAATGACCTCCTCAACCTCAAGTCCGACTTTAATTCAAACTGACAACGTATGCCTCAAATCTTCTACAGATGAAGAGGAAGAGTGACGAGAATGAAGAATGGAAGGTAAAGAACGTGAGGAATGTACCAATGACGATGAAGTCTGAGCCAAAGTAGTCAAAGAATCCAAGGGAGGGGCTGATGAAGATGAAGGAGTGGAAGGGACAATAACTGTCTTGAAGTGAATAGAAGACAATGAGACCATTGCAATAGGAGCTGCTGCATGGTTGCGTGCACCACGAGAAATGCGTCGAGGAGCAAAGAACATACACCAAAGCCACAAGGCGACCATGATTAACATCAAAGTACCAAGGAGGACGACGACTCCAATTACTGTTGGCTTAGAGACCGTGGTATAAGCCAAAGGAGTGGAAGCAGCTGAGGAAGACTCCAGGATGATCCTAAAGAAGCGATAGGTCAGAAAAAGACATTAGACTGATACTCTGAACACGCATGCAAGGTGACACACGTTGTAGTGGCCATGAGGCAGTTTCAGAATCTGAAAGTCGAATGTGAATATGACCAAACCAGACTAGAAGGAGTAAGACTTACCTAATCTCAAGACAGGTGGATCTGAAACTCGAATCTGTCTGAAGGAGACAGCTTCTAAAGACAAGTATCATCGCCTGGCAGTGCCACGTCAGCAGTAGGCGCTTAACTGGACCTTCAACACTGGTAAAGTCTGTATATGCTCAGAAAAGACCGGAAATGACTGCAGATCAGTCAAGACTATTGTTTATTCGCATCTTCAAGCATGTTACTTTACGGTGACATGATGATGAATAAATAATCTATAAATTGGCGAGGTGAAGATAGGCAACATAATGAATATGGATCAAAGTACATGTTTTACGATGACGGTCCTCCTCCTGAACTCCTAGAGCGATCTTCACGTTTAATAATGTACCTCATTATAAGATACACTCCACAAAGGAAGGCTACGACTCCACAGATGATACCAAAGATTTCAAGAAACACCTTCGTACTTGAAGGAGGAGGCTCCAAAGCCTTCATTTCTTCGATCTACAAGGGGATCACTCTTTAATGAGTTATGAAGAGTTTAAATGATCTGAAGATACGTACCCAGCTCATATTGTCAAAAGGGTTTTTCAACGTATTCCCAACTTCTGAGAAAATACCAACTGTTCAAAGTACCGCGCAAGCACCTAATTCGTCCACAAAAGATCCTATGGACTTAGAGATATGTCCAGAAGGTCTGAATAGGATGCTTTAGCAAACTTACCAAAGTTTACGATAATACTGGCAAGTACACACTTCAGAAGAAAGAGTGCGGTGTTTGAAGAAAGAAGAGTGCGTCACTCAACTCAGCTTTCTTGAACAATAACTGATCAAACCTTCAATTTCGGCAATCTCCAAGTGATACCAGATAAGATAAGGAGTCTCAGAAAGGAAGGTGTAGTGTGCAAAGTGAAGCCACCTGGCCATACAAGCACCAACTGATCGAAAGACCTTAATATCTGATGCACGATCATCAAATCTTGATCGATCGACAACTGAGCTCTCCATTCCTTACAGAATGGACTTTTCATTCTTGAAGCACTAGGCCATTGAGTCATCAAGACTCACCATGACTCATAAAGCCCCTAATGAGTCAGAAAAGGCCATTGTGACTCATCAAAAGATCATTCTGACTCATCTTAAGTCATTCTTAGTCATCGGATGCCCCTATGAGTCATCAGACACCCCTATGAGTCAGGAAAGAATGCAGATTTGTAAGTAAAGAATCCTTTAGAAGCATCTGGAATCAGCCTGAGACTGGTTTAGACTACTCCAGGCTGAAAATAGATGACTCAAGCATGGATTCTAGTGCTAAATTCATGTTTCATTAATAAGCACCTGCATTCTCTCATCAAGTAAGCGAAGCAAGTTCTTACAAATTTAGCTTGGTCATCCATAGCACAGCCCCTTTCTAGATTGTATATAATGAGCCCCTTATTTCCTGTAGTAATGTGCCTGTGCCCCTCAAGTTCCTGTAATTTCCCTAAAGTTCTGCCCCAAATTCTATCATTTCTAAAGTCCTGCAAAGCTCAAAGTCCCCAAGCTTGACACTCTCTCTTTGTGAAGTGCAAGTGAAAAGCCTGAAGCGATCTGCCACTTCTGCTGCTTTCAAATTTTCTCAACACCTACTCTTTTCTTAAGAAAAGCTGGTCATTGTACCTTCGTGTATCTTTGACTTTGTCTTAACCTGAGATTGCTATCCTAAATCCCTTTCCTTTCTCTTGTGAACTCTAAGGCATACCTTGCTTAAGACTTCACTTACCTTAAAAACACACTCCTTTCAGTGGTATAGCCAGTCAAGTCTACTTTATTGTCAGACTACACGGTAAACCTCCCCTCACCCCAAACGAACAACAGGAAAGACCCGGTGTAACGTCTCACCCGGAAACTTTTCTGCAGAAGAGAAACCTTTGGCCTCTCATCTCTTTGAGAGTGTTTTTCTTTTTCTGACCGACATCGGTAGTACCGGATCATGCATAAATTATAATTTCATCAAAAGGCATGAAATTGAAACCTCTAGATTTGATCAACCGATTCAAGTCTATAAACTGATAACAGTGAGAATTCTTAGGGACCAATCACAGAATATGTCCGACTTACACTTCGAATTGGTGATCACCAGGAGAACATCATGCTTCTAGTTACCGATCTGGGGAAGTCAGACATATTCCTTGGATATGAATGAATTGAATACCATAATCCATCAATAGACTTCAAATTGCAACTTGTTGACTTTAACTGATGCCCACACATATGCATCACTATAAGACAACAAGAGATCGAAGAAGGAGATACCATATATTTACTCAATATCAATGCTTGATATAAAGAATGAGGAGAATATATTCAATGAATGCATATAACAGCCATAGACATAGCAATCGAACAAAGTAAACAAAAAAAGAAAAAGACCTTTGAAGAAATGGTTTCAGAACAATATCGTGAATTCACAGACATATTCACTAAAGATACTTTTGATGTCCTTCCGGAAAGGAAACCATGGGACCATGCAATAGAATTGCTACCAGACTCATCACCGTATGCAGGCAAGGTGTATTCCATGACTGTTGAAGAACAAAAAATCCTAGATAGTTTTCTTGAAGAAAATCTAAAGACGGGAAGAATCTGACCATCAAAGTCTCCCTGGGGAGCACCTTTCTTCTTTGTCAAAAAGAAAGATGGCAAACTGAGACCGGTATAAGATTACCGAAAACTCAATGATATGACTAAGAAAAATAAATATCCATTACCATTGATCTTGGAGCTTATTGATAAGCTCAAAGGTGCTAAATATTTTACGAAACTGGACATTCGCTGAGGATATAACAATATTCGCATGAAAGAAGGAGACAAAGAGAAAGCTGCATTCATTACAAATAGAGGACTATATGAACCAACCATCATGTTCTTTAGATTGACGAACAGTCCTGCTACATTCCAAATGATAATGAATGACATTTTCTGCAATCTTATTCTCAAAGAAAAAGTAATTATATATCTTGATGATATACTCATATTTTCTGAATCCCTGGAGGAATACCGACATATTGTAAAAGAAGTCCTGAAAATATTATGAGAAAATAACTTAACCTGCAAACTAGAAAAATGCGAGTTTGAAACTCAAAAAACAGAATATCTCAGACACATTATTTCACAAGGAACTGTAAAGATGGATCCTGCCAAAGTCGATGGAGTTATGCAATGGCCAGTACCAAAAGCCAAAAAGGAATTACAGTCATTCCTTGGATTTGCTAATTTCTATCGATGATTCATTAAAGACTTTTCCAAAATTGCCACTCCCTTAAATAAATTAACCGGACAAGCAGAATGGACCTGGAGTCCAGAATAGCAAGAAGCATTTGAACTTCTAAAAAGAACCATTACCACAGCACTGGTATTGGGCATTTCAAATAATGAAGATCAGTTCAAAGTTGAATGCGACACATCGAAATATGCTATTGAAGCAGAACTTGCACAGAAACAAGAAGGACAATGGCGAACCATCGCCTTTTTATCGAAAAGCCTTTCACCAGCTGAAAGAAACTATGAGATCTACGATCGAGAGATGCTAGCCATCATGATCTTATTAGAAGAATGGCATCACTTCTTAATGGGAGCTGCATAGAAATTTGAAATTTATTCTGATCACAAGAACCTTGGCTATTTCAAAAAATCCCAGAAGTTAAATCATCGCCAAGTGTGATAGATCCAAGAATTACAACAATATGATTTCAATTTGACTCACAAATCTGAAAACACAATGATGAAGGGAGACCCTTTATCGCGACAGACCCATCACGATATTGGTGATAGTCATAATGAAAATATTACGTTGTTGAAACCAGAATGGTTCTGAGCCAATAAAATCCTCAGATCATCAGCTTTACGGAAGAAAATCATAAAAAATACTGATAAATATGAAAACAATGTATGACTAAAACTATTGACAAAAGATGCTGATTTCAATGAGACCGAGGATGGTCTTATCTGGAGAAGGGGGAAGATTGTTATCCCTTTTGATAAGAAACTCAGAGGAGAAATTATTCATTCGCATCATGATTCAATTAGTGCTGGACACCCTGGATAAGCAAAAACCCAAGAACTAATCTATTGATCGTACTGGTGGCCTTCAATCAAAAAAGATGTAAAAACATATGTAAAAGGTTGCGAGACTTGTCAAAAAACCAAGATTAACCATCAACCAAAAAATGCTCCATTACATTCGAATGCAATTCTGGAACACAATTGGGAATATCAATCAGTAGACATGATTACACATTTATCAGAATCGCAAGGGCATGATGTGATCATAGTAGTTGTGGACATGAAATCAAAAGACTACATTGAAATACCAACTACGGAGCAATTGACATCAGAGAGATGGGCTAATCTCTATATCAAAAATATATATCTGTTGCATGGATTACTAAAAAAGATGACATCAGACCGTGAACTGCAATTTGTATCCAGTTTCATAAAAGATTTATATAAGAAACTAGAAATTTAGGGAAATCCTAGTACGGCATATCATCCACAGACAGACGGACAAATAGAACGAATCAATCAGGAAATTGAAAATTATTTACAAATCTTTATCAATCACTGACAAACTGATTGGCCAGAATGGTTATCACTAGCAACATTTGCGTATCAAAACAGAGTCCACTCTGCGACTGGATTTTCACCATTCTATATGAACTATAGATGAGAAGCCTACACTGATGTAGAAACCAAAAAGGAAATTTGTAATGAAACTGCCGAGCAGTTTGTAGCACAAATGAAGAAAATCTAAGAGGAAGCATCAGCATCATTAATGTTAGTGCAGGATGTTATGAAAAGACAATATGATAAACATAAGGAAGAAGCCATAAATTATAAAGATGGAGATTTAGTGTGGCTTAAAGCTATGCATATATGCATGGACAGATCAAATCAAAAATCAGATAATAAAAGATATGAACCATTCCCGATTATTAAGAAGATTAGAGCTAGCACATGCAAGCTCAAATTACCAAAATCATGGAAAGGTGTATATCCCGTATTCAATGAAACCTTATTATTACCGTATCACACACCAGAATTCCCAAATCAGAAAACACACAAAAACATTCCAATAATTATTGATATCTTAGAGAATAAAGTCAAATCTGTGTTAGACTCCAAAATGGCACATAGAGGTCTTCAATATCTAATCAAGTGAGCTGAAAAACCACATTCTGAGAACACATGAGAACCTCGACACAAAATTATTAAAAACATAGACAAAAAGATCATCGATATATTCCATAAAGACCATTCTGATGCGCCAAAAGCACCCATGAGAATATTGCTAAAAGCACAAATTATAGAACAGTCATTCCCTAGAGAAGCGTCACAAGAAGAATGGGATTATTGGGATCAGAAAGTACAGAAATGGGCAGAACGTCGTAAAAAAGAAAAAGCAATAATATCTATAGACCCAGATTCGATTGAATTATTTGAAAATCAAAGAAAAGCACAAATAATATCTAATCAACACTATCTGAATGCCGGCGAGTTATGGATCATCAATGAGCAGACACTCAAACTGACACATGTGGCAATCACATCCATGCCTACGAAAGTCAAACTCGAATGGCAATACCCCATTCTTTCCTTCTATCAACTCGTCGAACCAACATCAATCCCAAGTATGGATTTCCCTATCTTAGAACAATCATTCACTCAACCAATGAAAGCTCTTTGGTAGAAATGGACAAAGATAGAATCATCATCCTTAGTGTCTTTGGCGGCATAATCCTATGCACTGTTGGAGTGATACTCTGGGTTGTATGGTTATGAGAATGAGAGAGAGAAAATTTGGAAGAATGGATCATCATGGTATGATTGAACAATTTCATACTCTATCATAATTAATCATGAGGACATGATTCTAGAGGAGGGGGTAATGTTACGATCATTTTCATTTCAGATCTACAAACACGACTTTCCCTTATTATTTTCATTTGTAACCACATATTAAAACCTACCCAAACACACTCATTGATCCATGCTCGAACCTGACCGATACCATAAGTATATATGAATACATTGATACTGCATGTATTTAGATAATAGTTGTATATATACACCAGATGAACTTCAGATTAACTCCAAGTTTCGAATGGTTTTACCTGCTCATTTCTAAATTGATTTGAGTCCTATCAGGTATGTCACGAAATTGTTGCACATTTACATGATGCTACTAAGATCAATATGCAGATCTGCCGGGCCACTTGTTTACATGTTGTTTGCCATCTACCAAGATGCGGTGAGTTTTCCTTCATCTCTTTTCTGCATCCAGCTGAAGAGTGAAGCTTTGCTTGTATGGTACGGGAAGTACCTTCTCTGGAATACCAATTATCTGGTTTGGCGCATTTGTCACTTTCAGCTATGGGCTGCTATGGAGGTCTACTTTACGAGCGGCAATCGTAAGAACTGATTGAAAGTTTCACAGTTTGACTATGTAAGCTATGATTTCATTCCTATATTTCACGCAGCTTGTTTATGATCTCATCACGCTCCCCTTTCATAGGGAGTCAGGTCCATCTCAAGCCCATTGACTTGCGCTGTTCTCTTTTGTCACAGAAATGGGAACACGATCAGTCTCTTTCACATGATTACTCACAGCTGTCCTGGTGATGCCATCGAATATATGCTTATCTCCTCAGCTGGTATATAAGCACATCTTGATGGAGTCCCATGTACACGAGAACTAAGACCGATGGTACCATAGCTCATATCTCAAACTTGCATGACCTGATGTAGTTCAGTCACTGTAGATATTCTCACCGGTCCCCAGGATGCAGCAAGAATGCATTTCAGTTGAATTCGCCTGTCATCTGAGCTCTGACAACTTCATGAATTACGCGTGCTCACAGAATGAATACTGAGATACCTGCAAAATAAGCAGCAGACTTGTTCTCGCAGTACTCGGGAACGGAGCGGTCAATTGCGTATCCATTCTATTCAGTAAGTTGCATTTTCCTGCATGTTCTCGCACCAGCCCTTATTCCGGCTCCACTGGCAGGTGTCTAAAATGCTCTGGTGATAATAGTTCAATCATTAGACACTGGCTTCCAGTTCATTTCATTGCCGTCAAAAAATCATAGGTATCATTTTTGTTTATTGTCATGAATTGTCGGAATTGACAGGGTTGTATAAAAGAGTTCTGAAACCATTCTCAATGTTATTTTGATGAACTCCACTCTGGTTTGTCATCTGAATTGTGAGGATGATACTCCCTTCTTTGTCTCAACTCGTTGTTTTAGCCTTGACCACAGGCCTGTCATATGCCGCACTATCTGCCATGAGCACCCCATTTGTGACCTTGGACCAAGGGGTATTTCAGGGTGCTACAGACGGCATCACCAACAAGTTTCTTGAAATCCCTTTCGCGATGCCCCCATGTGCAGGATACCTGTTTGATTCTCTTCATTAGCTGACCATGCCTGCGTATAGAATTGGGGACCTTCGCTTCCGACTGCCGGTTCCGAATGACCCGTACAATGGCACCCACTCTGCTATTGCATTCGGACCTTCGTGTCCTCAACAGGCATTGAAGCTTGCCATTCCAGATGGTCTAGCCACAGACACTGTTAACTTCATTCTCGATACCACCTTTGCATTTGTTCTTCCTGATAGCGAAGACTGTAAGTACTGTCTTACAACATTGTATACATAGGTGATAGTTATTGAATATGTGCACAGATTTGACCCTCAATATCTGGGCTCCCGTTGGAGTCACTGCTGGTACGACATTGCCTGTGGTGGCCGTACGTAGTTTCATTGTTCTGCATACATTTATCTGATCTTCATCTGCAACAGAGTGGATATATGGAGGTGAGAGTTACTGCATTATGAATGTTTATTCTTACCTGTACTTAGGCGGTTTCAAGCTTGGTGGAACATCCATGTACGTATCATTCTTTATTTGGCTCTGATCGCTTCTGATTAAAAGTAGGTACGATGGCGGTGTGATCGTGAAATGGTCAATCAGCCTCGGAGAGCCTATTGTATATGTTAGCATGAATTATTGGTAAGTCTAGGGTTCTGTTTCTGTTTGAGTCTATGGTAATGAACATTACTTGGTAGAGTCAGTGGTAAGTCCCTCAGAAATACTGACAGTTTATTTTGGAGCTTACTCATGTACCAGCCTTTGGCTTTCTTCCAGGCAAGGAAGTGAAGGCAGCTGGGATAGGTAACCTTGGGCTACAAGATCGTAAGCCTTTCCTCAATCATGATTGTCAATTTCGAAGTAAGGGGCATTTTGCATCGCAGAACGTCAAGCATTGCGATGGATCTAGAAGTACATTGGCGCGTTCAGTGGTGACCCGACCAAGGTGACAATGTAAGCACAGTATATCATGCATGCCAGCTCCTGATATATTAGGCCATCTAGCTGGGGTCAATCTGCCGGGGCGATCTCCACTGCACTTCATATGGTAACGAATGGTGGTGATACTGAAGGTTTGTTTCGTGGCGCATTCATGCAATCTGGCTCACCCATTCCTGTCAGCGATATTACGCATGGACAGCAATTCTACAATGCATTGGTCTCTGATACTGGTTGCACTGGTTCTTCGGATACTTTGCAATGTTTGCACGAGGTGCCTTTCAATCAACTCAAAGCCACAGTCAATGAATCCCCAGGAATATTCGCATACCAGGTGCGAGAAATGTTCTGACTGTTGATCACGTATTCATGTGATGCAAAGTCTCTCACTTTAACATAGCTTCCTCGCGCAGACAGAAATTTCCTCCCGGATCTTCCACAGCAATTGGTTCTAAAGGGAATTGTTGTGAACATTTCCTTTGTCACTGGCATAAGGCTTTATTCTACGGCTTCACGTGGTATGCTGCTAACAATTATTTTTTACAGAACTGCGATGATGAGGGAACCCTCTTGGCTTTATTGTCATTAAATGTAACGTACGTGGGAATCTGTTACTTTAGCAAGGATTTAACAACATTGACATTTTGTTTTCAGAAATGAGGTGGCACTCCGCAACTATGTCACTACAGTGTTTATTCCAAATGCCGCCGCAAGCGATGTTGACAAACTAGTTTCTCTTTATCCATCAAGCATTTCTGAAGGCTCGCCGTTTGGCACCGGCATTCTGAATGCTCTTACATCGCAATATAAGCACATTGCTGCACTGCTTGGTGATCTCGTGTTCCAATCATCCCGTCAGCTGTTCTTGCAGAACTAATCGTCAAAGCAAGATACCTGGTCTTTTCGTAAGTCAACTGCCTCTACTCACTTTCCACTAAAGCTCTGTTGTTATATAGTCAACAAGCATCTCAAAGCACTTTCAGTCTTAGGATCGGTGCATAGTGTCAACACTTTTGAGTCTCTCTACAGGTATATTCAGGTTATTCTCAGGCTCATGCTACCGACATCCTCAATGTCTATGGTCCCAGAGATATGACCAATTTTCTGATCAAATTTGTCAACCATTTAGACCCAAATGGTGCAACGGGAGGTTCATGGCCAAAATATGATACAACTTCTGCACAGCTTATGACTTTTTCTGACGGTTCAGTTCCTCTGTCAATTACAACCGATACTTTCTGCAAGGATGCCATCTCATTTTTGACCGCACTCGCGCTCAATAACCCAATGTAGAATGCAGAATACTAGAGAGTAGCTATGTATGCATATCACTTATCGAAACTCAGTGTTGAGGCCTACTGTAAGAAAGAGTCTTTCTGATGAAGTTGGGCAGGAAGTCAAGGCGATTCCATCATGCAACCACAAACCAAGGTCTGCAGAGTCATCTGAAATTTTTGACACATTGTTTGATTCATGTCCTTTGACTGACGAGCCACGAAGAAGTGTTGGAAATGGAAACCTAAGAGAAGCGTACATGAGGTAACCAGACACTGAACCATACATAGACGCATCCATGTTCATCGAAGTAAGACAGTCTGCGCGTAAGTACTTCAAGGAATAGATAAATAGCTACGAAAACAAACTGATCGATACATAAGAATATCCCCCTCTCCTAGATACTCAAGCGAAACTGTTTCAGTAGTAGTTCTTAAATATTACTCCAGAGTTTTTGGCACATTAACGATGGATCCAAGTGGATGGACTCGATACCTCAGGATGCATCTCCTTACACATGTGTCTCTGAGATCTCTCTGGCTGCCATGACTGATACATCACGCAGAGATAGTGTACTAAGACCAAAGATGATTTAGATTCCCACTTAAACTGAGTGACGATATTACTCACCTCGCATCTTCCAATGGTGTGCTGGCGTCATTTTCAGACTTCTCAAGATCCAGTAATCCAACACCAAGAGGATTATTGGAGAATTGTGTAGGTTCCTCATCTGCATCGTCGCAATTTTCACTACGCCCTGTAACCCAGGAAGCATCCAGCGATGCTCCTAGATTTGCAACCACAGCGGAGGCAAAGCGCACACTTGAGACTGAATGCTCTGGGGCATCGCTATTTGCATTGGAGCGGTAGACTGAGCGCAAATCCAAGATAAAGTGGGAAATGAGGACCGATGCCAGTCTGTAACAGAAGTCAGTAGGCATGCTGAACATGAGATACCATCTCACATACGAGCTATTGATGTATATAAATGCAGTTGACCACCTAATATTTTCAGCCTATAAGTAAGAGATCAGAATTAGTATTTCGATCGATTCTGATAATATGAATGGACATACTGCAATTGACGAGACATCGAATGCCAAAGTCACCGCATTGAGGCACAATAATGTTCTGGTCCAAAGTAGACATGCACGTCAGGTAGGACATGTTATGAGGATAAAACTCTTACAAGAACTGTAGTGAATCTGTATTCGAGAATGTTCAGAATGTCTATGTACTGATGAAGCAAGTAGGAATCACACCATTTTGAACTAAGACGGTTGCCAATCCAGGTTTCAGGTGGATATTCCAGCTCGTCTTATAGAGACTGACAGTCTCCAATAAAGTAAACACTAGTACCGCAAGGTCAGCGGCAATAGCAACTACTCGTGTTATAACCGGCACTGGGGAGAGAGAGAGCATGAGTCTCGGCCATGGAGTGATTGATGCTTGAGAGATGCCTACAGCTATTCTAACCATCAGGTATGAGCATAAATAAGACTAGGCTACATGTACTAGAAATACAGTTCAGGACTGGCATTGAGCACAATGCAACCTGCAAAGATGCCTGATAGTACGATGATGAACTTTTTCAGTAGAGCGAACACGTACTGCTCAGAGAACATGATCAGTTATCCATGACTGGCAGACTGGAGAACCCACGAGATTGACACCAATGAGAAACATGCTCAGAATGAATACAATTGCAAAGGGGAACTATGGTCGAGAACAAATGGTCCAAGTATGAAGGCAGTTGAACACTGTCTGCCTCATATAATCATGCAAAATTTGAAGTATAACTACAATGCACCATTGATGGCTAAGAGGGAAATAATGTCGGCAGCAGTGGAAGAATATGAGATACCTTTGCAGCTGTCCCAAAATGAACATACTGAGATGTCAAGTTCCACCACTGATTCAAACTAGATATACCTCTGTCGGAACATATTCAGAGGCTTCTATTGATCAAGCAAAATTGTGTGACTTACCGGAATTGTCATCGGTGTCCACATCTCATCCAAGACTTGGATGATCATGTCAACTAGCATTCCATACCGGACAATAACATATAGCATGGTCACCCCCCTGATTCGTCTCTGCCAGATGCACTTAACTTCTTGTTGGAAAGTTAGGGTAATGTCATATGTTACTAGCACTTGATGTTGAAATAAATGAAAAGAAAAAACTTAAGAGATTCCTTGCATATTTGAGAGAGGGACAAACTTAGCGCTGCAACAAGATAACTTGAGGCGATCCAGTTATCTCATCTAAATAACATGATGTCAGTCTGAAGATCACATTGATAGTGGAAAATGCGAATTGCACATTTTGGCAATTATTTCAGCTTGATCCTCGGGAGACATTGTGGACCAATGTCAGGCAGGGAGGTCACTCTGCAACGAGATCTGAAGAGTTTTGTTTTGGAGAACCATCTTATACGTCTGGCAAGAATAAGGATTTCAAATAGCTAGAGGGCGCGGGGCATATTCAGAAAGGCTACGTACGTGAATATCGCAATCTCCACCATTCGCTGTGCCACCCTATCAATGCGGTAGGTCGATACAGCCTGATGATCACACATTGGCTTACCCCGTGTTGATACATTGTCAAACTAAAGTGACAGTGTCAAACGTTGGGCATGCCCTGACAACCTCCGAAATCTTATACATTTGGTCCAAAGTCTGGCACCGAAGCATTCAAAAATGACGGCATCATATCCGCGAAACATCGGCTGTCAATACATACAAGGTTTGGCAGCCTCCAATCTCTAAAAATGACACTAATTAATGATCAGCACTTATACTCGATGGCGAAGCATGCATCTCTGGAAGGTGGCAAGCTGCTAGAGGATGACCTTCGCGACAAAATAAAAAAAGTCTTGCTACTCCATTATATACTGCAACTAGAAAACTGGAAGAAATAGGACTCACAATTGAAGAATTGATTTTGCACATAGCATTGGTGCACTAGCTGAGGCCGAACATGCTGGAAGTGAAGACATAAGTGCTAGCGCATAGTCCATAATGCGATCAAGAGCTAGTAAACATAAGTAACATCATTTCTCAGATACAGATAATATTCTAGGGGCCCAATCCATCAAAAGAATGTTGAATGGCAGGTCAGTAGGAGCATCATGATATGCTCCACCCACGACAAGTGTACGGCAGCTCTGGCATAAGACCAGTTGATCGGTTACCTCCAGCCGTGGGAAGGGGAGGGTCGGTCACCCATGTGAATTGACAAATAAAAGTTCATTGTTGTAGGAAGCGGCCAACTATCATGGTCATTGATGAAGGTCATGAATGAAGAACACTAGGGAGTCGCAATGAGCGACAGCTCAGGGAGTGAAAGCTAGTGATCGGTGATCGGTCAGCTGTTTGCTGGATTGCTGTTGGCTGGCGACTGTACATACTGGTTGAGTACCGGCTGTTGAAGTCAAGCCGCCAAGAACACACTCAAAGACTGTTCTTGTATATCCTTATATGGACACATTTCATTTCTTTCCATTTTACCATAGTCTCGACTTATGCCGCTTGTTCTACCCTTTTACCCTATCCTTTCTTAGCATTCCGTTCCTTCCGAAATTCCGTTCTGACTCCCTTTTGATATAAACACAGTCCTTTCCATAGAGACACCTCAGTCATTAGCTCCGACGCTGACTGAGGTGTGTAGCATGTATCCCCTTCATCGTATTCTCTCTTGCTGACTTATACCTTGTAGAACTCCTGTTCTGTTATCTCATTCAATAGGTAGCTACAAGTGTTCTACTATATATCAAGTCATTAGCTCTGCTAACTGAGAACTCTTGTTCTGTTATCTCATTCAATAGGTTATGGGCCCTGCGCTATCCTAACCTGTATCGAAGTGAAAGAGTGTCTGAAACACTCATACATATATTCTATCCAATTGTTTCCCTACGCTCTCTACATTCTATCTATCTACAATGTCTTCCATCAAGGCCAATGGCTTCCTCCGAGTTTCCAAGCTTGATGTTGGTGGTGCCAACTGGATCATCTACAAGGAATGACTCAAGTGGGCTACCGATGCTCGCAGTTACCTAAAGCACATTGACAGCAAGACAGTTGCTCCTCCATCCCCTCCTGTCCCTGCTGACCCAGTCAAACCTACTGCAGCAGAGCTTGCTCTTATTACAGCTCACGAGATGAAGCTGGCAGAATAGACCAAGGGTGAGGCAATTGTGAAGCTGCTCATTGCAAGCACAATTCTGGATTTCCTGTTTATCAAAATCTGAAGTAAACCAACTGCGTTAGATATTTGGACCGCCCTGTCAAATGACTTCGAGAAGAAGTCCCGAATAGTTTTGGTTGACCTTTGCTGATATCTCCAGAATAAGCATGCGAGTGAGAGGGATGACCTGTGAATCCACTTCGATACCCTCCATACCATGTGCGAAAACTTATCTGCCATGGGTCACCCTCCTTCTGATAATGACTTCTATGCCATTATTCTTGGCTCCCTTCCATCTTCATATGATCTCTACATTTCCATTGTGACTGCTACATCAAGTGTACTTGGAAAGACATTAGGCCCTGATGACCTTATGTTGACCTTGACCGAAGAGTACGAGCACTGTGCATTGAAGACCAAAGGTGGTCGAGGTGGAAATGAAAAGGACGCCGCATTCTCAGTGAATGACAAGGGTGGGAAGGGGAAGTCAAAGCATGATGTCGAGTGCTTCAATTGCAAGAAGTGAGACCACTATAAGGCTGATTGCTGGGCACTGAGTGGAGGCAAGGAGGGCCAGGGTCCTAAGGGAAAAGGAAAGGGGAAAGCCAAGGAGAAGGCTTCAGTAGCAAAGGAAGATGAGAAGTTGGAGGATGCCACATGGATGGCCATGGTGGAGGATAATGTCCTTAACTACATCAAGAGTGCAGGCAGGTATGCCTATGTCACTGCTGAAACTGACGACGAGAGCTCTTGGTTCCCTGATAAAGATGACTCCCTCTTCGATGACCCTCCTAATACTAACCCTGCAACTGAGACCAGTCTCGATGATGATGATAACAGAACTTCAATTTCTGACCTCTAGACTGTATCAGATTCTGACAGTGAGGAGAAGGATCTTGGTGAAGAAAACACCACCACTATAAATGGTGTTGTTGCTGGCGATGGCAATGAGGCCTATACCCTCATGTTTGAAGGTGCTTTCTTGGCAAAAGAGGCAAATGTAGCTAGTGAAGTTGAAATAGAACTCTATGACTCAGGAGCAAGTTGGCACATGTTCCCATATCACCACTATTTTATTAACTTCATCACCATCAATCTGCGTCCTATTGGTGCTACTGACAACTGCACGTTCAAGGCTATCGGAAAAGGGGATATGTACATTGAGGTCCCCTGCGGCAAGAAGACGAGTCGCGTCCTCTTGACTGATGTCCTGTATGCACCTGATATGGGTGTTACTCTGGTTTCGATCAGTTGGGTGACTGCTTCGGGCACCACAGTCATCTTCCGCAATGACACCTGTCACATATATAATCTGACAAAGAATTTAGTTGGTGAGGTGAAGGCAAATGGAGGCCTCTACTGAGTGTACCACCCAAAGAATTTTGCCACGAAGGTCACTGAGGTGATCTCCATCAATGAACTCCACTGACAGATGGGCCACATTGCATTCAACACAGCCTGCAACCTTGTAAAGAAGGGCTTGGTGCTAGGAGTTGAACTCAATGACTCAAAACCTGCAAAGGTGTGTGAGTCATGCGAGCACGTGAAGATGATGTGAAAACCAATCCAGCATGAATGCGAAGGTGAGTAACAGCCTGCAATAGGCGATGAGGTCTATGCTGATGTCTGAGGGCCCATACCTGTCGAAACACTGGGGGGACATCATTACTATATTAGTCTCACAGATGACCACAGCTGCTACACATACCTCTACCTCCTTCAGACCAAGGACCAGGTTCTGGAGGTGTACAAAGCCTTCACAGCACTTCTATATACTCAGAAGAATATCCAAATCAAAGTATTCCACTCTGATCGGGGGAGAATTCCTAAGAAATAAATTCAATGCCTTTCTAGCTGAACAAGGAACTGAGCACTGACTCACTGTACATAACACACCTGAATACAATGGCATTGCAGAGCAAATGAACTGAACTATCATTACAAAGGTCTGTTCAATGCTGCATGACAGTGGAGCCCCAAAGTTTCTATGGAGGGAAGCAGCCTTGCATGCTGTGTACCTGAAAAACTGAACAATAACTCATCCCCTTGGTAACATGATGCCGTATGAGGTCTTCACTGGAGAGAAGCTGAATGTGGCGAACCTTCAATCTTGGGAGTGCAAGGTTCATATGCATGACACCAACAGCTTGAAGCTTGACAGCCATATGGCAGTTGGTCATTGGGTAGGTTTTGATGAGCCAAGTAGGGTGCACTGCATCTATTGGCCTGACCGTCGTACAATAATGGTCAAGCGCAATGTCAAGTTCAACATTGATACATCCATAGTCATCACTGAAGTTCTGCTCATGGGAGAGCATGGAACTGAGCCTATCGAGCATGACACTTCATTGTCAGAAGCTGAAGAAACAAGAGAAAGTGAAAACTCACCCAAAGACACCACACCGATGCCATGCAAAAATGCAACATACTCAGTTCAGATTTTGAACCCAGTCATGCAGAAGGCAAGAGGGCTCAAAAACCCTCCGCCTATGTCAAATGCCTCCACAGCAGTGAAGGCCAGCTCAGCGCGAGGCCAAGCGACCCCATTCTTTCAAAAGGTCTTCAGCCTGGTTATACCCCATTGAAATCTGTCGAAGAAGAGTCAGCAAGTGTTGTTGATGAGTGGAAAGGGGTTGAGGTTGAAGAAATCACTATGCCAGTGGTAATGAAAGATGCAGAGGGACTTGAACTAACTTTTGAGGAAGTGAGGAGGCATCCAGATTGGCCAAAATGGGATGAGGCTGCATGAGCTGAACTAGAAAGCTTGAAGATGAACAATACATTTTCTCTCATCGAACATCCTCCTGGTGTCAATGTCGTGGGCAGCAAGTGGGTCTTGCACATCAAGAAGACTGCTACTGGAGAGATTGACAAGTACAAAGCTTGATTGGTCATGCAGGGCTACATGCAAGTTTTTGGTGTTGATTACCATGAGACATTTGCACCAGTTGCTAAACTCTCTTCTTTTTGACTAGTTCTTGATATTGCAGCTCGAAATGGTTGACTAGCGGAGTCATTTGACTTCAATTTCACTTACCTCAACTCAACCTTGAATGAAGAGGTGTACTTAGAACAACCATCACACTATGTGAAAGCTGATCAGAAATGCTACGTACTATGCTTGTATAAAGCACTGTATAGATTGAAGCAAGGAGGTCGAAAATGGTACGAGCACCTTTGCATTGTGCTCGCTGACCTTGGTTTCAAACACACAGAAGCCAATTGGGGTGTCTTCTACATATATGTAGAAGACAACCTTATTATATTGGTCATCCATGTCAATGACTGCTTAATAACAGGCAGTTTAGCATCTTTGCTCCAAGAGTACAAGGTTTACATTGATGCAAAATACTGCATAACAGATCTAGGGCCTATTAGCTGATTACTTGGAATCTGTATTATATGCGACCTGGAGAGCTGCATGCTCGCATTCTCACAACACTCGTATATCGATACCATCCTTGCTCATTTCAATCTCACTGATCTCAGACCAGTTTCGATTCTCATGAATCTGAATATTTTTCTTTCCAAATCCCAGTGCCCTACAGCTCTCATTGACATTGCTCGCATAAAGAAAATTTTCTATCAAGAGGCAGTTGGTTCTCTCATGTATGCAGCTGTGGGAACACGACCTGATATTGCATTTGCAGTATCAATGTTAGCTCAGTTCTTCA